TGCACAGGAAACCATAACATACAGTGGTGGGTCACCCCGCTTTGGGGGCTTCCTGGAGGAGGTCAGCGTTGCTGGCCTGTGTTTGAAAAAGGAGAAAGTTAGCCAAACGAGAGCAGAAGTGAGTACATTGTGGTGGGCATCTAGAGGCAGGAGGGAGCTGGTGCCTTGACAACGCTGGAATTCAGTGTGTCTGAAAACATGACCACTTGGTGAAGAGATTGAGGTTGAGTGCCATGTGTGGCACACTAAGAAATTTTTACCCCATTTTCAAGACTCTGAGAAGGATCTTTAAGTGCAGGTGGGATGTTTCAAGTAAATTAAGTGTTTTAAACATTATGAAAATTTACGGGCCAGCTTTGTGATGTGCAGGGTAAGCTACTGCCTGCAGTGCTGGCCACCTATGTGAGCACTGGTCCGGGTTCTCTCTGGTCCACATACTGTCCTGATGACCTGGGGAGACAGTGGGAGATGATCTGACTATTTGGGGCCCTGCCACCCATGGTTGTTGCTATGTAGATAGGATACCTGACATAGTTACAGCAATAGAGATATTATGTGTTACTAGCCATTTTGCTATGGGATCAGGGACCAGTACTGTGGTGTAGTAGACCAAGTGCCGCCTGCAGCATCCGCACCTCATATGGGCAGTGGTTGAGTTCAACTGCTCTACTTCCAATCCAGATCCTTGCTGACATGCCTGGGAAAGCAGTGGAAGGTGGCCTGTGTCCATGTGGGCAACTTGCCAGAAGCTCTGGCTCTGGGCTGCTCAGAGGCCCCAGCCCCAGGCATTTGGCCAGTTGGCAATGAACAGGAGATGGAAGATCTTTGTCTTTTCATGAGAGTCTCTCTGTAACTCTACCTTCTGAATAAATAAATAAACCTTTAAGGAAAAATCCTTAAGCCAGAATCTTTTTTTTTTTTAATATAGATTTCATTTAGATTTTTTCCAATAGATTTATTTTTGATGATGTTGAGGTAGTTGAGTGGATGTCCCTGTGAACCACTGATTAGGGTGGGAAGGGTCAGGGGACAGGGTAAAGGATGACACAACTGCTGCCAGTCTGCCTTTCTGTTCTTCCTGTATTTCGGGGAGAGAGCAGAGGGCTGCTCACAGCAGCCTGCCCACACCGGCACCCAAGGAGGTCTTCCTAGGGTCCCCGCTGGGGGGCTTGTTCCGAGGTAAACCAGAATCCTGACGGTCCTGCTTCTCAGCGTCAGCTTCCTGCTGTTTCCAGCCACTCCTGAGGTCATAATGTGACGTGACGTTTGATCTTTCAGTCTAGATGATTTTTAAACTTACTTCCTCAATAAAGTAGGATTTATTTTAAATGCTCATTGTTTTAGACTTATAGACAAAGTTCTTCATTTCAGAATAAAGCCAAGTGTGGTACGTTTTTGTTCAGCTATTTGTATAGCTGGATGCATATATTTCTAGTCTAGGCATTGGGATCCTGCGTTCATTTCTGGTTTCTGGTTTCCTCTTCTGTAAAAAGGAGGTGTCAAAGCTCTTGCCTTAGGACAGGGTTGGCAACCTATAGCTAGCTCTCAGTGAGGCACTCCATCTACTGTTCTGTCTGAATTTGTGTGATTTATGAGCTAGTACTGGTTTTTTTTTTTTTTTGTATAAAAGTAACTAATATATGAATGGAAATTATGAATGGCAAGTTGTGTGTTAATACATAAAGTTTCATAAAAAAACAACCATCTTCATACATTTGCATATTGTTCATGGACACTTTTAGGCTGTAATAGGTATTTTGTAGAGAAGATCTTCTATTGCCTGCAAAACCTAAAGTATTTACCACCTGGTCTTTTTTTTTTTTTTAAGATTTATTTTTATTGAAAAGGCAGATATACAGAGAGGAGGAAAGACAGAGAGGAAGATCTTCCAATAGATGGTTCACTCCCCAAGCAGCCGCAACAGCCGGAGCTGAGCCAATCCGAAGCCAGGAGCCAGGAGCTCCTCCTGGTCTCGATGTGGGTGCAGAGTCCCAAAGCTTTGGGCCGTCCTAGACTGCCTTCCCAGGCCACAGGCAGGGAGCTGGATGTGAAATGGAGCTGCCGGGATTAGAACCAGCGCCCATATGGGTTCCTGGTGCATTCAAGGCTAGGACTTCAGCCGCTAGGCCACGGCGCCAGGCTCCAGGTACTCTTGACAGGGAATGTGAGGACTGTCACTGCCAAGGCTGAATGTCTTCTCCCCATTCAGTCTATTTTTTTAGCAAACGGAGGGTGTGTGGTGTGGTAGACACTATTGTGGGTAAATAGGATGGACACATTTTGGCACTTCAGGGGTGATAGTTGTGGAAAGACAGGATAACAGGGAAAAGAACTTGAGAACGATCAAGCCTGTGAAGGAAACAGTGAAAGGGGACTTTCCACCTGAGAGCTGCAGAGTGGGTAGCTAGGGGCCCTGCTCTCTGTTCTGCTGGTCAGATGGGCATGAAGAGGATCAAACGGATAGTGAGGTTAAGGTGTTTCCCAACTTGAGTTTGGAGTGCTTGGCAGGGACAAAACTTGAAAAGCCTTGTGGAGATTTGGTAAACATTTGGTTTTGCTTTACACAAGGAGTAAAGTGGGGGGATTTTAGCAAGGGAGTGACGTAGCGTTTCTGTGCAGGGGCGATTGGCTCATGGGGTGAGTAACAGAAGCTGCAATAGGAGACGGAGGACGGGGTGCCTGGCTAGGGGATGGAGCAGTCGAGGGCCGCAGGGGGCGTGACTGGCCCCAAGGTGGCCCGGCAAGGGAGTGGACGTGGAGAGAGGAAGGTGTTGGAGGAATCCGCAGGATTTGCCAAGTTGGTGAATGGGAATTTGGGAAGAGGGAGGAGTGTCTTCAGCAGAAGTGCTGTGTATTGCCAACATCTTGTCGGTCTCTGCAGCAGCAAGTTGCAGAATAGAATACTACTTGGAAAAGTAGGAAGCCTTCCATCAGTAAATGGAAAACAGGCAAATAAACAGTGCTATGATTTGCACTTGATCTTGGCCAAAAAGGCCGAGAAGCGATAGTGCTGTGCTTAATCTAGTGCCCAACCAACAGGCTTAAAATACTGAGATACCTGCAGGACATCCATAGTTTGCTTTTTGGGACAATAACTTGTTAGACGTCGAAAAATCTTGAGTACTATAAAATATAATTGTCAGATTTGATAGGATGACTGTGCTTGCCACGAAGCGATTTTTTTTTTAGAGTTAGCATTATTTATTCCAAGTGAAAATATTTTTAAAATAGACCCAGACCTTTGGCAAAAAGTGAATATAGTACATAGAATAGTAATAGTGAAAAGGAAGGGGATAGGTTGAGACTTTTTGAAAAATTGAGGGCCCAGTGTGGTTAGCCTGGTGGCTAAAGTCCTTGCCTTGCATGCCTGGGATCTGACATGGGTGCTGGTTCGTATCCTTGCTGTTCCACTTCCCATTCTGCTCCCTGCTTGTGGCCTGGGGAGGCAGTAGAGGACAGCCCAAAGTGTTGGAGACCTGGGAAGAAGCTCCTGGCTCCTGGCTTCGGATTGGCTCAGTTCTGGCCGTTATGGCTGTTTGGGGAGTGAGTCAGTGGACGGAAGATCTTTCTGTCTGTCCTCCTCTCTCTATATCTGACTTTCTGGTAAAAATAAATAAAATCTTTTTTTAAAAAAAAGTTGAGCCTTCTCGATCAGAAAGGAACTGACTCACGCATCCCAAATCCGACTGTTTGCTGTTTGGTTTCTGATCCAGCTCACTGCTGTTGTGCGTGGGAAAGCAGCAGCAGGTGGCCCAAGTGCTGGGGCCCTGCGGCCATGTGGGAGCCGTGGATGAAGTTCCTGGCTCTTGATGCAGCCCTGTTATTCCTTAGGCCATTTGGCCATTTGGGACTGAACCAGCAGATAGAAGAACTAATTCTATATCTCTTCTCCCCACCCACCTTTCTATATCGCTTCTGCACCCCCTCCTGTTTTTCTGTAGCTTGTCCTTTCAAATAAGTACAGGCTTTTATAAAAATGATGCATGAACAAAGTAAATATTTACCAGGAAAAAAAAGTTATAGAGAGGGGACCAAATTCTGGGGTTGAACACTATAATACTTAAAAGTTTCATTGGAGAGGCCAGTAATAGATTTAATGAATCTGAGCAAAAAATGAAATGAGCAAAGCCTGAGGGACTAACCAAGCATGGTTCAGGAGAAGAGAAGGGAGCAGAGATGACTTCAATAAATGGCCACACAGAAGACCCCTGAATTTGGCAAGAGCAGTTCAGTGAACTCTTAAATAATATAGACTCAGAAACCTGTGCTAGGACTAATAAACTGTTGAAAACCAGAGACAGTTTTGTAAGAATGGAAGGGTATTCATCAGAAACTTTGAAAGGCCAAAGGCAGTTGGTTGATAAAAAGTGCTGGAAAGGAAATAGAATACTACCTCAGGATGCATAAATCTTTCACCTTTTCCTGAAGATTTCCATCGAGAGAAAATGGAATACTAACCTAAAATTTTATGTTTGTCCTGTAAAAATGAGAGAGAAATCAGGTCATTCCGAGCTTAAAGCTAAAGCAGTTCATTTGCTACCTTTTAAGAAGTGGTAAAGGGGGCCTGTTGCAGTCTCTGGGAGTTAAGCTGCCACCTGCAGTTCTGGCTTCTGTACCTCTGACCCAGCACCCTGCTCTTGGCTGGGGAGACAGTGGAGGATGGTCCACACTGGGCCCTGTACCCACGCGGGAGACAGTGGAGGATGGCTTACGCTGGGCCCTGTACCCACGTGGGAGACAGTGGAGGATGGCCCACGCCGGGCCCTGTACCCATGTGGGAGACAGTGGAGGATGGCTTACGCTGGGCCCTGTACCCACGTGGGAGACAGTGGAGGATGGCTTACACTGGGCCCTGTACCCACATGGGAGACAGTGGAGGATGGCCCACGCCGGGCCCTGTACCCACGTGGGAGACAGTGGAGGATGGCCCACGCTGGGCCCTGTACCCACGTGGGAGACCTGGACGTGCAGCTCCTGCCTGTTGCTTCCCTCTGGGCCAGCCCTTTTGGGGAGTGAACTAATGGACAGGAGATATAATAGTTGCTAATCTCAATAATATAATATGTTGCTCAGGCCTTTCAGAGATTTATAAATGCCAAGGATCGGTGCTCCTCAAAGATTTGTGTTTGTGGGTTCTTTGGTTAATTCTTCTGTGTGTCTATAGATATGAATCCTATGCGATGAGGCCCTCTGCTTGGTTCTGCTCCTTGCTTCCAGTGACAACTTTGAGTCTCATGAATCTTAAGAACCTAGTACAGATCCTTGTTACTTGGTGCTTTCATATTTCTTTTCGGATTGACTATGAAAATCACCATATTTAGATGTGTAAATACTTTTAAGTTGGTGTGCTTTTGTTAGGAGGTTAAGTTCCAGGACTTCAAAGGATTGGATTCCTAGAAAACTTAACCGCAGTACAATTGAGAGAGATATTGATGATTTCTCCAAGTGTTTTTAGCACGCAAGCACAGTGAAATAACTTTCAGATATTCATTAAACATTTATGTGCATTGCACTTTCAGAGAACTCAGGTGGATGGAAAGGAAGTGTGCTCTGGCTGTGAAGTTACTGCATCCCAAAATGGTCTTTTGTTGGAGATTGGTATAAAAAATGTTGAACTGTCAGACATTAAGCAGTTTGATTTTAGAACGCTACCAATGGGAAATGTTGTATGAATTCAAAAACCTTATCATATTCTGTGCAGAAATGTGTGGTTAATTTGGTTCTTCACCTGTGAAATTTTAAAAAAAAAGGCAATAGGTTCATTGATGTTTATACAAGATTGAATTTGTGAACTGTTATTCTAATTTGTAAGCCTGCATATGTAGTCTTTCTCCAACTAGATGTGTTTTTAATTGAAAAGATAAAGGGGAATGTTGTTAGAAAAATGCAAAACAAAGCAAAGACCTAGACCTGCTTTCTCCTTTGTGCGTCTATGCCAAGGGCACAGTTTCAGTTTTAATTTTGAATTTTTTCCTGGTAACTATTCAGTGTACATGCATACTTACATTTTTGTAAACATTTACATGGAAATTTTTGTATGTTAATTTGTGTCCTCCTTTTTTTCATGTAGAAACAGGTTTCAGCGTTTTCTTTCAAGAAATACAGAATTTTTCAACAGTATTATTTGTTGCTGAATTTCCTGTTGTTCGCACATTACTATAACTGAACTCTTCCTTAGTACTCATTACAGTGTGCTAAAATATATTAAAAACTTTCCTTAGGTTCAACTCACTATCCTGAAAATCCATTGCTCCAAGAAGAAGGGACAAAAGGACCTCTTTGTTAGAAAGGCGTGGGAATCCCATGACCGAGCCAGCAGAAAACCGGTCGGGGTGCAGCCGGACTCCAGAGCCAGATATCAGGCTCAGAAAAGGGCCCCGGCTTGATGGTCCAAGGGGAGCTGAAAACCAACGAGAACTGGAACCCGTGTCAGAAGCATTAATTGGGCCTTCCCATCACAAAAAAGTAAGTTAAAGTGGAAGAATGGTAAAGGAAGTGAAAATTGATGGAAATGTGGCAGGAAGGGAGGCTATTTTAAGAATGAATAGGGTCAGTGCTAAAGAGGAGGAAGAGAGGGAGAGAGGAAGGCGGGTCCCCTTACGTTCTCAGAATTGGTATCTAAGAACCACATTGAATCTGGAAAAACTCAAAATTAAAATGAAAAAAGATGGGATGCTGATTTCTATTTTTTCCAGGATATTCTGACGCCTGTATTAGTTCAGGTAGTATTTGATTTAATAGTTAATGCCTTTCTGTCAACAGTTAAAATCATTTTTTATTTACTTTGTTTTTTTTTGGTAGAGAAAAAGTGGGTATTTGTAGTTAACATACAAACTTTCTAATTAGGGCCCTGCCTGGTGGCCTGATGGCTAAAGTCCTCACCTTGAATGTACCATATGGGATCCCATATGGGCACCGGTTCTAATCCCGGCAGCTCCACTTCCCATCCAGCTCCCTGCCTGTGGCCCGGAAAGCAGTAAAGGACAGCCCAAAGCTTTGGGACGCTGTACCCACGTGGGAGACCTGGAAGAGGTTCCTGCCTCCTGGCTTCGGATTGGCGTAGCACCAGCCATTGCAGTCACTTGGGGAGTGAATCATTGGATGGAAGATCTTCCTCTCTGTCTTTCCTCCTCTCTATCTGACTTTGCAATAAAAATAAATGAATCTTAAAGAATCTTAAAGACTTTTCTAATTAAGCCATGCTAAATAGTTATAGTGTTGTCAGCGATATTTCAGGACATAATTCTAACAGCATACTGGAAATACTTTTCCAGAAACTTCTTATTTCTAGCATATACCTTGGGGTAGTGGCATATTGAGAACTAAAGACAATTTTTAATCTTTCACTTCCAAGAGAAAGAGCAGCTTTTAAGTTATTCAGGCAGTTATACTTAGGAAACAGAGTTATAAATATTTGTGAACAGTTTCAGAAAATCATTTGTTTTTAAAGATTTAATTTATTTTTATTGCAAAGTCAGATATACAAAGAGGAGGAGAGACAGAGAGGATGATTCCCTCTGCTGGTTCATTCCCCAAGTGACTGCAATGGCCAGTGCTACGCCGATCCGAAGCCAGGATCCCAGAGTTCCTCCAGGTCTCCCACACGGGTGCAGGCTCCCAAGGCATTGGGCCGTCCTCAGCTGCTTTCCCAGGGTACAAGTAGGGAGCTGGATGGGAAGTGGGACTGCCAGGATATGAATTTGTGGCCACATGGGATCCCGGTACGTGCAAAGCGAGGATTTTAGCCCCTAGTTTCTCCTCAGAAACTTCTTTCATGTTCTTTTCCTTGACATCTGCTCCCACGTTACCCTCACTCCCAGAGGTGACCACTGTGCTGATTATCAAATACTAAATAAAACTGTTGAAGTCAAGGCCACAAAAGGAATAATCAAATGTTTATGTGAGTTGTCAAATGAATAGCACACCGAGGTGTAAAATAGGAAGCCTCGTTATGGGTTGGATAGTGTATGCATTCTCTGGTAAAAATTGGTTCTTGGAGAGGATGGTGGAAAAACTCTTAAACACTGTAGCAATTTGTAGCTTTCCCAAGGGCCGCAGTACATGAGCAGTATATCCGTGTTGTTTAATTTCAGAGAGGTGGGATAAGAAACCTACAAATGTTCCTGGAGTAGGAGCAGGCAGCAATGAGAAAAAGGCTTAAAAACACTCGGCTAGGGTAGAAAGGGAAGGGTTTTAAACGGGAAAACTATGGGTTAGACAGTGAGGGCCAAGTAAGTTTAGGTATAAAAAGGCTTCTTAAACATTTTTTTTTTAGTTTATTAATTTGAAAGTCAGAAGGATAGAGCTGACTTAGAGATGTTATGTATGCTGGTTCACTGTCCAGGTGTGATCCAGGCTCAATCTAGAGTGTACGGAGTTCTCTCTGGGTCTCCCACAGGGGAGGCGGGACAAACACTGGGGCCACCTTTCCCTACCTTCCCAGGTGAATTAGCAGGGAGCTGGGTTGGAAGCAGAGCAGGCAGGACTCCAACTAGAGCTTCAGTGTGGGATGCCAGTGTTTGCAGGCAACAGGCTTAGTCCACTGGCCCCATGAGTATGTCTTACTGGTGGCAACAGTGAAGAGGCAGATTCTAGGTAGATTTTAAAATACATGAGAAGATTGTGTTGTCAATATACTTTCTATGCTGCATGTATGGCCCCTAGTCAGTATCTTGTAAAATAAAGACTGGGATAGTAAAATCTCAGGATTTCCAATGTTCTGTTCCAAATCAGAGTGTTATGGTAGATTCCCTGCCATCTCTACATGTTCATTCCCACCGTTACCTTCTGGTCCAGGGTGGAGGGTCACTGTGAAGCTATGCTAATGGTTTCTCTCTCTTTCTCTAAGGATGTAATTTATTTATTTGAAAGGCAGAGAGACAATCTTATCTGCTGGTTCACTCTCCAAATGGCCATAGTAAGCCTTCTGAAGCGATGGGTTCAAGCAAATGGCCATCTTGCACGTTTTCCCTGGAGCACTAGCAAGGAGCCACACCTGATATGGAGCAGCCAGGCTGTAACATTTGGAATGTTGATATTGCACATGGCAGCCTCATCCACTGCACCATAGTGTCAGCCTCAGCAGTAGTGTTCAGCAAATTCTTATTTACCTGGGGAATTGCGGTTGCCATATGTTGAATTAAAGACTCATAACTAAAGGTTTCGAAAAAATAGATCGTTGAAACTCTTGCTCTTAGGTATGGATGAGAAAATTGGAGCTTTCCTAGGTGAGACACCTGTGCTAATGATCTAGCTGCAGCTTACTGCCTGGTCAACCTTCTCAGAGCTTCCTCGGCATGCCGCTGCTCTCTCACAGGCTCATGCCGTCTACACTTGTGGAACTTGGTCTGGAAGCAGCAGTCTTTGAGTGATTCATTCTTTAAGATTGAATTCTTTAACATTGTTACCTCTTTCTTTTCCACAAGTTAGTTTTTTTTTTATAATTTGGAAAGACAGCGGTTTTTTGTTTGTTTTGTTTTTCAGGTTTCTACTTTATTAGCTTTAGCTTTGAACAACTTTCTTAATTTCTATGCCTAACATGATTGTATGTTAAATGAATTATCGAATAACTTACAAATAGTTGTCAGTTAAGTCAGATGAGCTTTATAAAGCATTGGGTTTTTTGTGTATTTTATAAAATATTTTTATAAGATTAGTAAATATTAGTTTTTCTTTTCTTTTGCCCCAGAGAAAATAATTTGTTTTTGTGTGTGAGAAAGGTGGTCTGTTTTCTGAACTTTATACAATGTGTTCCATGAAGATAATTCTTCAAACAAAAAACAAGTGAAGCTGCTCCAGGAATTTACAGCTGAGACAGAGGGAAGCTATTGTAGTAGAGAATCCTCTTGTCTGTCAGCGTGTTGTACGGGGTGGGCTGCTCAGAGTGCTGTGGAGGGCAAGAGCCTCTGAGACCCTTAGCTAAATTTTAGCCATGTTCTTGTCTTCTTGCATTTAAGAGTAGAGTTGGAAACATAGCTAATGTGAGCAGAAAAGCAGCATTTATGGAAAGGGGGAAAGATAGTACACATGCAAGCCTGAGTGAGTGCTGGCAACTTTGGGAGGGATTGCCCACACCTGGGCTGGGCTTGCTGCTTTTGTGGGATAAGAGGTGTTGGGAAGGACTAGATTGAAAATTCTAAGAAGGCAGTGCGTCCAGTAATCTCCAGGTAGGATTCGGTGGGGTCTCACGCATCATGGCAAGTGAAACAAGACGGTGAGGAGTGAGTCTGTGGGCCTGTTGAATTGGCATGGAGGGTGGCGGGATGGTTGGCAGTCCCTCGCTCCCTGCCCCACGTGTGTCAGCAGGAGAGAATGGTAACTGCTCATGTGTGATAGCTGGGTAGTAAGCTGACTCTGTTCATTAGGGGGTGGGTACTTGTCTCAGGTCTTATACTTGACAGAAAGAGGGTTTGATTATAGGCCCCAATGCGGTAGCCTAGTGACTAAAGTCCTCACCTTGCATGCACCAGGATCCCATATGGGCACCGGTTCATATCCCGGCAGTCCTGCTTCCCATCCAGCTCCCTGCTTGTGGCCTGGGAAAGCACTCGAGGACGACCCAAAGCTTTGAAACTCTGCACCTGTGTGGGAGATATGAAAGAGGCTCTGGGCTCCTGGCTTCGGATCGGCACAGCTCCAGCTGTTGCAGCTTCTTGGAGAATGAACCAGCAGACGGAAGCTCTTCCTCTCTGTCTCTCCTCCTCTCTGTATATCTGATTTTCTGATAAAAATAAATATTAAAAAAAAGTTTAATTATGATCTGCAGAAAGGAAAAAAAAAAGTGTTTATTGTATCATTGGATTCTCATTCTTTCATTGTTTTTCTGGTTTCCCTGCAGAGCTCTGGGGAACATGAGTGCGGTGAAGAAGTTTCCCATGAAGATGAGGGGTTTATGGGCATGTCCCCTCTCCTGCAAGCCCATCATGCTATGGAGAGAATGGAAGAGTTTGTGTGTAAGGTAAGATGACGGTATCCTCTCATTTCCACGCTGTGTATTTAGTCATTACCACCAATCAGAAATCGCTAAACAGCGTGGATACTTTAGCATTCAGTTTCCTGTGGGAAAAATCTGTGGTAGACTGAGGGCAGGGGAAGTCTTCTGAATTGCTTTAGTAAAGTTTTACAAATAAATAGTAAAGATTTATTTATTTTTATTTAGAAGGCAGAGTTACAGGGAGACAGAGAAAGTGAGAGAGAAGGATTTTATAGTCACTTTATTGTGTGGTAGAACCCAAAACCTCCTGCCACCTAGCTACAACCCAGCATCTATGAACCAACCTTTGTCCATCCTTCCCTCCCCACTTGCCACCCAGCTTTTGGTAAGCACGATTGTATTTTTAGCTTTTATGAGATTTCTATTTTTTTAAGTCAACATGTGAGTAGATCTTGTGATATTTTATCTTACCGTGCTTCACTTGATGTTGTCACCTGCGGTTTAGTCAAGGTGTTGTAAATGACAAATCTGATCCTTTTATGACTGAGTTACATTTCCATGTTGACACACCCATTTTCTTTAGACTTTCATCAGTACAAGGACCCTTAGGTTGTTTCCATGTCTTGGCTCTTGTGGAATGCAGACAGCTCGACGGATGAATTTCATTTCCCTTTGGAATGTTCCCAGTTGGTGGAACTGCTAGATCGTATGGTGATTCTAGTTTCCAGTTTTTGAGGAACCTCTGGACTGTTTAATGTATAATCCCACAAACAGCATGCAAGGATTCCCTTTTCTCTATATCTTCTCCATCGCTTTTTGTAAGACAAAGTAGGGGACTGACAGTAAGTGATGCTGTTGCCCGGAACAGCTTGCGTCCCATATGGGTGTGGTTTGTATCCTGGCAGTTCCACTTTGGAGCCAGCTCACTGCTGATAGCCTGGGGAGCAGGAGAGGACGGCCCTGTTCTCTGGGCTCTTGTACTCACATGGAAGACCCAGACACTTTTGGCTTAGGCCTGGTCCAGACCTGGCCATTGGGGCCATTTGGGGAACGCACCAGCAGTTGGAAGATGGAACTCTGCGTATCCCTCTCCCACTCCTGTAGCTCTTTGAGCTAGCTGGCTAGATAAACCTTTTTTTAAAAAGCAGGGGAAGGGGTTCCAGGGAGTGAATATCTCTTCCATCTGCTGGTTCATGCTTAAAATAGCTGTGGCATCCATATCTACACACAAGTCAGGGGTCAGGAACTGCATCCTCATCCCCCACATGTATAGCAGGGGCCCACATACTTGGGGTCATTTTCCACTACCCTCCCAGATGTATTAGCAGGAAGTTGGACCAAAGGTGAGCTCGAGTGGTATAAGATATTGATGGTGGCTTACCTGTAGTACTACAGTGCCAGCCCCTCATGTTTGGTTTTGATAATGGCCAGTTTTACTGGAGTAAGGTGATACCTGATTTGGGGTTTTGATTTCATCTCCCTGGTTGTAAGTAGTGTAGAGCTGGTGTTATGGTGTTGCAGACTAAGCTGCTGACTCGAGTCCCAGCTGCTTCATTTCTGACTCGACTCTCTGCTGATGCATCTGGGAAAGCAGCAGCGTGTGGCCCAAGTGCTCACTGGGCGGCCACACACGTGGGAGGCCAGGATGGAGTTCACAGTTCCTGGCTTTGCTCTGAGCAGGAGCTGGTATTGGCAGCCATTTGGGGAGTGAGGCAGACAATGGATGCGTTAGCAGAAAGTGGAATCAGAAGTGGAACAGTGGGGCTTTAATCAGGACCTCATAGGGAATGCTGGCATTGTAGGTGGCAGCTTAAGTTAATGCTGTGCTGTAGTGACAGGCCCTGCTTTCGGATGCTTTAATGTTGTTATTGTTGTCATTATTATTATTACACAATTTATATACTTTGAAAAATTACAGAGAGAGGGAAAGATAGATAGAGGATTTTCCTTCCACTGGTTCACTTTCCAAATGGCCACCATGGCCAGAGCTGGACCCGACCACGGTTGGGAGCCAGGAACTTTTTCCTGGTCTCCCACATATGTGCAGGAGCTCAAGGACTTGAGCCATCCTCTGTTACTTTGCCAGACCATTGGTCAGTACTTGCTCAAACGTGGAGCAGCTGGGATGTGAACTGGTGCCCAAATGGGATGGCACACCACCATACCAGCCCATGACTACAACTTTTTAGACCTTATAGTAAAGTTATAAATGATTGGATCAGAGGTGGAACAGCCAGAAGTGAAAGTACCATCCGTATGTTAGTCTGGCACTGCAGGTGGCAGCTTTTCCTGCCATGCCATGGGGCTGACCCCAAAATATTGTTTCCTTATGTATGTATGTGTCTCTGTATGCGTGAATGGTGGAAATGTACACACACACACACACACACACACTTCTCTTAATTGTCATACTTAATTTTGATAAACCAGCCCATTCTACATGTGCTGTCACTTTTTATGTCACTCATGGTTACCCTCCTTGCCAAACCAGCTGAAGTGACAGCAGAGTTGATCATTGTCCTCCGTTTATGACACATGAGTAAGGTCTGTGGACAGAGAACAATCCTTCGGAAAGTTTGAGGAAAAGGTGGAATTACAAATAAGTCTATTCTAGTACAAAACAATTTTGAAATTCCTGCTTCGTTTTTTCATAGTGTGCATTTCCCACGAAGTTTTTAAAGTTGTTTTCCGTGGTGCAGCTTTGTGGATTTGGGGGTTTGTGCTTCCTCCTCCCCCTTCTTTCCTACCATTTTCCACTCCCACCGTTTTCCTCAGTGTTACTGCGAAGGTATAGTCCCTCCATACAAGTTGCAGCCTTGATTTTCTGATATTTAAATGTGTCAAGTACCCTTACATGTTAAAGCCACCAAATAATATTTGAAAAAGATAAAAAAAGATGAATGGTTGACACACCATTATTACCATATTAGCTCATTTCTACAGTGAAACCAGTGAGTTTTCTACCTTGTGATATTTGCTTTTTACTTAGTAGTATCTGTTTCAGTATGAGAAACTCCATTTGGTGTTTGTTACAAATCTGGTGTTAATAAATTCTCTGACGTTTTGTTTGTCTAAGGATTATTTTTTATATCTCCCTTATTTCTGAAGGATAATTTTGCTGGATAAATGTTCTTGGCTGGCAATTTGTTTTTTTTTTTTTAAAGATTTATTTATTTATTTATTTTTATTACAAAGTCAGATATACAGAGACAAGGAGAGATAGAGAGGAAGATCTTCCGTCCGATGATTCACTCCCCAAGTGGCCGCAACGGCCGGTGCTGTGCCGATCCGGAGGCAGGAGCCAGCAACCTCCTCCGGGTCGCCCATGCAGGTGCAGGGTCTCAAGGCTTTGGGCTGTTCCTCAACTACTTTTCCAGGCCACAGGCAGGGAGCTGGATGGGAAGTAGGGCCGCTGGGATTAGAACCAGAGCTCATATGGGATCCTGGCACATTCAAGGCGAGAACTCTAGCTGCTAGGCCACCATGCTGGGCCCAGTAGCATCATTTTCTTCAAGAAGGTTTTTTATTTTCTTTTGCATTTCTTCTGCGGTACATTAGTCATTCGGTAGTGTTTAACTTCATGGTGGTGTAAATTTTTGTTCTTTCTTCCTGTTGTTGATTTTTGTGGCTTTTCATTTAAGGGGATGTATAGTAACTGTGTAATGGAGACTGTCATATCCAGATGTGAGGATGCAATGCAGTGTGCATCTCTACTTTCAGATCAAAGGTGGACTCCCAAACAAACTTAAAACTTGACAGTAGGATGCTGGACTCTCTGCCATTGTCCATGCTTGCAATGTTAGACATATGACTGTGCACGAAGTACTATACTATTGTAATAATATAGGGGAACTCAGTGGGTGAGAGGCGATTTGGGTAGGGGAGGGTAAAGAAATACCAGGGTCTATGGAATTGTATCATTACATCATCATCATCATAAATAGAGAAAAGGGGAATAAAAGTAAACCACAGGGGCTTGTACTATGGCATAGTAGGTTGGGCCTTCACCTGTGGCACTGGCATCCCATTTGAATGGGAGGCTCCCTGCTTGTGGTCTGGGAAAGCAGTGGAGAATGGCCCAAAGCCTTGGGACCCTGCACCCATGTGGGAGAGCTGGAACAAGCTCTTGGTTCTTGGCTTGGGATCTGATCAGTTGCAGGTGTCAGAGCATTTGAGGAGTGAACCAACAGATGGAAGACCCTTTCTCTGTCCCCTTGTCTCTGTGTAACTGTCTTTCAAATAAAAATAAAATAAATCTTTAAACCCACAAATCTCAGTGAGGAAGAGAGCAGGTAGTGGGGTGGTAGGAAGGGGCAGTCTCTGCACAACAGATTTCTGTGGCTTAGCTGTGTTGTCACTAGACCCCTGAGGGCTAGAGGTGAGAGTCCCTGTCTCAAGGTAAATTCTGCCAATTCTTGATTTACAGCTTTACAACGAAGACCTATCTCTCCTTACTTGATTTCCCACCAGTGTCCTCACACCAAGCCAACGAAAAGTTGTTATACAAATGTGGTCCTAGATTAGAAGGGTTACTGAGCCCTCACTGGTTGGAAGGTAGATTGTGTGCCTGGCATTTTTTTCCTTACATTTTTCTGTTTAACAGAAGCAAATTAGTTCAGGATTAAGTGAACCTTGTGATTTGAACTCTCTGAGCTTAGACGTGTTAGAAAACTGACGAACTTTCTAAGGAGAGAATCCCAGCCTCCTGAGCCCCTTTCCTCCGGATCCTCGTGGGGAGACACAGGGAGGAAAGAAGGGGCTCAGCAATTCTGGCACTCCAGCTGAGCTCTGCCATCTCCAGCGTGGGGAGGAGCGGGGCTTAGTCACCATGGCCATCAGCTTGTCATTGCCATCTGACAGATACCTGCAAGGAGCTCCCTAGAAGGAAAGAGTTAATGTATTCATTTCAAGATTTGTTTTCTTTGTTTGGAAAGCAGTCTTATTAGAGAGATAGAGGAAGAGAAATCTTTCATCTGCTGGTCTACTCCCCAAAAGGCTGCAACAGATGGGGCAGGGCTGGCCCAAAGCCAGGGTCCAGGAGCTTCTTCCTTGTCTCCCATGTGGTTGTGAGGGTCCAAGAACATGGGCTGTTTTTGCTGCAATTCCCTAGACACATCAGCAGCGAGCTGGATTGGAAGTGGAACATCTGGACTCAAACCAGAACCTGTGTGGAAGCTGGCATTCTAGGCTGCAGCTTCTTGTGTAATGCTGCAGCCGTGGGCCTGAGTGAGTTGTATTCTGGCTCATGGTTTTGGAGGTTCCCAGTCCCAGACTGAGTGGCCCTATTGGACTGATGTTTGATGAAGAGAGCCACTGATGGCAGAGGATGTACAGAAGGAGGGTCGTACTTTAAGCCAGGAGCTGGGAAGGCTAGGCTTGTCTTGTCAGCCAAGCCTCTCAGGAGAAGTACCTTCTGAAGGTACACCCCAGTGACCAAACGGCCACCACTAGACCCACCATAGACCCGAAGGAGCCGTCTCTGCCTTATTCCATTAACCATTAGCTGTTAACGTGAGAGCTGTGGACCAAGATGCCGATAACATGGGCTTTTGGGTAACACCAAACTATTATGAAAACAGCCAAAGTATTATGCAAGGCATAACAGCGCCAGTTGCTGGGTGATTGATTGCATGTGGGGATGGTTAGGGTTACACACCGTCTTTCTCTGGTGGGTGCTAGGAGTGCATGGACTCGTCTTGTTGATTTGGTCCTCCTAATTTCCGTATTGAGTAGTTGAACCACCATTATCTTCATGTTATGTGTGAAGAAAATGAAGCTTGGAGATTTGTGATCAGTTAAAGCTCCTACAATTAGTTAATGTCAGGAATCCGGATTTTTCCTACACCTGCCCTTTTTGTTTTCTGTTTCATCAAATTTACTGTGGTTATGCCCAAAAAAGAAAAGGGGGACGGGAAAGGCTTTCTAGCAAAAGACACAGAATTGTGATTCTGTATAGTTCTTTTTCTAACCAAAGGAACATAAGATAGAAAAGCTGTCATATTTAACAGCGCTGGGACTTTTCAGAGGTAGAGTCTGTTCGGAATGAAGGGGGATTAGTGTGTGCAAAGAGTTGGATCCTTCCCCCACCGCTAGCCGACTGAGACAAAACTTGGAACCGTCCTTTAGGGCATGTTCTATGAATCTGTTCATTCTTTCCTTTTGCTAAGAAAGTTCTTCCATTTAAGAAATATCTTCTCATCAGTCTGTTTTTAACTAAAGATTTTTCCCTGGTGTGAAGCAGTGTGGTAAGAGGTGGCTGCGTGGGCTAAGTGTTGGAGAAGCGGACGGCACTGATTTGATGACGCTCTTCTCTTAGGTTTGGGAGGGTCGATGGCGAGTGATCCCTCATGATGTGCTACCAGACTGGCTCAAGGATAACGACTTTCTTTTACACGGACACCGGCCTCCGATGCCTTCCTTCCGGGCCTGTTTTAAGAGCATTTTCAGAATACACACAGAGACAGGCAACATCTGGACACATCTCTTAGGTATGTATGAACGAGTTTCTTCCATTTATTTGCATGTCTTTGAAGGGAAGGGCAGAAGCTTTTTGTTAATATTTATGTATTTATTTTTGGACCCAACATGATAGCATAGCGGTTAAAGTCCTCACCTTAAATGTACCGAGATCCCATATGGGTGCTGGTTCTAATCCTGGTGGCCCTACTTCCCATCCAGCTCCCTGCTTGTGACCTGGGAAAGCAGTCGAAGATGGCCAAAAGCTTTGGGACCCTGCACCAGCGTGGGAGACCTGGAAGAAGCTCCTGGCTCCTGGCTTTAGATTGGCTCAGCTCTGACCGTTGCGGTTGCTTGGGGAGTGAATCTTCAGACGGAAGATCTTCCTCTCTGTCTCTCCTTCTCTCTGTATATCTGCCTTTCCAATAAAAATAATTTTTTTTCAAATATTTATTTATTTGTATTGGGAAGGCAGATTTACAGGGAGAAGGAGAGACAGAAAGAAAGAGCTTCCATCCATCTGTTGGCTCACTCCCAAGATGGCCACAATAGCCGGAGCTGAGCTGATTTGAAGCCAGGAGCATCCTCCGGATCTTCCACATTGGTGCAGGGTCTCAAGGCTTTGGACCATCCTCTGCTGCTTTCCCAAGCATAAGCAAGGATGGGAACTGGAGTGGTTGGGACACGAACCGGTGCCCAGTGGGGTGCTGGTGCTTGAAGAGGAGAGGATTAGCCAGGTGAGCCATTGTGTCAGGCCTGAGGACAAAACTGTACAAATGCAGTGGAGCTGCCATTTTGTTCTCTGGCTTTTTAGGGTGAAGTTTTGCACTGGTTTACTATTTAGTTTGCACTGTGATCTTACTGTAGATAACTATTTTTCTCTAGATTGTTAGTGCCCTCAAACCAGACCAGGGAACAGTTACTTACGTTGTACAGTATTATTTTAATAAGCATTGAGAGAAGAGTATTATTTAATGGAAGTTGAGGATATTTAATGTCCATCTCTTGTGCTCTTCTCCTAGGTTGTGTGTTCTTTCTGTGCCTGGGGATCTTTTATATGTTCCGTCCGAACATCTCCTTTGTGGCCCCTCTGCAGGAGAAGGTGGTCTTTGGGTTATTCTTCCTAGGAGCCATTCTCTGCCTTTCTTTCTCGTGGCTCTTCCACACAGTCTACTGCCACTCAGAAGGGGTCTCCCGGCTCTTCTCCAAGTAAGTGTCTGTGATGTGGTGGTCTGAGGCTGAGGGCCAGTTCATTAGGGGACAGTGTCCAATGGAAAAATCCTTGGTGTCATCTCATGGGAACATTTCTGTGGTTTTACGTTAGTCAGCGGTAGAGTTTGCTCCTTAGCTGTTGGTAGCTCATGCCATATGGGTTTAATTAACATTAAATGAGTTTTCCTTTTAAATCCTAGACTGGATTACTCTGGTATTGCTCTTCTGATTATGGGAAGTTTTGTTCCGTGGCTGTATTATTCCTTCTACTGTAACCCACAACCCTGCTTCATCTACTTGATTGTCATCTGTGTGCTGGGCATTGCTGCCATCATAGTGTCGCAGTGGGACATGTTTGCCACCCCGCAGTATCGGGGAGTAAGAGCAGGTAAGAGCAAGTTGAGGTTTACTTGGGGCATTCATTTATTCCCACTCGTTTAATGAAGGCCTGCTATTTGCCAAACATTGTATTAGGTGATGCAAAGATAGCCAGGTCACAGTTTGTTTTGTAGAGGTGTTTTTCATGTAGTGAGTGTGGGACAGGTAGCAGTGTTTGTAAGCTGTCCTAAAATATTGAGATATCAGGGGGTGGGAGTGGGGACAATGAGCTGGATGAGGCGATATGATTTCCTTGAGTTTTTGGGTTGTATTGCTTATAAGGCAGTAACTTTGTCACTTTTGTAAAATAAACAATGATTTCTCTTTCAGGTTGCATTATATTTTTATGGTGATTGAATTTTTGTTGTCATGTTTTACGTTTTGTTCTAAAGATTTATTTTACATATTTGAAAGGCAGAATTACAGAACAGAAAGGGGAGAGAGACAGGTTTTTTCTCCTCCAGTTCTTTCCCAAATGGCTGCCTCTGCTTGGGCAGGAGCTTCACCGGGGTCTCCACACACTCGGGCCGTCCTGCTTCCACTGCTTTCCCAGGCACATTCCTGTCCACTGGACGGACGTGGAGCAACTGACGCTAGTGTCACAGGCTCCACCCAGAGCATCACAGCGCCGATGCCTTGCTTTGTATTTTTACTTCTAAATATGAAATCTCTTCAGGTAAATCAGGATTTGTCTTGTACTGATTGTGTTAAAGTAGGTACAGTGTGTTCTCTTAAAAAAATTTTTTTTATTTTTTATTTGAAAGGCAGATGCATGGATGGTACACGTCAGGCTTTGGAGTCCTTGGCTGCTGCCCGCACAGGTGTGGGAGCAGGCAGGTAGATTACTGCTGGAGCTGCACCCCACCGCAGGCCCCGTGCAACCCCTTGGAAGGAGGGAAAGCTTACGCCCGTGTGTCAGTTGGCACTTAGACCTAGATACCTGTGAGGAAACCAGAGGCCCTCTCAGTGTCATGCTGGGGTCGCCTTGCGGGGGTGCGGAAATCAGAAAGCAGAAATCTTCCTGTCTCCTCCTGACCCGGAAGTGCCTGGCGAGCCAGGGCTGTGTCTTGAGTTGCTGTCCCATGTCGGGCTCCGTCCCTGCTGAGAATGAACAAATCAGGCAGTGTTGTTAACAGGAGTGTTTTTGTCTTTAGCCTTTGTTTTATGTACTTATTTATTTATTTTTAAAGAGATTTATTGGAAAGTCAGATATACAGAGAGGAGGAGAGACAGAGAGGAAAATCTTCCATTCAATGATTCACTCCCCAAGTGAGCGCAACAGCCGATGCTATGCTGGTCTGAACCCAGGATCCAGGAACTTCTTCTGGGTCTCCCACATGGGTGCAGGGTCCCAAAGCTTTGGGCCATCCTTGACTGCTTTCCCAGGCCACAGGCAGGGAGCTGGATGGGAAGTGGAACTGCCGGGATTAGAACCAGCGCCCATAAGGGATCCCAGTGCAGCTAGGCTATTGCGTCAGGCCTTAGCCTTTGTTTTAAACCTTAATATTAAATCCAGTCATTTACAGTTACCTGGAAGGCTAGAAGCAGAATGAACTTGATGCGGGCCCTGTTTTTCTCATGCTGCCCTCCTCGTGGTGTGCTCCTAGGGCTAGCTGGCAGGACGCGAGTGGGGCTGGAGTGCATGCTGTGGGTCTTGGTTGAGGCGAGCTGGCCCTTTTGCTCTTGCTGAGCATTGCAAGGTGCCCCCTTTGAACCTCAGCTTTGGCACTTGGCGGGCAGAGGGAAGAATAGTGAGGGCTCGCCTTCGGGGTCAGCTCCCTGACAGAGGAGCTGAGGGAGCGAGCAGGAAGCTTTTCTTTTCCTTTTTAAAAAATGTTGAAGCTGACAAAAACTAAGGTACAGATTTCTGAGGTCTAGTGTGATTGTTCTGTGCGCACACACACGTTGTGTACCCAGTCAGGGCAGTCAGTGTTTCCGGACTTCAGTACTTACCCTTTCTTTGTGTTCGGATGTGCAGAACCCTTCCTCTGCCTCTTCTGCGGTGCACCCGGTGCCCGCGGAGCCCCTGCCCTGGGCCTTCGTGCACCGCCTCTCCGACTTCTCTTTTCTCTCCTCCTCGCCCCTCCCCTCGATTTAGTTGCATGTTTTTGTTTGTTTGAAGGGCAGAGTTACAGGGAGAGAAGGAGAGAGAGATCTTCCTACTGCTTTATTCCCCAGATAACTGGAGCCAGAGCTGAGCTGGTCTGAGGCCGGGAGTGAGGAGCCCGGAGCTTCATCCGGACTTCCCACCTGGGTGCAGGGGCCCAAGCACTTGAGCCATCCTCTGCTGCTTCCCCAGGCCATGAGCAGCAAGATGGATCAGAAGTGCAGCATTCGTATAGGATGCTGATACCACAGGTGGAGGCTTAATGTGCTGTACCACAGTGTGGCCCTGGACAGTCACAGTGACCCTGGTCACAGTGTGGCCCTGGACAGTCACAGTGTGGCCCTGGACAGTCACAGTGGCCCTGGACAGTCGCAGTGGCCCTGGTCACAGTGTGGCCCTGGTCACAGTGTGGCCCTGGACAGTCACAGTGACCCTGGTCACAATGTGGCCCTGGACAGTCACAGTGGCCCTGGACAGTCACAGTGGCCCTGGACAGTCACAGTGTGGCCCTGGACAGTCACAGTGGCCCTGGACAGTCACAGTGTGGCCCTGGACAGTCACAGTGGCCCTGGACAGTCACAGTGTGGCCCTGGACAGTCACAGTGACTCTGGTCACAGTGTGGCCCTGGACTCCTACTTATTCGTGCATGCATCATGCGTGTGTTCATATCATAATGTCATAGATAATATTATATATCATGTATTATTATACATAATGTATAATACATTTATTACCTATCAGCACCTTATTTGGTAATGTCCAAAATAAGTGAGAGCCTTGTCTGTAGTGACAGCTTTCCAAATGAGAACTTGTTCTGCAAGGATTATGCTTAGCTTTGCCTGGCAAAACCTAGGGGCATTACCGGCTGAGGCAAGGACTCCACTGTGGCTTTGACTGGCACAGATCTCAAAATGATTTTCAACTTGTGGGTTTAAACTTTTATTGTTATATTTTCTGTTATAATCCTAATCTGTAAATTTATGTAAGTTACAGAACTTTACAAAGTAGTATTTAACCCTTCACTTGTGACACACTCACATTTCTTAAATTCTAGTTCACTTTTTAAAATGCCTGTTGAGATTCTGTTTATCTTAGAACTAACAGGTTTAAAACTTCTGCTGTAGATGATTTTAAAGGCAGGAGGCAGTGCCAGGAGATCCTTAAATGACAAATTAGGACATTTGTTCAAAGCATCTAAAAGAAAAAACAAACCCCAATCCGCGGCTAGAGTCAGAGACGGGTGTAAAGTGTCTCAACTTTCCAGCCTCCTCTGCCGCCCAGGCTGTGTGATCATGCATCCTCCACCCCCAGCCCAAGGATGTCTGTTGCTTCAAAGAGAAAGGAAGGTGTGTGGAGATGGTGGGGTTGGGTTGTTGTGTAGGTCTTCCCCCGGAACGGGGGGCACCTGACTCTGCGCCCCTGAGGCGAAGGCTCCTTGTGTCTGTGCCTGGATGTGGAGAATGCCTGTGCTGTTCTGTGTGGCCACCTCTCAGAGTTGGAAGAACCTTCTGTTTCATAATGTGTCCTGCGTGGATAGACTCGGCTTACAGAGTTTCTGGTAGAGTGTGTAATGCCGACTTCTTTCCGTAGCCTCACTGCCTTCCTTTCTTGTGGCTCGTAGGCGTGTTTCTGGGCCTAGGCCTGAGTGGGATCATTCCTACGCTGCACTACGTCATCTCGGAGGGCTTCCTCAAGGCTGCCACCATAGGGCAGATCGGCTGGCTGCTGCTCATGGCCAGCCTGTACATCACAGGGGCCGCCCTGTACGCTGCCCGGATCCCAGAGCGCTTCTTTCCTGGCAAGTGTGACATCTGGGTGAGTACGGCAGGGCGGGTAAGTGCATGTGCGTACCTGTCAGTGGCTCATGGGCGAGCAGGCGGACGGGATGATCAGAACAGTCCTAGGCTTGGTGCTGTGTTAGGGGCCTGCGTCCCTCACCGGCTGTGTTCTCGGGACAGTGAGCGCATAGCTGCCGTGTATTGGTTGGGCACTTGGTGCCAGCACCGTGCCAGGTGCCTTACCTGAATCACCATTGGCCCTGTTTTACACACACACACACACAGAATTACATGTGCTTCCATTTTAGATACTAGGAAGCTGAGGCTTGCAGAAGTAGGGAACTCCTTCAAGGCACATGATTTTTGACTGGTAAAATTGGATATTTTTTTTAAAACTTTTTTATTGGAAAGGCAGATCCATCCACAGAGGCAGATCTTCCATCTGCTGGCTCACTCCCCAAATGGCCACACCAGCTGGAGCTGAACTGCTCTGAAGCCAGGCCCCTCCTCAGGCTCTCCCGTCTGGAATGCCAGTGCTGGCACGTAGAGGAGTAGCTGATGGAGCCATTGTGCTTGAACCTCTAGAACTGGAATTGCAGTCAAGCTTGTTTGTGTTTTATTTTTAAAGATTTACTTATTGATATGAAAGACTGGTTCACTCCTCAAATGACTGCAGCAGCCAACACTGCGTCAAGCTGAAGCCAGGAGCCAGGAACTCCGTGTGGGTCTGGAACTCAAGCACTTGGCCCGTTGATTCATCTTAATTTTGACATTGAGAACAGAGGGATTTTACTCCTTCTGGAAGGATTATTTGATTTCCTAGGAACATCTCTCTGGGTTGTGACTTTTGAGTGCTGCTGGTTTATGCTTCTGCCTGAGTCAGTGTTCCTCCCATGAGAAGGGCTGCAGTGCCAGGGCACAGGAGAGAGGAGAGAGCGGTGGCTTTTACAGTGACGGTGTGCTGAGCCGTGGGGACACACCGCGGCCTTCAGCAGGGCGGTAAAGTGATACATGTTGTTGCAGCCTGGTCCCAGCGCTGACCTGTCGCAGGCCCCTCTGTGTGACCAAGGCCGGCTGCCAGGAGTTGGGAGACCCTTCCAGGCGTCTTGTCGGGGATCTGTGGCTCCCTCACACCGAGGTCACAGACACGCTAGAGTTAAGTGTGTAGATTTTCGTGTCTCAGGCTTGGTGACAGCCCCTGGGTTTCTTTGGGGACAGCTGGCTTTCAGTCAGCAGAATGTGATAGGCCTAATGGATATTCCGGGGTCTGTGGACACCTTGACTTTGAGCTCTGTAGCAACCGTTCCACACCCTCTGCTCAGCATAAAGCAGGATTAAATGATCATAAAGATCCTAGCAGACTTAGTAATGTATGCGTTTCTCCACTCTCTCCTTGTGTCCCCCCTCCAGTTTCACTCCCATCAGCTGTTTCACATCTTTGTGGTGGCTGGAGCTTTTGTTCACTTCCACGGTGTCTCCAACCTCCAGGAGTTCCGCTTCATGATTGGCGGGGGCTGCAGTGAAGAGGATGTGCTGTGAAAGCTCCCGGCAGCCAGGGACTGGACCCTGAACCATGGCCTGCGGCACCTGCGGGTCTCTCGCTGGCCGCCGGCGCCAGCAGTATCCGAGAGTCCCCGAACTGACACCGTCATGGGCCTGTGGTGGCCCAGGGCTCCATGTGGTACACGACTGAGAAGAGAAAAGCAAAAATAAATCATACCTCAGAGGATGGAGTGCATCAGTTAGGAAGAAAGAGAAACGGCCCAAAGCCCGACTTGCTCCTGTGTGGCCTCTCCACGGAAGGCTCCCAGGGCCTCCGGCAGCCCGCCTCCCGGCCACGGCGTGTTTATCTGTAGAGGGAGGGGACGCAGTTAGCTGCTGGTTCTTCTCCCTTTTGCTCTCCTTAAAACAATAATCCAAACCAATTTAGGTGAACGTTTATATTCAATTAAGGGTGGGAGTATGATTTTAGATGCTCTTTTGGGCAAAGAAATTAATGTAAATAAGATTTCTAACTTACTGTTTAAATCAGAATTTATATAAATGTTTAAAACTTAGGGGCAGGGGGAGGGAGGGAGCATTTTTGTATAGAATGAAACATGCAAGTACCACACACTGTTTCAATGTCGCACAAAGGGACTGTGGGAATCAGCTGATGGCCCGGAATGTGCAGTGTCTTGGTGCAATGAGGTGCCTTCTGCAGGCTGACAGACCTTGGGCCCTAGTGAGTCGGAGAGGGTGGCCCAGTGCAGTGACCACATGACCACTGTCAAGGCCGAGCCCGGGGAGCCCTGAGTTGGACAAAGTTGGTGTGTGTTCTCAGTGGAAGCAGCAGGTGCACGACTGACAGGGCGTTAGGATAAAGACCCGAGCTAAGGCGGTGTTTCAGAGACGGACTCGTGGACTGAGAGAGCGACCCCTCTTGTCATCCAGGTGCTGGGCAAGGGGCAGAGGGGACGAGGGCCGGCCTCTGGACACACTGGCACAAGGGCTGCTGTGCTGATGTCCTGGCATCCTGTGTGTTCTTCAACTAGTTCTTGCCTGATTAGAAAGTTGTGAGTTTTCCAAATCTTGCTATGGAGTTCTGGAATACCCTGTAGATTTCCCTCTATTAAAAAGTCACTGCCCTAACTTAATCCCTGACTGAAAACCCGACCTTTCTGGCGTCATACTCTGTGGCTTGGAGCTGGCCGCGGCGAGAGTCCCCCACCCCAGCACTCCTTTCAAAGGCTGGCGGCCCCTTCCTTTGGATTAGGAAGGAAGAATATGGCCTTGGCACACGGGTTTGGTCGAGCCTCGGCACGATGGGCATTGCAGCTCCCTTGCGCAGCAAAGCCCATCGCAGAACTCCGGTAAGGCTGCTTCAGGCCTTGCTCACCACGCAGGAGTGCTTATTGCCAGCAAGTCCAGTGTGGACTCCTGAGCCCATCTTTCTGAGTTACCACTGGAAATAAAACCGACACTGCTCCTGTCTCGCAGTGTAAGGTTGTCAGAAGGTAAGGGCAGGGGAGATTCTGGTGCATAGAACTCTGATCTTGGCTTCTAAAAGCCAAGGTAGCTTCCCCAAATAGCATCATGTCTTACATTACTGTCAGCTGAGACTTTGCGTCCAGGGGCTTGCAGGTATCAGAACTGAACGCAAGACCCTGGGCCTGGGGGCTGACATCCCCTCTGGGACGGTTCAGGAGTAAAGGGAGGGCCTCCCATTTGCTGTGAGTCCAGGAAGGAGGGGTCCGTGAGCGGGTTGGGTGCTGAATGCCATGTCCTGGTGCTAGGTGGGCCGAGCCAGAGGTGCCGCGCCGACCCGCGCCCTGCCTCATGAGGCTGAAGCAGTGTTCACGCAGTCCAGCAGGACTGTGGCCATCTGGAAGGAAGCTCACTTGGTTTGCTGGGAGCATTAGCACATAGCAGAAGCCAGACTTGCTTTTCTGTCGCACCCTGGGAGGCAGGGAGGAAGCGGCCATCTCCGGGCCCAGCTCCCCGTGCCCCACAGCAGGAGGAATCTGGTTCAACATAGCACAAACTCTTGGGAAGAATGAAGTGGACGCCACCGACACCCGCGTGTGTGTGTGCGTGTGTGTGTGTGCGCGCAGGCCTGTCTGGGCCCGTTTCTCTGTGTGTCTCCACGTGAACTTCACCCCGGCAGCCTCCCTGTGCACCTGACCGTCCAGTGCCCGCTGAGAACTCACCAGGTTGGCGCCTGACTGCCTTACTCTCAGCGGCCGGAGGCCTGCTCGCTCGTGCAGTTTCAATTTTCTTTTTTGGTCATGGGCTGCGTAGGACTTCCATGGCTTCGTTCTTTCACCGTTAAATAGTGGCCTTTTTCAGTATCTTCACCCTTCCCCTTTGCAAATTGCTGAAGCCACAAAGCACATTTTGGGGGGTAAATCTTAGAAGGCTGGGGTTCCAGAAGGCATCTGTGTGATGGCTCCATTCACCAAGAGGTTTCCCTAATTGCTGTATTCTCAGTTTCTTCTAATAAAAAGAACCAAATGGAATGTGAGTTTCCGTTGTGTTTGCTAAACTGTGTTTTCTATTTGGAAAAGAAGGCAGGGTGAGGATGGAGAGTGTGCCTTTTCTCTGCTGGTTCACTCAGCAGAAGGTGGCAACGGCCATATCTAGTGTAAGCCAAAGCCAGGAGCTCAGTCCGGCTCCCCACATGGTGGCAAGGGCCCAAGCACCTGGGCCACCCCCCGCTGCCCACCCCGGCACAGTGGCAGGGAGCTGGACCGGAAGCGGAGCAGCTGGGATTTGAGCCAGCACTCGGATGTGGACCGCAGTTGCAGGCAGCTGCTTACCTTACTGTACTGCAGCGCCTGCTCTGACCGCATTTTTTCATTTCACCTTCAGCACTGCCTAAAGCCTGAGTTTCTCTGAAATGCTCTGAAACTTTTGTGAAAGCACAGATCAGGCACTTAGCTCACGTTCCCAACCTTTTGCTAGAGAACAACTCAATGGGGCAGTACTGTATTCATTGTAGAGATTTATTTGACAGGCAGTTTTATATCTGCTGTTCCGCTCCCCAAGCAGCCTTAGTGGTTGCCAGAGGGCCAGGCTGAAGCGAAGAGCCCGGGACGTCAGGCCTCGCACGTGGGCGGCAGGGCCTTGGCACTCCAACCCGTCCTCTGCTGTCTTCAGGAGCGTGAGTAGGAAGCTGGATCAGAGTGGGGCCACTGAGTCACCATGGCACCCACACGGGATGCTGGCCGTGCACGTAGCCCCTTAACCTGTGCACCGCCACCCCTCGAGCACCTGTTCTATTATTAAAGTTTCTGCAGGTAATGCGTAATATTAGTGAATTTTTATGCCAAGGGAGATGACTAAAGAACTATGGCTCTTATAATAACCCAACGTCTGTTATTTTCATTCTTATAGAGGAAACTGAAGCATAAAGGCTTATGTCTATTGTAGCACTCTACTGGAGAAAAAAATGAGAAGAATTAAAGGAGCAAAACTTCCTTGATTATTCTGATTATTCTCATGAGTGTTGACTTAATGACTTGGAGACACACTGGGAGTTCTGTCCTTTGCTGGCTTGCCTAAATGGCCCCAGGAAGCCAAGAATTAGGAGGTGCCCTGGGCTCCCACAGAACAGTAAAGGCAAGCCACGTCATCTTCTGTTCCTTCCCAGGTGCGTTAGCAGGAAGCTGGGTTGGGACTTGAACCTGCGGCCGTGTAGGGGGATGCCGCCACACTGAAGCTCCTAAGGTCTTTCCTGTATTGCCTGGTGGGTCCCAGTCTGATCTTGGTGTAAAGATACACTCATTGGGGTTTCCTAGCTTTGATGGAAGTTTGTGCTTCCTGTTTGACAGGTGATGTTGAGGATGTCGCAGAGGAGATGGTCGAGTTTGAGCTTTGGCTTTATAAAGCCTGGGGGTTCTGGGTAGTTGGAGGACCCTGGCTGGTGTGGTGCTAACAGCTACCCCAGGGGCTGTGTTCTGTTCTCTTAGTGGGCGTGAACCTTTGGCTCACCAGCCCCCAGGGAGTCTGGGAGTGTTTGCGGTTGCCTGCATCTTCATGAAGCCTCTTGTCATCACTCCGCTGTCCCTTGGTGATGAAGAGGGCATCCCACCTCCGTGCAGCCTGGACCACAAGTCATTGCTTCCTTTACCCAAGTGGCACTGGCGGTGCAGCCTTTGTCGCCAACTGCTGGCCGAGTGGTGTTGGTGCCAAACCTCTGCCCCGCCTCCTTCCTTGCTCCTGGAGCTCCCTGACCCTTGTATTTGCTGTCCTGACCTTGAGTCCGTTCCCCTGCTGTCCTTGTGGCTGAGGCCTGTTGCCTGAGAGCATAGCGAATGGTGTCAGGAAGCTGCAGGCTCTGACAGCGGTGGTCCAGGGACTTACTGCCCTTCCCAGAGCAGGCCAGGCTGCCCTCTAGTGGTTCCATCAGGAGAGGAAGGAGGCTGGCACTGTGGCATGACTGGTAAGACAGCCCCACGTAGCGGTAACCATCCCTTCTGGGTGCCAGTTCCTGTCCTGGCTGCCCCATGTCCAGTGCCCCCAGCCTCCCTGCTCCATGGCCTGGGGGAAAGAGCAGAGGGCGGCCCAAGAGTTTAGGTCCCTGCCACCCACGTGGGAGGCTTGGAAGAAGCCCCTCTCTGTCCTGGCTCAGCCTGGCCATTGGAGCCATCCGAGGAGTGAACCAATGGATGGAAGATCACCCTCGCTCTGAGAGAAAAAAAACACGCACGTGATGAAGTCTGACCTTTAAGGGTGGGACATAGGGTCTTGATCAGAAATGGTCTTTCCTTCCCCTGGTTCAGAAGGGAATTCCCGGGGCCTGAAGTGTGGACCCGAGGGCAAGGCCAGGGGCAGCCCAGCAAGAGGTATTGGGGGAGAGGGCCTGCTGCCTTCAACCCCTGCTCCAGGTGGGCACCGATGACCTGCACCGGAGCTTTCTTGATTCCAGTGGTCAGCAGGTGTTACTGCGTGCTAGGCGGATCCAGGCTCATCATGTGGAATGGGTCACGGTGTCAGTGGTCTTCACAGTTCTCAATCCTGTGCTTGACTGAAAGATGGGAGCCATCCCAGCAGCTGTGTGCAAGGATGAAATCAATTGTACGTGCTGTTTGCCTGGCGCAGGGAACCCCTCCCCGTCACCTACGCTCTTTGGCTTTCTCCTCAGCGCCTGTAAATGATGCTGACCTCAAGGCGTGTTAGCAAGACTCAGGTGGCCGTGGCAGTGGTTTTGGGCCTTGTGTCTCGTGACGGGCTTTGTGGCTGGCCTGCTGGCTGCTTGCTGATGGACAACTTGGACTTGATGGTGTGAAGGCCCAGAGAAGGGGAGACAGACCCAGCATGACTGGACCTCCCCAGAGTTTCTGTAGGTTCTGCCCTCAATGCTGTTCTCCCAGCAAGACTGCTGCCTCTGGGGATCAGGTGTGGAGGCTGCAGAGGAGGCAGCTAGGGCAGGGGTCCCTGAAGAGGTGTGTGTGTGTTGTGGGGAGAGGGGGTGAGTTCTCGCCACGGGGCCCTCCCAGGGTTCCATCCTGTAAATCGGAATGGTCCCCAAGGATACCACGCCAGTTACGTGTACTGCAGTGGGACCATGTGGTCCCCAGGGCTCCCGTGCCCTGCTGCTGCTCTTCTGCCAGCTGCCATACTCCCAGACAGCAGGTGCATCTCAGCCTGCTTTGCCTTAGGAGCGTGTAAGTTGGGGCTTTTGGTGGACATCACACACAGCCACGCTTATGGCTCCCTTGACAATAGAACCCCTTCCTCCTCCAACACGGCCAAAGTGGGGTCGAAACTTTCCTGAGCAGCAACTGGGTGATGGGGTGCCCTTCTCCAGCAGCTCACGCGGGAGACGCTCAGTGGTAAGTGGTGCTCCTCTCTCTTCCTCAGCTGGCAGGTGGGACACCCAGGACTCAGTGGCCACCTTGAGGACAGACGGTGTTTGTCCGCTCCAGGGGTTCTGGTCACCACTTTGTGGGGTGCTCATTTCCTGTTCCAAACTGAGGGCTGGAGGCCACGCGGGGAGCTGACCTCACAGAACATCTCGGAGAGGATCGCCAGGCTGAGCCCGGCATGGCGGGCAAAAGAGGGGGGTTAGACAAGGGTGGGGACCCCACGGAAGCAGGCACACAGGGCCAGCAGCAGAAGGGCGAGTGAGGCCGAGGTGTCTGCCGCGCCGCCGCAGTCCTGGGCGTTCTCCTGCAATGGGAGCAGAGTAGGGAGGAATGCTGTGAGCAGGAAGGGACTAGCCCGAGCTGGGGCAGGGAGGGAGTGCAGGAGCTGTGGCTGCCCCCCGCTTGTCTTGGGGGCTGAGAGCTGGGGATGCAGAAGGAGCAGCAGCCAGCAGCCTGGGGTGGAGTGGGGGGAGCCACCATGGGGCGAGGCCCGCAGTCATCCTGTGATATCACCCTGCTAACTGTCCACACTCGGGTTTCCTCCCATTTTTGCTCAGAGTGAATCTAAGTGTGGTGCCAGTGAGGACCATGTGGTGCCAAGGGGGACCATTGCCTCAGCCGGGACCCCTCTGCTCGAGGAAGTGGGGTGCCTGCTGGAGCTAGTCTCTGCTCCCGGACGGCTTGCTGTGACATGGAGCCTGGATGTGGGTTTGCTGCCTTGTTCACAGCAGCCCTGTAATTCCATCCACCTTTGCACCTGCCTGGAATCTGCCCAGCAAGTCCTTCAAGGTCAAGGAGTCAGGCCCATAGGAAACACCCCTACACTTGAGACAGTGTAAGGGCAGGGCCTGGCACTCCGGCAGTCCAGCCATGGTGTCGGTGGTGGGGTCCATTGTTTTGGGGGACCTTCACCGAGGAGGCTCGGTTGTGGGGGTGTGCATGATCCACAGTGTCACAGGCTGTGGTGACTGCCTCCATGTCCACCCCCCACTTCCTTATCCCCAAAAGTCCCAGGCCTCCAATCCTGCCTTGGACTTGGTGGTGGTCAGCGCCATCCTGAGGCCACCCTGAGGCCCAGGCACCGGTCATCTCAGGGACATAGACACTTCTGAGTACCCCCCCAGAGAGGAGCTCAGACACACGCTCCTGTCCGGAACTGGGGACGGAAGCTGCTCTGGTCACCAGGGATCTGCCAAGGTCTCTCTCGGGAGCTCAGACACCTGTACCGGATCAGTGCATCTTTGCTTCCTGCACACCCCCGCCCCCACGCACAGGTATGGGGTGGCTCCCCACTGCCAGGCACGGTGCCCCTTGCCCCAGCCTGTCACCTCCGCGTGGAAGGCATGGCAGGAGTCCGGTCTGCGCCGGGGCTTCTGGGAGCGCATCCTGTGGCACTTGACCGACGCGTTATGTGGCAAGCTCGCTGTTAAGGTTAACATCGGGTACCATTTGGGAGACCCCAGAGGACCAGGGGTTGCGTCCAGAGTGGAGAGAGGGGCTGGAGAACACACACAGATGTCCCAGCACCCCTCCCCCTGCCCCAGCTCTGTGACACTGTGCCACCCCAGCTCGTCCTGGAGGACCGGAAGGAAGGATATATTTCACTTCTGTGGCCTTCTGCAGGACAGGTGGGAAGCTGCTGCAGTCACAGGTGGGGTCCGTCACCAGCAGGAGAAGGTTAGTGTTGGGGATCTGCTGTATCACGAAGACCCTGCGGCAAGGACGAGGGAGGATGCTCCTGGGGGAGAGGCTCCTGGGGACGAGGGAGGCTGCTCATGGGGGAGAGGCTCCTGGGGACGAGGGAAAGCCCTGGTGGGCCTGCCCACCCCGAGAGCCATGGGGGCAAATGATGCACTCCTCCTACTGGCCTCCTCGGGCCCCAGCTCTTGCGGTTAGCGCGCTCCTTTGCTGGCACATTTGGAGGTGCGCACCCCTCACCTTCGGAGCAGCGTTTGCAGGGAGGGCAGGCAGGCAGGCAGGCGGTGGGACTGAGCCACCCGACTCCTTCCCCTGAGGGATAGGCGGCCATCCTCCGTAAGGGAGGGCGCAGTGCCAGCATTGGCCACAAGGTGGCACTGTGCCCCTGCACACGGCTCAGGAATCTGGGACCAAGTCAGTGCCAGAGCCAGCGATGACACCGCAGCCTGGGGTCCCGCGCATCTCCTAACACACACACACACACACACACACACACACACACACACACACACACACACACACACACACACACACACACACACACACACACACACACCTTGCACGTAAGGTTGTCTTCACAAAGCCCCTAGAAAACGTGTGGTAAGTAAAAACTACTTAGGGGTTTCAGAGTGTCATAACCAAAATCAGCACATTTGCTTTGAAATTTGAGAGCAAATTAAAGAGCGTCCAACCAAAGCTTGCAATGGCTGAGCAGGGATTGCAAGGCAGGCCTCCCACGTGGCTGACATCATCCACCCCCCCCATCTCCCGGGGTCTATGTGGAGCAGCAAGCCAGAGTTGGAGTGGAGTCCAGGCACTCTACCCTGGGATGCAGACGTTGTCATGATCACCAAGCCTTTTAACCACGTTTCCCAGCTTTTCAAAGCACCTGACAAGGGACATCATGATGGCTCAGTTGGCTAATCGTCAACCTCCAAGAACCCCATGGGTGCCAGTTCGTGTCCCAGCTGCTCCGCTGCCCATTCAGCTCCCTGTTTATAGCTAGGAAAGCAGTGAGAGACGGCCCAAAGTCTTAGAACCCTGCACCCATGTGAGAGACTGGGAAACAGCTCCTGGCTTTGGATTAGCTCAGCTCTGCCGTTGTGGCCATTTGGGCAGTGAACCAATGGATGACGCTCTTTCTGACCCTCCTCTCTGTAAATATGACTTTCCAATAAGAATAAATATTAAAACAAAACAGCGTCTGATGCCCACATTTACAGCACCGCGTGTGGCGGGTCTTGCTTCTATTCTGGGAGTGACACAGCTCGGCCCGAGGCTGCTCTCAAACTCTGTGCTTGTCTTCAGTCCAAGCACCAGTCTCCCAGAAGGCGGCGGCAGGTTCAAATTCCTCCTGCAGTCCCACCTCCCCAAGAGCCCGCTGCTGCCCGCAGGCTGGCCAGCACAGGGCAGGTGCTGGGGGTAGCGAGCTGGCTAGTGCCTGGGCTGAAGGGGCCCCTCAGGTTGCAGTGGCCACCACCTCTGCCCACCCAGGCCCCGGCCTTGGTCCTCACTTGTTCCCCCCCACCAAGGGAGTAACTTCTCACCTAGAAGCAAGCCACCTTCCTTTCCCCTCTCTGCGCCCCCAAGGGTCATGAAGTCCGGCCAGCGGGGAGCAGGGGGCAGTCCCTCAGCCGGGCTGGGTCTGGCTGCCCCAGGTTCTTACTTCTGGCAGGCACCACACTCGATGATCCCGTTGGCTTCCTGGATGGCATCTTGGTGCACAAACACCGGGTACTCGGTGTCACAGGGCTGCAGCACGTCATGTTTCTTGTGCTTGTGAGCTGCGGGCAGGCAGATGGGTGCAGGTGTGAGAAAGGGCGCCGCCTAGCTGCAGGGAGTGTAGAAGTGGGCCCTGGTACAGGCAGGTGGCTTCCTGGGTCTCCAGTTCTCTGGGCGTGGGGGGACATTCGCCCCTTCGGGAGCGGGTCCTCAGGGGCAGCCATGGCCAGCAGGTGCACCCTTCTCCCCTCCCTGCTAAGAGTTTGAGAGGAGAGCCAAGTAGAGGCGCCAGGGATGTCTGATGGCTGCTGGGCAAAGCCAGTGCCCGCACACACTCCCCAACCCTCACCCCTGAGACACCTGGGGACACGTGGGGCACCCTGGAGGTGGAACCCCTGAGTCAGGACGGGCAAGAGGCAGGCCACTGGGAAGCTACAATCTGAGAAGAGAGGAAGGTTCCAGAACCTTGTGCGGAAGTGACACTTGGTGGATGGGACACTTGGTGAACACAAAGCAGCCTGAGGGGGCCCCCCGGGCCACCAGGGAGTGACAGCGAGCTCCTCCATTTTAGAGAGCAGGTGTCCTGGACCTCTGGGGGTGTGGCCTGCTTGCTTCCTGTGGGGGCTTTGCCGCTGGGGGACTCTGGTGAGGGTGCCATCCCCAGACCTGGTGGGCACCCCAGGGTTGGAGCTGCCGCTGTCTAAGGATCCCCAGAGGGTGAGCCAGTGTGTGTTCTGAGCCCAGCCTCTTTGTCCTCGGTATGTTCTTGCATGGAGGCTGCAGTACTGGATGTGTATAGGATGAGATCCCAAGCTCCCAGCCCTTCTGGACTCATCCCTGGGATGCAGCGTTGAGGGCTGGCATTGTGCAGCCCCCCAGTGCTCTGCATCCCCAACCCGCCCTGTCCAACCAGGATGGCCTCTGCTGATGCTACTCACAGTAATGGAAGACAGCTTTGGCTGCTCAGGGCAAGCCCAGCACAGAGCGGGAATGGCACAGGAAGGACATGATGTCACACGAGGGCAGGATGTCACAGGGTGGTAATGATGTCACACAGTGGAGGCGTGCCAAGGTGATGTGATGTCACACACAGGGAAATGAGGGAGCCGGGAGTGGGCAGAGCATGGGAAAGGGTCCAGCGAGATGAGAGGTGAGCAATAAAACACACCAGAGTCCCAAATCCCACAGCCACCCTGAGGGCCAGTCATGGCCACCCAAGGGGACAGTCATGGCCACCCGAGGGGGACAGTCAAGGCCACCCAAGGGGACAGTCATGGCCACCCGAGGGGGACAGTCAAGGCCACCCAAGGGGACAGTCAAGGCCATCCTGAGGAGCAGTCATGGCCACCCTCAGGGGACAGTCATGGCCACCCAAGGGGACAGTCATGGCCACCCAAGGGGACAGTCATGGCCACCCGAGGGGACAGTCAAGGCCACCCGAGGGGACAGTCAAGGCCATCCTGAGGAGCAGTCATGGCCACCCGAGGGGACAGTCATGGCCACCCGAGGGGACAGTCATGGCCACCCGAGGGGACAGTCATGGCCACCCTCAGGGGACAGTCATGGCCACCCAAGGGGACAGTCATGGCCACCCTGAGGGGACAGTCAAGGCCACCCTGAGGGGACAGTCAAGGCCACCCAAAAGGACAGTCATGGCCACCCGAGGGGACAGTCAAGGCCACCCTGAGGGGACAGTCAAGGCCACCCGAGGGGACAGTCAAGGCCACCCGAGGGGACAGTCATGGCCACCCTGAGGGGACAGTCATGGCCACCTGAGGGGACAGTCAAGGTCACCCTTAGGGGCCAATTATGCCCACCCTTAGAGGACAGTCATGGCCACCTGAGGGGACAGTCAAGGCCACCCGAGGGTACCAGACAAGGCCACCCTGAGGGCCAGTCATGGCCACCTGAGGGGACAGTCAAGGCCATCCCGAGAGGACCAGACAAGGCCACCTGAGGGGACAGTCATGGCCACCCTCAGGGGACAGTTTCAAATGAGCTGACAGAAAAGCAGTTGTAGCAGACTCACCCTCGGTCCCTCGCTCGTGCCAGGAGCCCCAGGTACTCCACTCAAGCAGGAACCTGTGGGACACAGAACTGGACCTTGGGGAGCCCCGTGTCCTCTCCCACCCCAGTAACCCTCAGCCCTGCTTGAAGCTCTGGGCTGAGTGGGTAGGAGCCCCACAGCCTGACGTGCTCACCCCCAGCCCTGGGCCACACCGGCATGGCCCCTTGCCCACAGCCCACCCACTCACACACAGAGTTGCTGCAGCAGCCACCGGGACGCCGTCAGGAAGGCCGTGAGCGGCTGCAGAGCAGACAAAGCAGTCCTTCACCCCTGGGCGGGGTGGGCAGGGCTGCTGCGAGGAGCTCCCCACCCCTACCAAGGCACCCCCAACAACCCAACGAGCTAGGGAGAGCCACTTTGCTTCTTGGGTAGGGTGAGACCCCAGGGAACGGGTGACCCCCTCCGGGGACTTGAGGGACCATGTGAAGTGAGTCTAGACATGGCCCATCTCTGCCACAGTGACCCCCTCTGGTCCCTGCCCGAGGACAGGGCCTGCGGGGCTCCAGGATGGTCTGGGCTGGGTGTGAGCTGCACAGGCCAGGGGGAGTCAGGTGCAGGGGTGGAAGGGTCAGGGGGAAACAAGGTGCCAAGATCCAGTGAGGCTAGGGACGCAGGGCAGAGGCGGGGGAGACACTCACGCTGGCCAGGGGTTGGGTCCCACTGTGGTGGTGGCTCGCAGGCTTGCACATGGCCTGGTAGTCATACATGGTTACTCTGCAAGCCAGAGACACATGTGAAAACCGTGAGGCCAGCCCTGTGCCTGCTGCTGCTGCCTCCGGGAGCTTGCCTGGCAGTGTGTGTGTGTGTGTGACTGGGGGGGTGGGGTTCGGACCCCCCAGACCTTAAGGCTGCCAAGAAGGCATCTCAGGCTAAAAGCTGCCATTCAGTACTTGGTGCAGTTGGAAGGACAGGAGGCGGAAGGGCTGTCTTGGTTCTTCCTGAGCTGGGATGGGGGTGGATGGCTGGGGCTGGGTTGCTTCCCAGGGATGTCCACGTGACCTGGTGACCCCTCCCCGCCACCAGCTTGTCCCCCAGCTCTGGAATGGTTTGCTTTCGGTGTGGATTTCTGAGGCCAGGATCTAAGAGCTGTCTGGAGCATTTAGCATCGGCGTTTGCTGCGTGTCCCACTTACCGGATGAACACGCCCATGCTGACTAGCTGGCTCAGAAGGGCGCCGTCCACCTCCCCCAGGAACCTCCCCGTCTGTGGGGGTGGGAGGAGAGAGGCGGCTGAGAGCAGGGAAGCCCTGGGGCAGGCCCTTCCCCATGTCCCCCTACCCCGCCCGGCCCCCTCCTCCGGGCCCACCTGCTGCCCCACCCAGTTGTAGCCCCTTAGTTGAGCTCCGTCTGGAGGGCGGTTCTGGTTTTAGAAGAAGTCAGCATGGACAAGAAGTTTCTGGAAAGCTGACTTGGTGCGTGTGTGTGCATGCGTATATGTGTGAAGGCGTTTGTGTCTGTATGCGCACGTGTGTGTGTGTGTGCAAGCGTGTGCCCATGCAGGCACAAGGATCAGCCGTCAAATGCCTTTGCTTCTGCCGGTTATGGCCCGAAAGTTGTCCTGCGCATCGCTTGTCTCACCGTCAAGTAGCATCCAGTGGCCAGGCACCCCCACCCCACACCGTGTTCCCGAGCCGAGCCGGGGCAGGGGAGCAGGCGCCTGGGCACATGCAACGTGCCCTCCCCTCTCACTTCCTCTCTCACTTCCCTTGTGCAGTTGTGGCACGCACCGTGGTGACCAGTGAAGGCAATGGCTGCCTGGCACGGGAGCTAAGGCTGGAAGGCCGGCTGACCTGCAGGAGGGCCCTGCGGCATGGGCGGAGCTCTGTGCCCACCAGGGGCCTGGAGGGAGGCATGTGGGGTGATGTGAAGTGGGGTAGGTGGTGAGGCCGGGAGGACCCCAGGTGTGCTGGCAGCAGCCGGAGGAGGGCTCCTCTCCGTGAGATGATGCTGCCTCCTGGCGAGGCGTGGCTTCCATGGCGTCCTAACATGGTTCATGCTACTCTGGGCTGATGTCCCTTTCCATAGTCCCTGCAGCTAAGAGTATTTCCTGTTGGGAAGCCACTCACAAAATTAGAATGGCACAAAAAAAACGCCTGGCCACACTGTCCCCTCAGGGTCAGCACTGTGGTGGGGTGTCAACACGGGAATCCCATAATGGGTACCGGTTTGTGTCAGGGTTGGTCCACTTGCAGCCCAGCTCTCTGCTGATGGGCCTGGGAAAGCAGAGGAAGATGGCCCAATTATAGGCCCTGCCCCCCAGGGAGACCCTGATGGAGCTCCAGGCTCCTGGCTTTGTCCCAGCCCCAGCTGCTGTGGCCATTTGGGGAGTGAAGCAGTGGAAGGAAGCTCTTTCCCTCCCTCTCTCCTATCACTCAGCATATCAAGTAATTTAAAAATCTTAGGGTCCTTTACCCCAGATGCAGAAAAAAACAATGTGGAAATAATAGTCCTACCTACTTTTCTGTAGCCCTTGAACCTTTGTGCCCTAATTAACTATGCAAAGATTGTCAAAAATAAAGAATAAAAGTGAAAAAAAAATATCTTAAGACACACATAGGCAATTAAAAAAAAAGTTGCCTCAGAAATGAACAGGTAATAACATTTTAACGCAAGCCAAGTAGGGCTTGTAGACGGAGGGCTCCTCAGGCTCTCTGCTTGCCTGGCCTGGCCAGCTGGACTCTGTTCTGACACCTCTCAGACAGCACACAGTAGGGCGGCCTGGCCAGGCGAACATGGCCCTGACGTGTCTCCATGAAGAAAAGGGGATCCACTGTGCTGTCCTGAGGCCTGACAGGATTCACGGCAGAGGGCAGAGCCAGAGCAGGTGCCAGCCGGAAGGCGTGCGTGAGCAAGCAGGCTCGGAGGGGAGGGATGCTGAGAGCAAGCGCCCTGCCCCACGGCTCCCTCTCAGCGGCATCTCAGCACCCCACCCCTCCATGCCTGTTTGCTGAGGGAAATGCGTGAGGGAAGGAAGGCATGGATGGAGGCAAGGCTCCTCTGGAGGCCGGGCCACGTGCTCACAGGACTGTTTCTTTCCTTCCTAACTCGAGGCTAGGGGAGAGACTTCGAAAAATCCACAGTAGTAATGGGTTCCTCTATAAGACTACATTTCCCAGAGGCTCTTGCGACGCGGCTGGCCAATGAACTGTTTGGAACAAGGGCATCGGGCGGGACTTCCGGAGTGTGTCTGAGGAAGGGGACTTCCGGAGTGTGTCTGAGGAAGGGGTCCGTGGTGGCTGATGTCGGCCGTCTTCATTTGTTTGAATAAGTGCGTGTAGGCCACTGTGCTGGGCAGGGGAGAGTTTGGGGCAGGACGTTTCTGAGCCTGCGCAGCCAAGGGGCGGACACTGCCTGTGAGCTCTTGTCAGAGGGTCCCTGAGACCCCCACCTGCTGCCCTCTCCCTGCTGGCCTGGAGGAGGGAGATGGCATTCCTGCCTGCTGGGCTGGGCAGAGTGGGCACTCCCGGGGATTCGCGGGTGGGAGGCGGCTGCTGCCCACGTGTCCCGTCCCCAGGATGGAGCAAATGTCACACAGCCTCCTGCCTGGGGACAGCCACACTTTCTTGTCTAAAAAGAGGGGCAGGAAGCAGCAGGCGTGACGTCCCTTCTAGAATGTTTCCTTACATCCCTTACCTAGCCCGTTATTAGAGACCCTTGACTGCAATTGTGTTTGGGGGGTGTCGGCAGGCTGGGGTAGGAGGGCAGGAGTCTTTGGGTGGGCCTGGTACCCCTGTTCTGCAGGCCAGCTGGGGACTCCACTCTTCCTACCCCTTACCAGGATAAATGCAAGAAACCATCCCTCTCTTCACTCTCGCTGCCAACCTAGGGGCAAGAGTCCTTTTCAGACCGTGCTCTGGAATGACAGCTCTGGTCCCTCCACCTGCCAGTGCCCTGACTGCAGGTCTTGGGGTGGTTGGGGGAGCGGACCTGAACCCCATGCAGAGCAGACCATGGACCCAGCCAACATCAACCTGTGTTCCCACCGCTCCGCACCTGACCCAGGCACCAGGCTTGGTCTCCCCTGGCCACCCAGAGACCAGCTGCCTTATTTCCCAGAGGAGAAAACTCAGGTAGGGATTGTGGCTGGCATGTGCCCCAGTCACGTGGCCAGTTACTGCAAAATTCACCCCGAGGCGGGCATCCCTCCTGTTAGGATGCAAGTCTATGGCTGGGGACTTGATGGGAGGATTCAAGTGGATGTACCCCAGGCTCCCGAAGGCTGCAGCGCTGGCTTGATTCCTGGTTAAACTGTTACCTGGGGAGGCTGGCCTGCTCTAACAAATTGTCCCTAAGTGTCTGCCTTGCCTTGCTGAGCACGTGCTGGAGGAACAGCAAGGGGCATGGTGGCACTGGCAGCGACTGAGGAGCACGTGCAGGCCTCCCTCCCCCTCTCTTCCCTGACTGGCCTCTTCCTCTTGCCCATTGCCCTCTGGTTCTGCCCCACCCTCCACACGGTCCTACCTCATGGACCCTCTGCGAGATGAGAATGAAGCCGTTGTGGTCTATGACCAAGCAGTCTAGATCCTGGGAAAGAGACTCAGAGGTGGTCAGGCCAGATGTACCCTGCTACGCCGCGCCCTCATGCCATGTGCGGGCTTCCAGTCCCCTTTAGGTCCCCAGGAAGCTTACACTGTCCTCACAGCTCCGTGCGCACGACCCAGCTGCCACATCACACTGGGGAGAGAGGCACCGTCAGAGCCTGCAGCATGGCACTGCAGCATGGCACTGGGGGTCGGGGTGGAGGGAGGGGCAGGGCTGCAACAGGCTGCTGGCGGGGCAGTGGGTGGGGAGTGGTGAGGCCAGGGCCGGGGCGGTGCGGCTGAGGGCTGGCGCTGGTGCAGCTCCTACCTGGCGCGTGGCTGCCTGCAGTCGGCGCCCGAGGACTTCCAACTTCATCTGCACGCCCACCGCTGCGGGTGTGTTTGCAGAGTGGGAGAGACAGTGGTAGAAAAACAGATTCAGGTTAGGCGGGTGATGGAGGGATGGGGCGTGTGGAAGCCCCGGCACCAGGCTCTGCAGGGTGCCCTCCCCCCCCCCCCCCCCCCCCCCGCGCTGGAAGGGAAAGGAGAGGGGGAGAGAGGAAGAAGGGAAGGGAGGGGAAGAGGTGTGGGAGAGAGAGAGAGAGAAGGGGGCCAGACTGCCTGGGTTCACAGGTCGACTGCAGCCAGCTGTGGACCCAGAACGGCCTGCAAGGATGTTGGCCTCTCTGATCCCTAAGCTGGCTGGGAGAGCCCAGTAGGGGCTTGTGCACTAAGAAAAATCTGGGACAAAGAGCTCCAGGAAAACTTGGGGCTGAAGAATAGGAAGAAAAGGCAGGTTACACTGAAAAAATAAAAATGAAATAACTAGGCCAGCTTGCTAGTGCCTGGTTAATAATATCCACAGGCACCGGGCTCATGGGCACACTGGACTCCTCCACGTGCCCACCCACTCAGCATCTTTTGGGTTTTGCAAGCATTCCACAGCAGCCACCTGGGGAGTCACAGAAGCAGGCCCCTATCCTGAACTGGACCCAGCTCTTAACCTCTCTCTCTTAACTGGACCCAGCTCTTTGGATGTGGGCTGCAGTCCTGACGGGCAACAGGGAAGGAAGCTATAGGGCCTGGGCAATCCACACGTCCACCCTGGGGTTTCCGTATCAGCACAGACCTGGGTTCTATCATTATGCTGCGTTCCTGGCAGATTCCAGAGCATGTGATAAAAGCCTGTGTGTGGATTTCAGCACTTTTTAGAAAATGAATTTATATTTTTAAGTCCATTTCTCCCAGAAATGGGTGGCTGGGTCCTGGGAATCTGCATTGATGAAGTGCTCCCAGGGGAGGTTCCCATTGCACACCCTGGAACTGTGTCCTGTGAGCCAGAGATGACCCATACCTGTGCTGTGCCACACAGAGGCCATGCATCGCATGCGACTGTCAGGATTTAGAGTGTGGCCCGGGCACCCAAGACCTGATCCTGTCTCATTGATTTCAGTCTCGCTGGCCACGTGGCGGTGACCCCCACTGTGTCAGGCAGTGACATACTAGAGCTGATCTGATTTTGCTGAGTTTGCACCTCATGAAAGCAAGACCCTCCTAGCCCCCCAGGGTGAGGGGAGGGGGAGAGGAAGGAGAGGCACCCGTGGGGTCCTGTGATCCCTTTGAGCAGGTCCTGAGTTAGGGGGCATTTAAGACATTTAAGGTATTTAAGGTATTGGAGGGCTTTTTGTTGTTTACAGGTCTGATGGCCGAAAGGGTTAGGCAGGAAGGGCACAGGCAGGGAAGAGTCTAGATGCAGCTAGAGGGGGGAGGCTTCCATGTCCCACGCCTCCATTCCCACCCGGTTCTCTAGGCAGATTTTTCCCCACCACCTGCTGGGAACTGCAACTCCTTAGACTTAAGAAAGCTCGTTCAAGTCCATGGGACCTCAGACTTCTCCTGGGCTGAGACAGTACCTCTTCTGGGCTCAGAAGACTCTCCACAGAGGGAGTTCCCAGATTCCCACACTGGGAGGGCAGCCGGCTGAAAGCTCCATGAAGGAAGCTCAAGTTTGCAGGTAGCAATGGGTGAGGGGAGCAGGTTTGTGGCCCATTGCTGAAATGCAGTTCAGGTGTCCTGGGTATCTGTGGCAGCTGTGCCGGGGCCATTGCCACTGCCTCCTGGACCTGTCAGGCGGGGTGTCGAACTCTTTGACAAGCAAAACCAGGCCTTCCTTCCCTGTGGTTGGCCTTCCACTGCTTCCCCCGTGCTGCCTGGTACCACGGTAGTCCTGCCCCTAGCCTCCACACCACTTCTGTGGACTTTAGTTGCCACACTCTGCTCCTCTCCCTTGTACCTCCAGAATACCTTTGACATGCCAGCACTTGGCCACCCACTGACTCCTCCTCACCTTCAGAGCTCAGCTGAATGCCACCTGAAGTAAGGACATCACTCTTATTTTTCATTTGATTTAATTCTCAGGCTGCTCAAGTACCATCTGTCTCTCCTTGCAAGAATGAGGCCGAAGACGTGGGTTTTCATTGCTAGTACCTGGGTTGTTACCCATCCTGCAGTGGAACTCAGTGCACTTTCTTGAGCTTCACACAGACATCCCATGTGAGCCGGTCATTTGCACAATCTTGTGACAGCTCCCTGGGCCACCTCACGTCTGGGCTTCAAAGCCTTGCTCACCCTCTTCCCTCCCCTATGGAACCTGCCCCTTGCCAGCCTGGCACTTGGCACTTGAAACTTTGCAGATTTAGCTCTTGGAGACCTCAGAGACAACGAGTTGTCTAAATTCCCCATGGGGACATTTAAATGAGACACAGACACCCTTTCTGAAGATAAGGGTTGAGCAGTGCTGACCATAGGACCAGGTCCTGGGTGGAGGGAGGGGAGGGAAGGCAGTGGCCAACAGGGGCCCAGCTATGTCTGTGTTCTGTGCTCTGCCTGGCCCAACACCTTATGCCCCCTGACATAGGTTCAGTCAAATCCTCGCATCATGCCAAACCCAGAGAGAATCCAACCTCTTTCAGATAGCTGGCTATGCTTGGCTAGCCAACTGTCAGAGGCCCGGCCCTTCCTGTCACTGTGACCTGCCAGCCTGCAGTGAGCCTGACACCATGCCTTTACTGTCGCTGTCACAGGTACCTGTGTGTGGAGGGTCCCTGTTTTAGACCTCAACCCTGGTCCCTCACGACACCTGCCAGGACCTGATGGAGGAATGCAGGTTTCTGATGATTCACCCCGCAGGACCCATGGCTCCATCTCTCCACTCTAACCTGGTGGTTTTCTTCCAAACATGCTCACACGGACACCCAATAAAAGAGCCTTATCACGGCGGCAGGCAGCTTGTCAAGCTGCATGCCCCATGCTCAAGTCCCAGCTGTCACCTCCATGCTGCTTTGTCATTGAGGATGGCACAGCCAGACAGCTGCGCGCGCACACACACACACACACACACACACACACACACGCACACGTGAGGTCACGCACCCAAAAAGGGTTCCTACAGGGTCCCTTATGGTCCCTCCTAGTCCTGGATTTGCCTCTTCAGCTCGAGTCTATGTTTAACTGCATGCAGACTGCATGGTTGGAGGAACCGAGAGGGGAACCAGGGACCCCAGACTGCCTTATCCTGGGGCTCACAGGTAGCTGATGAGCAGAGTCTAGACTCAGTGGACTAGAAGCAGCTGAGGCTGAAGCCAGGCAGGCGAGGTGATAAAGCACATCACAGGCCACCGTGCACCTGCTTCTGAGATACAGAACACCAGAGTGCTTGGAGAAGGTCAAATGGCACCTGGGCTGACCTTCTGGCTGAGTTTGAAGGGAGGAGGGAGGAAGCCACCCATGGGTGAGAGGAGACTTCCAGGCTCCCAGAGGGGCCCACTTCCTCGGGCATGGGGAGTGTGCTTGAAGAGGGGTGTGTGAAAGCATGAGAAGAGGGGCAGGAACTCTTCGGAGGTAAATCATGTTGCCTCAACCCCTTTGGGTGGCCACTTTCTGTCCCTGGAAAAACAGTTTCTGCTCCTACCTGCTTTGTCCTGATTGGTCAGCTGAGCTGCTACCTGATTCCTTGAGTACCACTCTTTGCCCAGCAGAGTTAAATGCCAGGGGCCTGGGGTGCCAGCTGGGGAGGCAGGGACTGAATTTCTGGGCCCTGGGTGAGCTCACTGCATAGCCCAGGCCCCTGACTGCTCTTGTGTTTGGCTCCCTAAACAGCCCTGGCCAGGGGTAGTCAGGCCTCTGCAGGACTAAGTGCCTCCTAAGCCCTATGTGGCTCAGGGTCCCGTTCCTGGGTAGGGTCTGGCACAATGGGCATCCCTGTTACCCCTCAGGGAACCTCTTTCGGGACAATCACTCTTGGATTTTTCCTTTTTCCTGTGCAGCTAAGACCCAGCTGAAGAAGCACCTCTCAGGGATAAAAAGTCAGCTCTGTGCTCCTGGTTCTGTGCTCCCTACCCAGAGAGAAGGCACCCGAGGAGCCGCCATGAGACAGAAGGGCCAGGGCCGCAACCAGGACTGAAGGGTAACAGCCAGAGCCTTGGAAGGAAAATGGAGCTGCCTGGCTCCTCCCTGGAGCCAGAAACGACGCACCCACAGGCACTTTTTTTTCCACTGAAATGTGAGCCGTGCCAGGGTGGCTGGGAGCTCTTTCAGGTTCAGACGCGCGCCTGTGTGTGTGTGTGTGTGTGTGTGTGTGTGTGTGTGTGTGTGTGTGTGTGTGTTTGTGTGTGTGTGCGCGCACACGCGCGCGCCCGCTAGCGCGCGCGGCTGCTGCTGTCATCACAGATGTAGTCCCAGCTGTCACTCCATTGCTCGGGCTCTTCGCTCTCGCTCACGCGCGCGCTCTCCTCCGTCTGCCCTTCCTTCCCCCCTCTCCGCGCGGTCTCCCTCCATTCCTGCTCTACCCTCTCCTCCGTTTGTTATTGACCCAGCAGCCTCGTCCCCCTCCGCAGCTGCCGGGGGCAGCCTTCTCCCCGTGCTGTGCGCTGTGCCCGGGTCTCTTCTGCTGGGGAGCAGCCTTGCCCACTGCGCTGACTAGGTGGTGGACTGTGGTGTCAAGGATTTTTCCAGGAAGCCCCTGGAGGGTCTAACTGGATGAGTCAGAGTGAAGCAAGGTGAGTGCTAGAGCGGCTGGTGGGAGGGTGCCTGGGGCAGGGGAACTAGGGACCATCTTCGCTCTACAAAAAACACAGCTGTTGGCTGCCTCCTGCCTGAGGGCAGTTGCTAGGGCCAGGTGTCCTGAGGACACGAGATATTGGGGAGATATTGGGCGTCTGGACCCCAAAGTGCTAGGGACATGAGCTGTGGGTTCTGCTGGTGGAAGAGAGCCAGGCAGGGAAGGGAAGGGGAGAAAGGCAGTGTGGGTGCCAGATGCCAGCCCCCCTGGTGGCATGGAAACTGGTCCCTGCAGCATGGGGAAGCAGCCAAGAGCCGGTGGTGCTGTCTGCGTGTCATGTTCCGTTCCTGGGTCCTGTGGGAAGGGGGTGGGAGAGTGCTGCTGTTCACTGCTATAGGCAAGCCTTGGGTGGGCTAGGTCCCCAGGGCTGTGCAGCTGGGGTTGCTGACTGTCCTTGGGCAAGGGTGCAGAAGAATTGGCCACAGGTGCGGGTAGTCTGCTGTGGGCGTGGCTCAGAGTGGACCAGGGAGAGGAAGCTGGCCTCTTTCCTTGCAAGCCTGCACCCCCTCCTTTGCAGCTCCCTAGCTCTCCCGAGGACAGGAAGCCGGGCTTGGAACACCCTCTGTGCCTGTCCCACCACTCAGCCCCATAATGGGTCAGACTCTGCTAGTTGGGGCTGTGTCTTAGCTTAGAAGGATACCAGAGCGCGCCCACCAGACTTTCTGGTCTCAGGGACATGGACACGTGGAGTTGCAGTGGAACAGTGGCACTCAGCACCTGTGGCCAGCACAGCACTGGACACAGGGGCCAGTCTGACCCGAATGGGCCATTCCAATCTGCACTGCCCAGCAGGTATGGGACAGCAATGGTGGTGGGTATCCTGCAGGCGCTGCCTGACACCCTCCCACCTTCCCCTTCCCTGCATCTGCTTCACTGTTGGAATTGCAGGGGGGCAGTGCTGTGGGCACTTGCACATCAGGGCTTATTGGGCATTGCCTCCCTGATGCCCCAGAGAGCTTAGATAACTACATCGGGTGGGGGTGGGGAGGAGGCTGAGCACGTGGAGCCTGGTGGGCTGGGAGGAGAGGAGAGAGGAGGGGGAGGGGTCTAGCTGGGAGGGAAACCCAGCAGCAAGGGCCCTACTCATGGCCACACACACACACACACACACACACACACACACAGGCAGCACATCGCTGGCACTGCCCCAAGAGGGAACCCAGGAGGGCCAGGTCAAGGAGGCCGCAGAGGGAGAGGCTCCTCAGGCCAGCCCTTGGGTTTCTTCTGGGTTTGTGCAAGCTGGGGTGAGGTGGTGGGAGGTCACGGGGGGCTGTCTGGATATGAATAGGCAGCAGGGGAGGGGTATGGAGGTAGTGGTGGTGGGTGGGGGGGTGGAGAGTCTGGAGGTGGTGGGGGAAGGAGGAGCTGGCACAGAGCTGTGCCCTCTGCCAGTCCCCCTCCATTTGTCTCGGTCCCCAGAGTCAACAAGGGCTTTCCCTGCCCTCATTGGGGCACCACCCCAGCCTCAGGCAGTGTTGGCAGGATGGGGGACTCAGGGTCTCAGCGGACAGGGAAGCTGCTGCTAGCGGGGGTTGGGGGGGAGATGCTGGTGGGGGAAGGGATTTAGGGTTCTGCTTTCCCAGGAAGTCTATTTGGGATTGGGAATATTTGACAAGGAAATGAGGGTGCAGGAAGCTGGGGGTGAGAATGGGGCGTGTGTTTTAAAACCGAGCAGGAGGGTATGCGTCTGTTCCAAGTATAAATATAGAGGCTTTTCTTAAACCTCCTTCCTTGCTGCCTGGGCAGTGTGTGTGTGTGTGTGTGTGTGTGTGTGTGTGTGTGTGTGTGTTTGTGTGTATGCCCACACCAGGAAGGAGATCTAGAAGGGTTCCTAGAAGGGCCTGGTAACCAGGCAGCTGACAGCAGGTGTGGCCTCCCCCTAGGGACTTTGGCTGCTGCCCAGGCTCCTTGGAGTGGAGTCTGGAGGACGCTCCTCCTACTGGCTCAGGTGCATCCCTTGCCATGGCTCAGCACTGCTCGCCCTGGCTGCAGCAGGAGGAAGGCAGTAGAACAGTCGGCTGGGTTTTGCAAGCTGTGGGCCTTGCTGAGACCTTGTCCTGAGGCAGGCACCCTAGCCCCATGGACCCTAGACCAGGGCAGGGAGCACGCTGAGCCAGGGGCACTAGGGTGGGGACCCCCCCTGGTGGAAGGCCACAGGGGCACACTCAGTGGCTTCTACATTTGGCATGTGGGGATAACGGCAAAGGCGTGGGAGAAAGGGCATGGATGCCGGGGGCAAGGAGTCATCTGTCAATGTCTTTCACCAGAATCTGAGCCCAGGTCACCAGAGGGATTAGCCTCTGCCTGCAGGTTAGGCACAGGTGCGTCATGCTAACCTTTGTGGAGGTGATGGGGAACCAGAGCACCCTGCAGCAGCTCCCCCAGGAAGGATCACCCGGCCCCCCCCAGGTTCCAGGGACTGTTTCAGCCCACTCAACGGGGCACGTGCCCCCCTGCTGCCTCCTGCTCTGGCACTGTCTGCTCAGCCCTGGTTTCCCTCTCCCCAGTCCCCCACCCGCCCCGAGCAGCTTCAAGAGAGCCCCCTCCTCCGCCCTCCGCCCCCCTGATGTGTGCCTGTCACCACCGCCTCTGTGTCTGCTGGAGAGAGGGGAGGCTGAGAGCGGAGACCTGGCTTGCCATTCAGCCCAGCAAGTCCTGGAGCTTGTGTCTTCCTGGGTGAACCAGGGTAAGAGCAGCTGGAGGAATTGGGCGAGAAGGGGGCTGGTGTGGCCCCTGCCAACATGGAGGCAGCCCCCTCCCCCTCTACCACTCAGAAGCAGGTTGGAAGCCAAGCAGGGTGCTTCTACAAGCCACTGAGTCCATCACTGTTGCCACTCAGTTCCAGCTTGGGGCTGTATTCCTCCAGCTGCCTGACCTAGGCAAGTGACTGCACACCGCATCCTGTGCTGTCCACACCTACCAGGTGGAGCAGATGCCCTTCCTTAGCAGGGTCCATTCTCTGGCTACAAGGATCCCAGGGATGGATGGGTGCAGCCTCCTGGGTGCCTGCCCCCTGTCTAGGGGCATGCCTGGCCTAGGACTTCTCAGATTTGAGCATTCAAACCTAATTACCCAGGGTCAAAACCAATTCTGAATTTCCACAAGACTTCCAAGCCACACCAACTCTGCTAGTCCCTGGGGCACGTTTGCAGTAGCTGAGGGCTGGAGTTGGGAAGTTTCTGGTTCCTGTGAGTGCCCCAGGGCTTCTGGCTCTGTAACATGCTCTCTTGACCTCAGCAGAGCCCAGCAGAGGCAGTCCAGGGGACCCCTTCTCTCTGTTCCCAGGGATAGAAACAGACCAAGCGTGGGAGACAGGACTTCCAGGCAGGTTCTCCCGAGCTCTGCTCTGTCTTCTATTTTCCCTGCCCAGTCCCCACCTCTTTTCTGCAGAGACTTGCTCTTCCCAGAGGGTCATTCTGCGGGAGTCCACACAACATATTTGGGATTTATCCCTGTGCTGGGCAAGGCTGTCTGTCCACTCTGAGGAAGGCCAAGGGGGTTCAGGTGCAGCTTCTCCAGAGGACTCCACTGGCCCACCACCTCGCAAAGACAGTGGCTGTGGGACCTGACTGTTGTGTCCTGTGTGGTGGCATCCCCGACCCCAGGGCGCTTCGTGGGGGGTAGTGCTGGCTGGGGAGTTTCAAAGGAAGAGCTTGCTGGGTGGAAGCGGGCGGGAGCTGTGGCTGGGTGGGTGTGTTCCTACAGGGAGGATTGGGATGAGCAGTGTGGCCTCCAGCCTCCGTGAGTCTGAGTGTGGTCATGGGCTGCCTGGAAGAGGCAGTGTCCACAGGCGGGCAGGTGGGAGCTATCTTGGTACATCTGTATGCTCAGGGCAGCCAGGAACGGTGCCTCCTCTGTGGTGGAGTGGGCCAAGTGCTAGGATGTGCCAGAAAGCCACGCATGCATGTGAGGGTTTACCTGCAAGCGTGTGTATGCTGTGTGCATTCATGGTAGCACATGCGTGATGGCACGGCTCTCTCTGTGCGTCACGCACGTGTCACGTGCTGAGCTTTAAGCACGTGCCCGAGAGGCCTGTGTGCGCACGTCCTGCCCTGCGCACACACGGCAAGCATCTCCCTGTAAGACCACTGCTGGATGACATGGGTTGGCAGCAAAGAAAGAGACCTGCAGCTCATTCCCTGCCTCAGTAGGTGACCTTGGGCAAGCTGGGCATGGTTACTGCGCTGCCCTGGCGGATGCTTGCGAGCTCTGAGGTGTTCTGAGGTCAAGCTCCAGAGCACTCCATGGGCTCTGATGTCTGGGAAGGCAGCCTTGCAGCTGTTTGGGGCGCCACAGCTGGGGCCCAGCATGCGCCAGTGCCTGATGTCAGGCTAGAGCCGGGAGGAGCTGCTCGAGGCGGCAGGGAGGAGCTAGGGCGCATTAACCTGGACAAGGCGAATCATCATCATACACTAGTTCCACCCGCGAGCTATCACGGCTCTCACTTTAGGCCTGCAGCATTTAAGCCGGCTGCAGAACTGACGCGCACACAGTCCACTGGGGTCTGGAGCCTAGACAACATCGTCCGGGCCACCCCTGCGGCTCCCTGTTCCCTGTCCCAGGAGCTCAGGAGCTGGGCAGCGCGGTGGGCCAGGCTGCGCCCCGCACCCGCGGAGCCCTTCCCATGGGCTCGGGAGGAGGCGTGGGGGACGCGGTGGAGGCGACGGTCGGCAGAGGGCGCTTGTCCCCGGAGCCGCCGTCCAAGAGCTGACCAGCGGCGGAGAGGACGTGAGAAGGGGTGGCAGCTGCCGCAGGACCCACGCGCGCGAGGGGGCGGAAAGCAGAGGTGGCCACCCAGCCCTGCAGCTTCAGCTGGACCCATGGGAGGCAGCTCCCGGACAGCCATGGCCCAGGGCCGACTTGGGTGACCCAGAGAAGGCCAGCAGGCCGAAAGCCATGGGCTGAGGGAGGAAGGGCCATGTGGCCTTAGGCTGCTGGCACTCCTAACCCGGAGCACTTGGCACTGCCCTGCGCCTGGCCTCTGACGCCCTGGGCGCACCTGGAATGAAGTGAGGGTCTGTGTGCCACCTAAGGGACTTGGGCTAGGCAGCCCCTGAAAGTGGGTGAGCACTCCCTCTTGTGGCCCTGCTAGTCTGCTTCGGGAGCAGCTGCAGTAACCTGACCCACTAACCCCCGCCCCCAATCCCTTGCAGTCATCTTTAGACCCCTTGAGCTGATGAGTCTCCGGAGCAGAAGGCGACTACTCCGAGGACCGCGTATCCCGGAGGTTCACTCCTAAAGTGGTAGTGAAAGTAGGTGCCGGAGGCTGCCCAGCACCTTCCACTGGACCCAACACAGGTGGACACTTCCCAGGGCCTGGCCCCTGCTTGCCCGGAGCCATGGTAAGCAACTGTGAGCCTGGGGATCCTGGCATGGGCAAGAGGGAGGTCATTGGGATGTGACTGACACCTCCCACCACTGTTACCCACGAGAGATGGGGCTCAAGTCTCTCCACCTGGGTGGTGACGTATTACCATGAAAACATCAAGGACCTGACATGCCATAGAGATGGCCGTGGGAAGAGGTGGGAGGGACTGCGGTGACTGCAGCTTAGCTCCTTGGGGTCCTGCCTGAGGCTGCCTGGGGAGCTGAAGGCTTCCAGACTTCTCTCGCTTCTCCTCCTTGCCCTGGGAATTGTAGCTGAGACGAACAGGAGAGGAATAAGGGTGTAAAGAGATACCCGGGCCCTCTCCCTAACCCCTGCGCTGGAACGGGGCCTCGGCTCAGTGATTCTCTCTCTCTCTCTCCCAGGACTGACTGGCAGTACATGCTGCCGCCAAGGGGCTTCTTTCTCCCTGGAGCTGCAGGACCCAGTGAATCGTGGGGTCCACCATGCTGCCGCTGGGTAGTGACTCTGAGCAGAGGAACAGCCTGGGTGGGCAGTGGAGACGGGTGTCCTGTGAGTACATCCTTCGGCTGCGGTGGAGGCCGTAGGTGGGTGGGGTCGGGGGAACCAACTGGGCAGCAGGTGTGCCTTGGGGTGGTCGGGGGGGAGGTCTCAGGAGCTTGCTCTGGGTTGCCAGGATCATACCCCAGAATACGGCATCTTGGACAACACAGAGACTTGCTGCTGAGGACTTCGGAGCATACGCCATGACCCAGGGGTTTGTCCCAGCCCTCCCCCATGGTCTGGGTTCTTGGGCTGGCAAAAATGAGAGTCCTGCTGGAGAACGGCCGGAGTCTCCAAACCTTACCAGCACGTCCACCTGCCTGCAATTAGCCATGAGAGTGGAAGTTGCCCTCCCAGCCCAAGCCCGGAGCCATCACCTGGTTCCCCTCCCGAGTGGGCTCTTGGCACTCAGGTGGTTTCCTGTGCCAGGAAGAGGAGTCAGTGTTGCTGAAAGCAACAAAGCAAAAGTCGTCAGGGTGACAGACACCCCAAGAACATTCTCTGTCTGACGCGGAGAGACAAAGTTTGCCCGGGGCTGCGTGACCAGAAGTATGAAGTGTTCCCAAGAGATGTTATCCTGTCTCACTTCTCCCTGCCTCTCGGCCAGGAGCCAGCTGAGTGCCACCCCCTGCCTCCGCCCGCCAGCCAGGCGGCCTGAATAATTCGCCACGTGGGAGCAACTGGTCCCTGAGCCAGTCAGCTCCCTTTCAACCCCATTCCAGAATCACTCAACGCCTGTAACACAGGAGCGTGGCTTCCTGTGACCAGTGCCTGGCCCTCCCCCTCCTGTTCCCACTGGATTTCCAGGGAGGGGTGGGGACTGGGGGCAGGCAGGGCTGTCTACTGGTCCTTCCTGGGAGAGAATACAGCAGCTTCCAGATGTGTTGATCCTTTAGAGATAAGCCAGGTGGGCTCAATTCTTCTTCTTCTTTTTTTTTTCTCCTGCTTTGGGAGGTGGATGTTTCCAGTGACATGGGTCAGGGTTAGTGTGGAGCAGGCTGGGCTGGCAGCAGAGGGGCAGGAGGGCAAGTAGTAGCAGCAGGTGACCCCAGATGGCCAGGCTCATTTCCCCATCAAGGACAATGAGGTTCAGGTGTCAGCCTGGCAATGTGTCTCTCACCCTGTCACTGAAGATCCAGACGGGGAAGGGGCAGGGGAGGCGATAGTCTCATTCCTGTTGCATCAGGCTGTGTCCTCAGGGACATGGGATAACCAGACCCCAAGCGTTTAGCTCTGTCTCCCCTTGCTGGGGCAGCTGCTGCCTGGCTGGGACCACCTGGGTTATGGACAAGGCCACGTCTGCCTGCCTGTGTCCCACAGTCAGGGCCTCTGCTGACAGCTTGGCAGGGCAGAACGGTGCTGAACTCGCCATGTCCCCCGTGAGGCAGCAGACTTCTTGGGAGAGCATCGAGGTCACTGGAATGCCAGCTGCTCTGCCTCTACCGTCTGCCGGGTCACCTTACCAGCCACTGCACAGGGTGACCTCATGCAGGCCCTTAAGGAGCTGGGTTACCTTTCGCCGTGCAGGGAAGCTTCTCTGTACGGTTCCAGGAGGCGCTGCTTCATGGCCTCATGGCCAGCCTGCTGGTTACAAGGGCGTCTCTGGTCCTGCTATTCCCCCCATGCGTTCTGCTGCAGGAGACCCTAGGTGGGCCTGGGTGCCACATGCCGTCAGCACCAAATCCCCAGCACTGGCACTGTCTTGGATGTGGTGAAGGTGGCAGCGTCCTGGAGGCTGCAGGGGCAGGTCTAGAAAAGCCCCCCTGGGCATTTTCCGCTCTCCATGCAGAGTGTGTTCTGGGTCTGTGCAGCCGCAGGCTGAGGGCCTCCACAGTGCAGCTGTGTTGGAAAGAGACGCTCTTGCTGCTGGTGTGGGATGAGTTTCTCTGCTATCCTGACACGCGTGTCCTTTAGCTGGTCATTATCTGTGGTGTCCTGAGCTGAGGAGACTCTGTCGCCCTGAGCTGGGTCGTCGCTGTGGATGGACCTGTGTGTCACATTTGATTGCAGCAATTTCTTGGTCCCATGTGTGGATGGCATGGTGTGATGTCTGTTACTGTGGAAATGGCTTTTTAAAAAACATTTACTTGAAAGAGTTGCAGATAGCCAGGGAGACAAAGAGGGCTTTTCCATCTACTGCTTTAATTCCCGAATGCCTGCAATGGTCCGAAGCCAGGAGCTAGGAGCATCTTCTGGGTCTCCCACGTGCGTGCAGAGGCCCAATTACTTGAGCCATCCTCTACTGCCTTTCCAGGTCCTGAGTAGGCAGCTGGATTGGAAATGGAGCAGCCAGGACACAAACTGGCTCCCGTATGGGACACCGACTCCACCGGCGGAGGTCTAACCTACTACAGTGTTGTACTGGCTCCCTAGAGATCTTTTTTTACTGGTGGTTAGTGAAGGCTTGCACACTGCTCATGACTTGTGCCAAAGCAGATGCAGCCATGAAGCTGTTGTGATGTGAACTTGGAAAGGAGGGGATGAAAGCCGGAGGTTGTGACCCCAGCCCGTGGTTTTCTTTCCCCTCACAGGGATCACCTGCTGGGTTGCCCTCTGTGCCGCCGAGGCCCTTCCTAGCTGCCCATTCTCCTGTAAGTGTGACAGCCGTAGCCTGGAGGTAGACTGCAGCGGCCTCGGCCTCACCACGGTGCCCCCGGATGTGCCCGCGGCCACCCGAACCCTTTTACTCTTGAACAATAAACTGAGTGCCCTGCCGAACTGGTCTTTTGCCAACCTGTCCAGTCTACAAAGACTAGACCTATCCAACAACTTCCTGGACCAACTACCCGGCTCGGTGTTCCAGGACCTGACGAATTTGACAGAGCTGCAGCTGCGCAACAACAGCATCAGGACCCTGGACAGGGACTTGCTGCAGCGCGCACAGCTGCTACGCCACCTGGACTTGTCCATCAACGGCCTGGCCCAGCTGCCCCCTGGCCTGTTCGACGGGCTCCCGGCGCTGCGCTCCCTCTCGCTTCGCTCTAACCGCCTGCAGAGCCTGGACAGGAAGACGTTTGAGCCCCTGGCGAGCCTACAGCTGCTGCAGGTCGGGGACAACCCGTGGGAATGCGACTGCAACCTCCGTGACTTCAAGCACTGGATGGAGTGGTTTTCCTACCGAGGTGTGTGAGCACAGGGATGGTGGCTCCTGGTTGGGATGAGGTTGGGGTGGGGGGACAGGAGGGGGTGACACTGCCTCCCTACCAACTCGGCTGCAACAGTCCCAAGCTGTGTGATCTTGAGAAAACAGAACATCTTTCTGTCGCTGTGCCTCTCCTGTAAGCTGGGTGGGAAGACAGCATCTGGGAGAGTATTACATCAGCCACGTGGGCAGCATCTCGGAGGGTGCCTGGCGTCCTGTAAGTCCTTGACCCCACAATCATCCGCTGGTGCGTTTGCCAGCAGCGCTCATCAGAGCAAGTGGATTTAAGATGTCGTTTGGCCCTCAGCAGGTGCTGAATGAATGAATATTGAAACTCTAGAGATAACGCTAACACTTCTCATCCGAGTCTCCCAACTTTCATTTGCATACTCAGCCACACTTTCCATGATTTCCATGCCACGCGTGTGAGTGCGTGAGTGAAGGGCCCCTCAGATACTGTAAAGTGCCATCTTAGTCACTGGGATCAGGTCCCGCTCTTGGATGCGCGAGGAAATGATTAATACTGGTGGCATGGTTTCCAGTTTACAAGTATCTTTTCAGGCACATTGCTATTTTGATCCTTCTGGCTGCTGTTCTTATTTTACAGCTAGGGAGAATTGAGACTTACACGTAATTAGATAAGGTAAGGGATGATGACATAGCCAGAGTTCAAGTTTGGGTTTCTTTGTAGGGTATAAGATGGCTCTAGGGGCAGATTCATCTGCTGTGGCACCTACAGTGGCCCTAGGAGCCCGAGGCCAGGTGTCTTCAGTCAGGCCTGTGTAACACCCTTAGAGCAGGTCCCTACCCTCCCCATATTCCCAGCACAGAAGAGCAGGAAAGGGGAACATTCCCACTGATTCTGTTTGCAACAGCAGAATTGCTTTCAACCTTGCAGCCCCTCTCGAATAGATGCTGGGAGGCTCCCGTCAGTGTGCCGGGCAAAGAGGGGTGCCTGGTGCATGAGCCCACCAGGAGCCTGGGCCATGACAGTGACAGTGGGGCTGGAGCCCAGGCCCTCCCACAGGCGTTTCCCTCTTGGGTCCAGATTTTCCGGCTCGGTTGCAAGAGGGTCTAGACCCAAGCTCCGCTTTCTGGGAACCACAGTGGCAGGTGGCTGTCCTTAGCTACTGCCTCACTTCCAGCCCAGTCCTGCCTGGCTTTGCCGTCGCTGCCTGCACTCCTGCAGCAGTACAGCCCCATCTCTCGTGTCTCCAGATTCCCCGGCAAGATGTCCTGTCTCTCTCCCTCTGGGTTGGCCCTGTTGGGCCTTCGGGTTGCTTTTCCACAGGACAAGAAGGACATACTCTGTATTTCTCCTCCATCCGGGCACGTAGGTGGAGGCAGGCAGTGGCTTTTGACCAGTGTCCTCTGAGGGCTGAGGTGCTGCATCCAGGTTCATAGTGCAAGGCTGTGGTCTGGTTGGGATGGCTGTGAGCTGTGTCTTCTTGCTGTGAGCCGTGTCCTCAGTGGGAGGGGCTGTCTTACTCTGGAGGCAGATGGCCGTAGCCGTGTGCTTCTCCATACACAGAGGTAGTGATGATTTCTATTTTTTGTGGCTTCCACAGGATGGGATGGCATGACATGGAACTCCTCACCCAGACATGGGGACTCCAAACTGGGGCTGAATTGCTGCTAGAAACCTCTTGGCCCTTCCATTTCCAAGGAGCTGGGGATGGGAGGTGGTGGGAGAGGGAGTCTGGGTCTCCAGATGCCTGCTCAGTTCTCATCTGTCCTCTATCCATCCCCTGGCTGCAGGTGGGCGCCTGGACCAGCTGGCCTGTACGCTGCCCAAGGAGCTGAGGGGAAAAGACATGCGCATGGTCCCCATGGAGATGTTCAACTACTGCTCCCAGCTGGATGACGAGAACAACTCTGTCGGCGTGGACGTGCCGGGGCCACCCTGCACCAAAGCCAGTCCAGAACCCCCTAAGCCCAAGCCTGGGGCAGAGCCTGAGCCCGAGCCCAGCACAGCCTGCCCGCAGAAGCACAGGTACCGGCCAGTGAGTGTGCGGCGGGCCATCGGCACCGTGATCATCGCCGGGGTCGTCTGCGGCATTGTCTGCATCATGATGGTGGTGGCTGCTGCCTATGGCTGCGTCTACGCCTCCCTCATGGCCAAGTACCACCGGGAGCTTAAGAAGCGCCAGCCGCTAATGGGAGACCCCGAGGGTGAGCCCGAAGACCAGAAGCAAATCTCCTCGGTGGCCTGAGTGAGCGGGGGCCCCATCTGGCCCAGGTAGGAAGGGCAGGGTGAACACCAAGCCTTGCTCCTAGGGGTCGGCCATGCCTCCGTCCCCAACTCCACTCTCATCCCTCGCCCTGCCAGCAAACAGGTCCAGGAAGTTCATGTCTCCTGGAGGCCGCCAGGTGCGGAAGTGAAGGCCCCTGCTGATGCTCCCCCTGGAACTCCCCGGGCCTGTTCCTAAGCTCCTGGCCCAGGGCAGACAGGATGTGGGCCTCAGGAGGAGGAGGAGGGCTCACATGGAGCACCCCTTCCTGTGGGCAGCATGGGGGTTGTCACAGCTGGTGACCACACCTAGGGGGCAGGTGGGGAGACTAATGTGGGGGGGGCAAGGGGCAGGTTTTCTGACCTCTTCTAAAGTGGAAAGCTATTCTTAGCGCCCTGCAGGGAGAAAGCATCAACCCGGGCCCCACCTCTGCGCCAGTGACCTCCTGTCGGCTCCTCCAGCCAGTGGTGTCAGAGCGCGCACACATGAGCATGGAGGTCAGGCGGCTGCAGGACTTGCTCTTCCCGTGGGGGTCTCTGCCTGGAGGCCCCCGGAGGTTCCTGCTTGCTTCCTGCAGTCTCACCACCCCCTTCGCTGCCAGCAGGGGGGAGGAACCCGACAATCACACCGGGTTCCTTGGAGATCCTCTAAAGTGGGCCAAAGTGGTGCTGCGGAGGAGACCGCCGTCACCATGGCAACCTGTTCACACCTCTGGCTGGGCTTTCCAGGGACTGCCCCGGCTCAGAGGCCTGGGAGCTACATCCTACTGGGAGGGTGGCCCCTGGAGCCCAGCCACACAACCTCTGGGTGTTTCCTCAGCTCTCTCTGATCCCACTCCCTGGCCCCCTGCCCCCCAGTTTCCTCCTCCTAGTTACACTACTGAGGCTGCAATTCAACACCTTTGGCCTGTAGCTCTCACCCCCTCCAGCCTTGGGGTGCTTCAGGGCTGGGGCCCGTCCTGCTCTCTGGCAATGGGCCCTCCTTGGGGGAGGCAGGTGGTAGGGGCAGTGGCCTTCAGTCTGGGGGCTGACTCTCGTGCTTCCTTTCCTTGGGTGTGTAGGGGTTGGTGTTGTCTGCCCTACCCAACTCCCCAGGACTGTGAGCTGTACCCAGCCCTGGGGGCCACCCTGGAGGGTGGGCAAGGGCTCCTGTTGAGGACAGAGACACTGTCTCTAGGGCTGGGTAGCTTTTTTGGGTCTCTTCCTCGGGGTGGCCCCTTGGAGGGATGTCTTGGTGTGATAGCTTGGGGAGTCCCTATGTCTTCCTCTGCTGGTGGCTAGCTCCCTTGTATTCCAAGGGGGCCAGGAAGGCGTCTGTCAGGCTGGCTCCTGTCTTGGCCCCAGGGGGTCTTGGAGGTAGCACTTGGGAGGGACCAGGCCTGTGCTGGGGCAGGGTCTGAGAAGAGTGTCAGGGCAGGACAGAGCGGCCCCTCTAATTGGGAGGAGTGTGTTGGCAAGGGCACCTTGGAGGAGGTTACATAGCAGGTGCACAGCGGGCTCCTGGGGCACTGTTTCCTTTCTCCTTCATCTGAACCCAGAGTTGGGGAATTTTCTAAAGAGAATGGGGAAGAGACTGATGGTATCTAGTCTGAGACAGAAGATTTTTAAAGGCAAAATTATATTTCTGGTTTGTTGTTTCCGAAGACCAATAAAGACTGTATTTTCCTATGTACTTCCTGACTTTATTGAGTGGGAAGAGGGCGTGGGTGCTGGGGGAGCTGCTTCCTGCCTTCACCTTCCCTGGGGCAGCTGAGCTTGCACTGAGGGACACCCCCCTGCCACATAGAGCTGCGTGCCCTGGGCCCTGGTCCTTGGGCACTGCTGGGGAGGACAGGGAGGCTGCGGCCCACGTGGGAGGAGGCTCTGGGGCCATGCTCATGCTTCAGCCCGACAGTTGGGCATGTGGGCCCAGGGTGCTCCCTGGGGCAGCAAGGGGCTTGTGCAGAGAAGGAGGTGCACTGGAGCTCCCGCCCCCTACGCCCCTTGGGTTCATCTGGCCTTGCCTGATGCAAATCTGTGTTGGCATTAGTGACAGCTGGTAGGAAGAGGGGGAGGCGTTTGCTCAGAAGTCCCTGCAGTGCAGCAGCATGGCAGTGGCGGCCCCAGGGGCACCCTGCTGGCTCCTATTAGCTCCAGCGAGGTGGATGGGTTTGCCCCTGTTTAACTCCTTACCATCTTTTCCTTTCTAGACTGACACCAGACTCTAGGCTTAAAGTTGGATTGCTCTGTGCTGCCCAGCAGGTGCAGGTGGATCGGAATGGGGGCAGGGCCGCCAACAGTGGCGGCAGGGGGTGGGGGAGGGTTTCTGGGGAGGGCAGGGCCTCTGTGCCTTCAAGGCTCCTTGTGAATGGAGCCTTCTGGGCTGGTTGGGCCCGGCTGCATGGCCATTAATCCTCATAGGCTCATGGCATGGAAGCTCCTGTGGGGGGTTCAGTCCAGTCAGCTAGGAGCCGGCCCCAGTGGGCACTGAGCTCAGCCACCCTTGGCACAGATGATGAGGAATGTGGCTTTGCACCCTCTGACCCTGGTAGCCCTGCAAAACCGACTGGAAGACAAGTCCCCCTCCCCTCCTACCTCCCCCCTCCCCCTTTCCCCAGCAGCAGGTCCTGCACTGCTCCCAGAAGGAGATCTGGTCTAACAGCCAGGCCTGGCAGAAGGTCAGGCTGGGCAGCCAGTGGCCATGTGTGATGTGGACTCCTGGAGAACCAGCCACAGGGAGGCATTCTGCAAAGTGTGGCACCGCTGCCCGTGCTCACCCTGTCCCTACCCCCGCAAGCTCCTATGCGTCCCTGACCACAGCTCTTGATCAGAAAGTTAGGGATCTGGAAGTTTTGCACTAGCTCCCAGAAAATCACCTCCTCCCCAGCGTAGAGGATTCCCTCTGCAGCAGCGGGCCCCACTGTGTGAACCGGGTCCATGATCTCAGACCCAGCCAGCGGCAGCCCCGGAGGCCCTTTGCTCTGCTTCCACTGTTCTAGGCACGAATATCAAGGCACTAAGGCAGCCCCCTCAGGTCCCTTATGCTTGCATCACACATGGGGCCACTAGCCAGGCCCCAGGAGCAGACAGGCAGAACCAGAGGCCAACGAGACGACATTGCAGAAGACACTGCATGAGCACACGCGCACGCACACACACAGACGCACAGATCACACACACAGAGACATGCACACACAGACACACACACAGATCACACACACAGATGACAGACACAGACATACACAGACACGCACACACAGATCACACACACAGATGACAGACACAGACATACACAGACATGCACATAGACACACACAGACATGCACACTCACAGACACACGCACACACAGACACACAGACGCATACACTTAGACACACACAAACTCACACACACAGACACATACACAGATGCACACACAGACACACACAGACAGACACACACAGAGAACACCAACAAGACACAACACGCACAGCTCACAAAGAACAAGACAACATACAGAACGCACACACAGACGCATACACTTAGACACACACAAACACACACAGACACATACAGACATGCACACACACAGACACACAGACACACAGACACGCACACACAGACATGCACACACAGACACACACAGACACGCACACACAGACACACACAGACACGCACACACAGACACACAGACACGCACACACAGACATGCACACACAGACACACGCACACACAGACATGCACACACAGAGACACACACAGACACGCACACACACAGAGACATGCACACACAGACATACAGACACACACAGACACGCACACACAGATCACACACAGACACGCACAGACACACAGACACGCACGCACAGACACACACACAGACGCACACACACAGGTCTCCAGTGCCTCATCCTTTCCCTGTCATGTCCGTGTGCCCCAGAGCGTGAGAGTGACCGTCTGCATCAAGTTCAACCCCAGACATTGGGACACGGTTTCTATGGAAATGCCTCCTGGTTCTAATTCTGCTTCAAGTTGAAAATGTTATCAAATAACTGGGGAGTACAGAGATGTACAGCCATCAGCTTGACCTCCTTGAGGAGGGGAGGGGAGCAGGGGCAGGTCCAAGATGGCTTTTCAGGAGACAAGTTCTAGGTCAAGGTTTGATTTGGAAAAGGGCCTCGGGAAGCACAATAGGTGGGGTGAGCCCCCAAGCCCCCAGAAATGCAATGTCAGGTGGCACTCTTCTCTCTCGGGAGAGCAGCTGGAGGGGCTGGTTCCTCTCCTAGGCTGGGAGGTCAAGCCCCACCTTTTCTCCTGATCCCAGGGCCCTGAGGCCCTGCCCCTTGCCCCAGTCCTGCTTCAAGACTGCTGGTACCTGGACATGCTCTATATAGCCGAACAGGTGCCTAACGGTGTGGGTGGGTCATAAGGCCAAGGCCAAGTGCTGCAGTATACCCCTTCCTTCCCCTCCCTGGATGGCACAACTTTCAGAACCCAGCCAGGGCCAAGACGCAGAAGCAGAAACCAGAGCAAAGCGGGGGGGAGGGGGACCGCCACGGACTTCTGAGACTCCAAGAAACTGCCAAGGCGGTGGGGTGGGGTGGGAACACCCGTCCGAGGGGATCCCTGGGGAGCTGACATCATAGAAGTGGTGGCAAAGCACAGTACAGGGTGATGCACCTGGGCCTTCCAAGAGAGGCAGGTGGGGTGTTGTTAAGTACTCCCTGGGGGACTTGGGGCCGTAACTGTTCCGAGCCTCAGTTTGTTCACCTGTAAAGCAGAACTGCCACCCCGCCTCCCCGCCTGCTGCCCCAAATTGCCTTCTTTAGAGTCCTCTGAGGACTAAACGGGAAAACGCGTGGGAGGCAGTCCCCACGGTGCCTGGCGCGTACCAAGCTCACATATGGAGTTCTTACTTTAGGGATTGAGTCACAGGCCCCTTCTCACTCGTGTGAGCGGGTCCTGGAGCCCAAGGCAACCAAGGAGGCATGGGGAGAAGGTCTGGGCTGCCAGCTCCGGCTTGGGTGGCCTGTCCCCTCCAAGCCTCTCTGGCTTTCCCGGGTCTGGCTGGGTGAGCTGGCATAGGGCTGAGGTTTTATGAATGAAATGCGCAGAAGAGTTCACTTCCCCTCATGCCCACGTTGCACATGACAGGAGCTGGGCAGCCGCAGCACACAAGGCCACAGCAGTGCCAAGGGCAGTCCTACCTGCAGCCACGGCTGTCTTCTTGTCCACTGTCACCACTATGGCCGTGCTGGCTGTCACAGCCAGCGGCTCCTCCTGGTTCTCTAGGAAGACAGAAATCACCCAGTCAGCAGGTGCCTGAGGCAGAGTGGTGTAAGCTCGGCCACCGTCTCCTAAGAAAAGGCTGTACTGACTCCAGGCTCAGGCACAGCTTGTACCAAAGGAGCAGGTAAGAAGGGCTATGCTTGGGTCCCTTGCTGTTGGGAGGAGGGGTCACTGCCAGCCATGTCTTTGTGTGGTATCTTCTAGTCTGGTCTGAACCTGCCCTGTCCACATGTGGCAGTGCTACCAGCGTCACCCTGATCCTGAGGTTTTCATCTCACTGCAGGGTGGCACACCTGTCTGCTGACTGAGCTCCAGGGGCCCTGTGGGGCTGTCTTGTCCCTGTACCAGACTTGTGCCCCATCATGGGATCCCATGGGGAGGTGGGACAGGTTTGTGCCAGGACTGAGTGGTGGGTGATCTGACTGCCCTTTGTGAGTCAGTGTGAGTGGGTGGCGGCACCCACAGTTCCACACAGGGCCGTGGAGTGAGTGGCACGGAAGCCCCTGCTCTTGGCTCTTCTTTTGGAAACATCACGGCCCCCATGGGTGCCCAAGGTGGGGGGCACCATGTTAACCGGTGCTTCTGGGCGCTTCGCACCCCAGCCTCTGGAGCTGCTGGTCCAACAAAGCATCCTGGGCTGACTGGAGGTCATTGAGTACTTCCTGTGTACTAGCCGGTCTAGAGGATGACAACCATCAGCAGAAATGAGGCTGTCACGGCCACAGTGCCAGTCGCAACTGGACGGAACCTCTGCCTTCTCGAATCTATGCTGTTGCTGGGTTCAGCCTCACACTTGGCTGCCACGAGTACCTCACTGGGTTGAGCTTCTAGGAACGGACAACAGGTAAGAGTGTTCTTGATTCTAGACTTTGGCCATTGTGAAGTTGAAGGTGTGGAAGTCAACTCTTTCACCTTGGTTCTAGCAACATCTAGAAGAAACCAAAGTGGCCATGGGCCGGTATCCCTTCCTGGTCTCTGCTCCCTTCTGCTTCCTGGGCGGGATCCCTCGTTGGTTCCATGCTGCAGCCAGCACAGGCTCAGAGCAGACTAATGATACAGTATCCTGGGAGAGCTGGAATTAGAGGGCCTGTGTCACAGCAACTTGCTGTCTGGTGCCCTGGGCAGGCACCAGACAGCACCCTTTCTCCTTGCCTGCCAGCATGGGTCAGACTCTACCACACCTCGGCTGGTTCCAAAAGACAGCTGTCTGTGGGATGAACTTGGTGGCTGTGGCCAAGGGCACAATGTCCTCTGGGAGCCACGGGGCCTGGGCCTGCAGTCCGAGCCCCTCCCCTCCCCTGGCCTGCTCAGGGCTTCTTCCCACTGCAATGCAGTTGTTGTTTTCTCTTCCGGGCTGGAGAGGGGAACAGAGAGGCATCCCAGAGCCTCCTAGCTCTTGCACAAGCTGAGCAAGCAAGTACCTGCCTCTCTCTCTTCAGCAGCGCCCCCGGGGGTTGCCAGCTCTCCTCCCTCACTGAGGCATCACTCCACTTTCTTCCCCAACCCTGCCAGCAGTCAGCAGTCAGCAGTCAGACTCCAGACAGGCCTGGCTGCTGTGTTTGCTGTAAGCCAAGGAGGAAGGCATGGCTGGGGACAGGCGTGGGTTTGGGAGTGGGTAGAGCAGGAGGTGCTTTGGGAACCTGCCTGGTGGGCTTGCCTTGCATATAAAATCCTCCCCTTCTCCTCCCACTTGCACACACCCAGGCTCTGACCTGCCTTTGGAGCCCCTGGCTGTGTCCCTGTGTGCTCCTTTGCATGTCACAGAGCCTGGCTGAGCCGTTGGGTCGGGCGAGGGACACCAATGGTCATCTCCGCAGGCTGTGTAAACTGAATGAACGCTGGGCCGAGGGAAGGATGCTGGGCAGCCAGCACAGAGAGGATTCCTTCCCACCTGCTTTTCATGCCCCCAGCCCCCTCGTGGGGGAGCCTGGTCCTCGGCTGGACAGGAGGCCATAGGCTCTTTGCATGTAAAATTAAACTCACTGGGTGAGTATTTTGGGGAGCTTCTGTTTGAAACTGGGGCTGAGACCCAGCCCTCCCAAGTCTCCAGGGAGATTTTTTTTTTTTTACTCAAGAGGGCCAGGAAATCAGGCAAGGCACGAGGAGACTCAGAGAGCACTCACTGTCCCTGGCCCTCCGGTGTGCCAGGTCGCCCGGGGGGGCCTCGCGTCTGCAGGTGTATCCAGCTGAGTGTTGCCCACCCCCACCCCACACACACCCTGAGTTCTGTCTGAGATCAGGGGGAGGGGTGGGATGGAGGCACAGAGGTGAGTGTTACCTGGGCCTTCTGCCCACTGCAGGTTGAAGACGAAGCTGCCAGGAGGCCGCTCAGAGGCCTGGCGATACCACAGGGGGAAGTGGTCCATGGTGAACACGTTGGCCTCGTCCTCGGGCGTCAGGAACTTCCTGCAGGACGGAAGACTTGGGTCACCTTGGGATGGGGGGTGGGGGCAGACACTAGAGGGGACACTGCGATGCTCATGGAGATAGGGTCAGTAGGTAAGTTTGTCCTGGGGCAAGAATTTTGAAATTCATTTCCTAGTGTTTTCATAATGTGCATTTTGCAAGGACTTTTTTTTTTTGAAGATCCCTTGTATGCACGGATTTAATTTTTTTTCCCCCAGAGACTGGCATTATGACACAGCAGGTAAATCCACTGCTCATGGGCCTGGCATTGCATATGAACATTTCAAGTCTCAGCTGCTCTGCTTTCCATCCACTTGTTGCTGGGAAAGCAGCAGAAGATGGTCTAGGTGTTCGAGACCCTGTTATTCGTTGGGGGACCTGGATGGAGTTCCAGGCTTCTAGCTTCAGCCTGGTCCATGAAAGGCAGATTTACAGAGAGGAGAGAGAGAGAAATTTTCTTCTGCTGATTAATTTTCCAAATGACCCAAAGTGCCAGGATTGGGTTAGGCCATCCTGGTCTCTCATGCAGGTGGCAGGGTCCCGGAAACTGAAGCCATCTGCCACTCTCCCAGGTGCATTGGCAGGGTGCTGGGTTGGAAGGGGAACAATGGGGGACTTGAATGGGTGCTTGATGCTGGCATCACAGGTGGCAGTTTGACTCCAGCCCCTGGTTTAACTTCCTTCTGTCTGATTGTGCCTCTGAGTGAGAAAGCCCTAGGCTCTGCTGTCCGCTCTGCAGCTGCTCTAATGGGGAAGTTCAAGACTGGCAGAAGGTTCCACTGAGCATCCTGTGGAGGGGCCGCTGAACCTTGCTAAGTAGGTAGGGACTTTTGGGTTGGAGTGGGAGCAGGGAGAGTTATGGATGATGCCACAGGTAGGAACTGATGAGGAGGGGAGCTTGAGAGGGGTGGGCTCATTCCCGAAGCCGACCCGTGCCTTGGTGGGCTGCCATTCCCAGGTGAAGGGAGCGTTCTGGGGTTGGAGTGTGAGACTCAGCAACTGTCCACCCCCTCAGGAAGTCGATCAGTGTTAATTCAGGTCTCCACCCTCTGCTCCCTTTGGCAAGGTTGCAAGAGACACATGGAATACAGGAAGGGGGAGGAGGAGAGGGGAAGGTGGGAGGGAGGAGAGGAAGAGCAATTACACTGGCTTTCCTAGAAGGCCTCAGCTTGGTTAAGCAGGTGTGGATTGTTTGGAGGAAGCCCAGAAGAAGTTCTGAGGTGGTGCTCCGGCCCCCGGACGTGCAGAGCATCAGGCAGCGGGGTGGAAGGCAGGAGGCTGAGGGCCGCACCTGCGCCAGCCTGCAGGCCTGTGGAGCGGCAGGTGGCGCTCTTCCCCAGCCCTGCTTTCTCAGCCTGGCCTCAGCGCCCTGGCCCTTGATGCAAGGTCTGCCTAGGGCATGGCAGGGGGCTTTGTGGCATCCCTGGTTTCCTCCCTGTCCCCACGGGAGCTCCACCTGGCATCCTCCCTGGAGTGGGAATCACCAACCTTCCCCACGTGACGGGTCTGACAGGTGCTGAGCCTCCTGTCTCAAGCCTGAGGGTCCAGAGGAGGCTCCTGGGTCCTGGCTTTGGACCGGTCCAGCTAAGGCCATTGCAGACATTTGGGGCGTGCACCAGTGGATGGAAGACCTAATTGTGTGTGTGTGTGTGTGTTCAGCCATTCATTTCAAATAAATGGATAACTTTTTTAAACAAAAGCGTTGTTTTTCTCCTTCCCCAAGTTGTAATTCGAGTCTTCCCCATCTCCCCCATCAGCTTCTGTCCATCCAGTGACACAGGGACTCAGGCCAAAGGCACGAGGGGGACCCTGGAAGGACTCACCTGTTGGAGACCTGCTCCAAGCCCACGAACAAGGTGACCCTCAGGAGGCCGGCTCGGGTGCCCAGGAAGGCCATGTCCACCTCCTGCTCCGACTCACTGTGGGACAAAGAGAGTATGGCAGTGATGAGATGGCCCCTGCGACAGGACGTGCAGAGCTGCCTGGGCCTCTCTTGGCGGTACCTAGCCAGGCTCAGAGACAACGACCCAGGACGGCTGAGTTCCTGGAACTGACACGCCAGCATCCTGGCTCCCAGCAGCTGCTCCCTTTCCCCTTGGTGGTATCAGACCGAACTCCAAGCTTCTGCTCCTGGGTTTCGGGGAGGAGGGTGTGGAGGACAGAGAGAGGACTCAGGGGCAGAGATCTGGTGCCTGGGCGGAAGAAAGGACAGTTCTGGAACTCTCTGATGGGGATGTGAAGGCAGGAGGAGCCGGCACTGAGCACAGTCACTCCAGAGGAGTCCTGTGGTCCTCATGGCCTGGCCATTGCAGCTGAGAAGCAGGCCGGGCTGAAGCAGGACTGGTTTTGCCTTCCTCCTACCCTTCAGTGGCTGATGACCCCAGGTGCCAAAGGGGACAGTAGGCAGCAGGCTGGAGCCTTTTCCCAGCTCTAGGGGGGCTGTGGCCCAGTTTTTCACAGTGCCAGGTCTGAGGTCTCGGGTGCATTCTCCCCCAGGCTCACAGGCTAGGCTGCTGGGCTCTCCTCGCCTGAAGCTGCACCCCTTCCCCCCACCCCCGGCTGTGACTGGCAACAGTACCTGGCATGGCATTAAAATGCTTGGCCTGCAGCCTGGAAAGACACTGAGAACAGGGGCTTGGAACCCCATGTTGGCGTCTCCCCCCAGCCCCAGGACTGTAGAGCAGGGGACCATCCTACAGGCTGTGCCTGGGGAATCTGTGTGCAGTAAATAGGGGTGTGTGTGTGTGTGTGTGTGTGTGTGTGTGTGCATGGGATGGGGGTGGGATGCTTGGCACCTACATGTCTTTTTTTTTTTTTTTTGAATTTTTGAAATTTGCATCTTCTTTCTCTTGTGCTCCTAAGAACCAGGATTTTGTCACTTTGAGAATACCAATGCCAGTGTTATTCCCAGCAAGGTGAGTACAAAGCACTGTTTACGATTTTACTGATTTACTGCTCATACTTACAAAGCCCCTTAAAAGGTTTCCCCTATATCTGTCATTATTTCATAAACTCGACATGGCTAGGTTTCTGTTTCATTTGCTTTCACATTCTCTATAGAGATTATTTTCTAAAATTGAATTTTGCCGTATGTGAAACACTCGCATGGTCTTGAAGTCAGTATGAAAAATGAAGCACATTTGGGTCGAAGTGTCTGCAAATCTACAGCCCTGTTCCTTCCTTCTTCCTGCAGGTTAAAGACCTGTGTGTGTCCAGCATTGTGGTGCCTTGCTCTAGGCTGCTGCCTGGGATGCTGGAAGCCCATATGGGTAGGGGTTCTAGTCCCAACGGCTCCACTTCCCATCCAGTTCTCTGCCAACGTGCCGGGGAAGGCAGCAGGCAATGGCCCCGGAAGTGGAGCCGCTACAATCAACATGGGAGACCAGGATGCAGTTCCAGGATCCTGGCTTTGACCCGGCTCAGCCATTGTGGCTAGTTGGGGAGTTGAACTCGTGGATGGGAACTCAAGCTCTCTCTTTCCACACCTGTAGCTCTGCCTTTCAAGTAAACCTTTTTTTTTCCTTATTTTTAAGTGTGCAGGTGTGTTTTCATTCATTGGAACAAATGCTTATGTTTGGGAAAGTAAGTATGAATATACATTTGTATTTCTTCTTTTTGATAAACATTACGGATGTCATTCCTGAAGATTGTTTCGTAACAGCATTTGAGAGGATTCAGAGAGTTCATGGAACGTGCATATCATTAAAGACTTAAACAGATTTCTCTTTCAGAAGCACAGCAGGTTAGTTCGCAGTCTGGATGCTGACATCCGTACGGTAGCTGGTCTGAGTCCCAGCTGCTCCAAGTCTGATCCAGCTCCCTGTTAAGGGACCAGAAAAAGCAACAGAAGATGGCCCGCGTGCTTGGCAGACCTGGAAGGAGCTCCTGGCTCCTCAGCTCTGGCCATTCGGGGAGTGAATCAGCAGATGGAAGATCTTTTTCTCTCTTTTCGCTCTCTCTCTGTATTGCCCCCGCTCCGCGTCTACAACATTGGCAATGGCCAGACCACCTGCTGCCCCTTAGCCATGTGGGTCGATAGTGGCCACTGGCAAACTCAGACGAGTCTGACAGAGGACAGGCACTTCCTGGTGCAGTTTTGTTTTGCATTTTCCTTGTCAGGAGACAGGTGAACATCTTTCACCTATGTAAGGATTTTTTTTTGGACTTTTTTTCTTGCAAGTTGTCTTTATTATTACTGGGATTTCCCCCCATAAAATGTTTGGTCTTTTATATCTTACTTCTTTTTAAAAAAGCTTTATTTCTTTTTATTTGAATGGCAGATTTTACAGAGAGAGAGGAGAGATCTTCCAGCCACGGGTTCACTCCCCAAGTGGTTTCAATGGTCATAGTTGAACCCGTTCAAAGTCAGGAGCCAGGAGCCTCCTTTGGGGTGAAGGGTCCCAGGAACCTGAGCCTTCCTCCACTGTTTCCGCAGGCATCAGCAGGGAGCTGTGATGGAAGTGGAGCAGTGGGACATGAACTGGCACCCATATGGTATGCCAGTGCTGCAGGTGGAGGATTGGTCCACACCCCACAGCTTAATGTTTGAAGTCCTTTCTGTATCAAAACTATACGACAGGCATGGTAACCTTTTCTCTGTTTTGTAAGTTGCATACTTTTGCCAGCTTGCCAGTTCTCTCTGCATCCTGGGTCCTGTTTTGTTTCTGTTGTATAAATGTTTTTCTGCTCTTCCGGTGTATCCGTCATTCCTTCATGGCTTCCTCATTTTGAGTCACTGTTGGGAAAGGCTTCCCCAGGCCCAGATTCCAGAGCAATTGGCTGCTGTTCTTCAGCACTCCCGTGGTTTCTTTTCTTAAATTTCAATCTCTGAGTCATTTGGATGGTATCCAGGTGCACGATGTGAAAAGAACGCAGTTTTCTCCTTCTCCATATGGTTCTCAAGCCAGGAAGACAGTCTATCTCACACACGGACTACACACGCTGCCTTTGCCGTACGCTGAGGTCTCACGTGCGTTCCGATGCGGGTGTGTTTGGCTCCGCTGGGGGCCCTCGCCTGCCCACGTTTTCCCCCTGCCAACACCACAGCTTCGTACGTTCGTGGCTGCAGTTTTGTGAGAAGTGCTCATATCCCGATAGGTTCTCTTTTCTTGTTCAGAAATGCCTGCCCCTCCTTGCTTGTTCTTCCCAGTGGATTTGCGTGTCGGTTCTTCTGAGTGCAGAAAAATATGGATGGGCGTTTTAATTGGGACGGTGTTAGATTTCTAAAATAACTTGGGAGGATTAACAGCTTCGTGAAATTGGATTCCTGCAATCCCAAAAGGCTGCGTGCCCTTCCCTGTGGGCACGTCACCTTCGTTATCTCGGGAGTATTGCACAAGCCTCCTTCTACGGCTTTCTGGAAAACTCTCATGGTGCTGTGTATGCTTCCTCTGTTGTCAGTCCTAAAAGTGTTTATTGTATTTTTGCTTGCCCTTCTGAAATAAATGCTCTTCCTCTTATATCTTCTACTCAGGTTTTGTGCTGAAAAAGGCTGTTCGCTGTAGAGTATTGACACGGTAACCTGTGTAAAAGTCCTTAAGTAAATTCTCTCGTGGCTTTTCTGTGAATTCTTTGGGAGTTTTCAGGTGTCTTATCATGTCATTTATTAATATTATTGGGATTCTTTGAGAGACAGAAGCACACACATCCACAGAAGGAGAGAGCTCTCCCACCTTCTAGTTAATTCCCTAGAAGTTTGTAACAGCTGGGCCTGGCCCCAGATAGAAATTTGGGAGGCAGGACCATAACACTCAGGTCTCACATCAAGGTGGGATGAATCCAGCCCCTTGGACCCTCACCACTTCTGCCTCCGAGGGGCTGTGTTAGCACGAAGCCAGCATCAGGGGCTGAAGCTGAGAACTGTACCCGGGTACTCTGCTGTGGGCCAGAAGTGTCTTAACTCCATAGCCGCTTTAGTGGAGCTCAATGGACTTCCTTCTCTCCACTCCTTTTCTTGTCTTCTTGTCTGACTGGTACCCCCGATCTGGTTCAAGGGGAAGTGGGGAAGTGGGTCCTGGGGAAGTGGACAATGCCCTCTGGTGGCTGTCTTCAGTGGGCAGGCCTCCGGCCTTGACTCCCAGGCTTAGGCCTGTTTTCACCTTTTGGAATGGCTTTAAAGACACGAGTAGGAACGAGTGTCTGTTCGTATCTTTTATGTGCCTTTTATGCAGTGGGGCGGGTTCTCTGGCCTCCTGAGTGTGGGGTTTCCAGGCTGTTCTGTATGGACAGCCCTGGTTCAGAGTGGCGTGCCGCTCCGGGATTCTTAACACTGACAACATCCGTGGCTGACTTCAGAGTGCCCTGTGGAAGGCAGGGCAGGCCAGGCTGAGGGTCTGGGTCCTGGAACTGGGTTGTCCTTTGGTGGGAACACTCCACTGAGCGTCTGGTCCCACTTCACCTTTTTTGCTTTCTGCTTAGTTCTGAAGAAGCCTTTGTTGGCATGGTCCCTCCCACCCCATCACAGTGTTCTGTTTCTCTAATCAGAGACAATCAAGGAGAAAGGTCCTTATTGTCCATCCATGCGCAGTGCCACCACTCCCCCCAGACATTACACAGATGCAAATACTCAGATATGCCTCTGTCCTCCTTTCTAGAGTAACACTAGTCTGTCTTGCACAGCACCCCAAATATTTTATACAATAGGAGATTGCTCCTACACATTTATCTTGGTGTTTTATTAGGCTAGCATATATTAACTTTTCTATTGAATGTTTAGGAGAGGCTTGCCACCTGCATGAGGTTGAGTCTTCCTTGTCCAAAGCTAAGTCTAGCCCACGGTGGCCTAAACCTGGGAATGTCAACACCCAACGGATGCACACAGTCATATCCTGCTCATCTTTTCATCTGGTCTGTAAACATGAGAGCATCCAGGCAAGACCAGCAAAGGGATCAGGACCTCCAAAGGATCGGCAAACGCCAGAGTCAACTTCCGCCCTGCCCGCTGGGAACAACCCTCTGGAACTCTAAGGTACTTTGTCAACGGCCCAACTCAGAGGAGGGTCCTCAGATTCGGGGTGCCCTGGGGTGAGTACCTAGGGGGCCTGTGCCAAGGGGACCTGTCTTGGTGTATTTTTTTTTTCAGCAAGGAGAAGGCAGCAGCCGTGTGTGGTGTTGGAAGCTTTGCTGACCCCCTGCATCGCTGGGGGCTGTGTGAGGGTCTTTCCTATCCGCCCCCAGTCCTATGTCCTCCACCCTTATTATTATCTGTCTTAAGCTAGCAGACACGGGTGGTCTTCTGAGCTACCGGCCAGGTACTGGGAGTGTCCCCCTGGCCCACTCATTGCCCTTGCCCCTCATAGCACGTACTCAGAAATGTTGAGGGCCAGCGCCGTCCAGTAGGCTTCCATGGGGGCTGTGACCACTGCGTCCAACAGCACCTCCCGCACCAGCTCCTCATCACCTGCAGGCAAAAATTACAGGAGGCCAAGCCACTTGTTGCACCTGTGCCCATGCACACAGCTCCCTTACCCTTGGGAAGTTCAGGGAACACCATGTGCTCCATGAACAGGTGGCAGCTGGGCTGGGCGTCTGGCCTAGTGGCTATGCTGTCACATCCCACGTCAGAGCACCTGTCTCTGCCACGCAGCTCTGCCTCCTGCTATTCCAGACCCTGAGAAGCGGTGGCCAGGGCTCAGAGTTGGGGTTCCCGCCTCCTGTGTGGGAGATCTGGGTAGGGCTCCCAGCTCCTAACGTTAGCCGGAGATATTTGAGTAGTGAATCAACAGGTAGGTATACCCTCTTTCTGTCTCAAAAAAAGATAAAAACAAAAATGTCTCCGTGAGCTTGAAGATGATCATTTCACGTCTTTCATCCTTCATTTCCTCATCTCCTGAACCCTGGGACCCCTTGTGACAGACCTGAGTCTGCCTCTCCCATCCCAACTCCCGTCACATGGTGTCCAGGCCAACAGCACCTGCGGGCTCTGGTCAGCACTGTGGGTCTGCTGGCCTCAGGGCCCAGGTAGCTGTTTCTTGCATCTGGAGGCTCTGGTCTGACCCACCCCCAATCCCCATGTGAATGGCTTGTGTGCTTAATACGGGGCCCTTGTCAAGGTTCATAACAACCTCCATCAATAGGTGTGTACTGCCTGGCCCCTCCAGCAGATTTTAAGCTCCTGGAGCACCAAGCCTTGCCTGGGTCATCTCTTCAGCTTCTGTGCCAAGCTCAAGGCCTGGCATGGAGCGAGTGCTCAGTGTAGAGGCAGTGACGGAGTGAACTGAGGCGTGCCCAGCTGGGCTGGCTTAAGAGGCAGAGTTTGCTTGCCAGGGGGCGGGGAGGAGGCGGGTGTGGACATGTGACATGCAGAGTCACGTAGAGGAAGAAGGAGCAGGGGGTCCGGTGAGCTCCCAGAGGCCCCAGTGCAGGGGCACTTTAGGCTGGCCTAAGGCCGGTGTGGAACTCGCTCCCAGCCCCCAAGCTTTGAGAGGTCACACTGGCTCCTCTGGAATGAGACGTCAGGGTGGAGTATGTCTGCTACTCGCCCAGGGGTCCATTGCTAGGTGGGGGATAGGACACATGTGGCAGGCAGATGATGTCCTTGACCGTGCTCATCTGACCCAGAGACCCAAGTTCCATGCGTGGGGATGCACGCATGTGGGCAGGCTGCACTCACACTCCAGTTCGGGGTCCTTCCCTGTCAGGAAGAGGACCATGGCCTCCAGCTGGCTGAGCTTGCGGTGGTCGGGGTCAATGTCTGTGACGCAGTAGATCCTGGAACCAGGCGAGTCGGGGTTACCACCAGAAAGGCACCATCGCCCCTCCCCACCTTCCACGCCCGCCTTACCAGTCGCTGGCTAGAGTCAGGTCTGGATGGAGCAAGTCGTGTAAGCCTGAAAGCAGAGCACTGACTCAGGTCCACACTTAGGGCAGGGTGTGGACTCTACAGCCCACCCCTAAACCTCGACAGAGAACCCTGGCAGGCAAGGCTGGGCTCTCCCCCAGTACAGGGCACCTTGCTGGGTGTACTGGGACCATGCCTCAGCCCACACCTTCCCCTGCTTATGTCCACATCCCAGGCCCTGGGCAAGGCTCAGGACAGGCACCGGAGCCTCCCTTTTCTTCCTTCTGCAAGACATGTCCCAGTGTGCCCTTGCACAGCCATTCCTGCAGTGTCCCCCCATAGGGCCTGATTCTGTCCCAGGAAGGTGGTGACTTTAGCTTCCTCTGCATGGGCCCGGCAGAGCTGAGCCCAGAGCCTCATTTGTTTTGGTGCATCCCGGGTAGCCTGCCTCGCACAGGCAGCCCTGGCCCTGTACTCTGCGTGCACGTGTGGTGAATGAGCGGTGGTCTCGCTTGCTCCTACTCAGGGCATAGAAAGAAGCAGGTGCTTAGTCAAGGCTTTGTCAAGTTGTAGGGAAAGGCGGTGGAAAGGCCTTCCAAGGATACAGGATTGACTTAGACACACAGCAAAGAGCTCCCTTGCCCACAGAGCCCCCCCTGTTTCTAAGCCCCTGGTCCTTGAGGATGTCCCACCCACAGAAGTAAACAGGAGGGTGCCATGTGTGCCCGGGCTCCTGCAATCCGGGAACTGCTGTGTAGAGGAGGAAGAAGGGAGTTTTGTCTGCTGGGTGGAAAGAGTGGAGCCAGAGGAGAGTGGAGCCGGAGGAGAGTGGAGCCAGAAGAGAGTGGAGCCAGAGGAGAGTGGTCCTGAGTTACGGGCATACAACGTGCAAGGCCAAGGGCAGGAGCTCCGTGTGAGCCACAGCAGGGCACCTGCCAGGAAACGGTGCCCGGCACAGTGCTGTCCAGGCTGGGAGCCAGCATGGCACCTGACAGCAGGGCAGGCTAAGCGAGCTGGAGGCAGGAGTGCAGCAGGGGCGAGCTCAGCCCCAGGGTGACCTTGGCACTGGCCTGCTGAGGCATGAAGGGTTCCAAGGATGAATAAGGGCCACTGGCAGTGTGGTGGTCAGATGTGGCATTTCTGGAAAGACGTTGCTGATGGGAATTCAGATACAGAGACAGGAGGTCCAGGAGAGAGGTGACAATGGCAAGAAAGAGGGAGCAATGAGACACTTTCAAGGGACAGTAAAGGAGGGGTGGGGTAAGCCACCACCTGCAACCGTGGCAGTGCCAGTTTGAGTCCCAGCTGCTCTATTTATAATCCAGCTTCTTGTTAAAATGTACCTGGGAATACAGCAGAAGTTGACTCAGGTTCCATAGACCCCTGCCATCATGGGGAGACCCGTGCCATCATGGGGGAGACCCCTGCCATCATGGGGGAGACCCGTGCCATCATGGGGAGACCCGTGCCATCATGGAGGAGGCCCCTGCCATCATGGGGGAGGCCCCTGCCAGCATGGGGGAGACCTGTGCCATCATGGAGGAGACCCCTACCGTCATGGAGGAGGCCCCTGCCATCATGGGGGAGGCCCCTGCCACCCATTGGGGAGACTCTGTCATCAATGGGGGAGACCCCTGCCACCCATGGGGGAGACTCTGCCATCCATGGGGGAGACCCAGATAGAGTTCCAGGCTCCTGCTTCAGGCCTGCTCAGATCTGTTTGTTATAGTCATTTGAGAAAGGAACAAGCAGATAGGAAAGCCATTTCTCTCTTTTCCCCTCTTACTCTACCTGTCAAATAAACAAAATATATCCTCAGGAAAAGGAAGATTGGGCAGAGTGTGAGCGTCAGAAGGAACCACGGCCACATCTTCTAAAGCTTCCCCAAGCATTGCCTGGCTTGGGACAGCGCTTACCTCTCTGGGGTTTGAGGGTGGAGGCACACAGGTGAAGCCAACGGTCAGTCAGAACCAGGCCGCCCCAGGTTGCCCATGCCCTTCCCACCTGCCATGGCTTGACTTGGGCATGGCTTCTGCATGAACATGGATGAAAACCCTCCAAGTCCCAGGTAAATGGTGTGAGGAGGTGGAAAAGTTAGCACAGTTATGGTGGGTTCAGGGGGAAGGCCCTAGGTCCCTGGCATTGGGCACCCCCCAGAAGGCAGCTCTTGCAAGAAGGCTGGGGTTAAGGCCAACTTGTGCCTGGCCAGGCTGCCTGCTTCCTGGCTTGCCACACCATCTCCTTCCCCATGTAGTGTGCCCTCTGTGCTGGCTACTCCATTGTCACCCTCTGACCTCACCGGGTGGCTGCATCAGCCTCACCTCCAGCTGTGATTTTTTTAAAAAGATTTATTTATTTTTATTAGAAAGGTAGATCTTTACAGAGGAAAAGAGAGGAAGATCTTCCAGTCACTGGTTTACATCCCAAGTGACTGCAACAACCGGCCAGACCTGAGCCAATCTGAAGCCAGGAGCTTGTTCTAGGTCTCTCTCATAGGTGCAGGGTCCCAAAAGCTTTCGGCCATCCTCTACTGCTTTTCCAGGCCACAGGCAGGGATCTGGATAGGAAGCGGAGCAGCCAGGACACGAACTGGTGCCCACATAGGATCCTGGCCCATGCAAGGTGAGGATTTAGCCACTACCATGTTGGACCCTCCGACTATGATGAACCTGACCTTCTTCACCAGGAGACTCTGTCTCTGGCGTGTTTTATAGCGAGGGACAGTTGACTAGCATCTCCTGCTTCCCCTACTGTTCTCTGCCCATCCCTTCTGCACTTCCGCCCTGCGCACTCCAGGCTGTGTGTGCATTGAGTGAACTAAGTCTCCCCAAAGGCAGGTTGAGGCCCTGGTTCCCATGACCGTGACCTTCCTTGGAGATAGGATCTCAGCGGGTGTGCCACTCAACTAACAGGAGATCCTTAGTAGGCTCTGCACTGGTGTGGCTGGTACCCTTCTAAGGAGAGGAGAAAGCCGCCCAGTGATGCAGTCAGTGAAGCACAGCGGCTGCAAGGCACGGGGCGCTTGGGCCATCTGAGGTGGAAGCCTCAGGAAGCCACCGCCTCCTCCACTCTCTGCTGCTGCCGCAGTTCTGCGGGGAGCTGAGCTTTCCCACAGGCACCGGGAGTGCACATCTGTGTCTGGCTTGCTTAGCAGTCACATGCACAGAAGACTGACCTCCGTCACCTTCTCACGGGAGAATCCTGCATCCTTCGCTCCTGTAGGGACCTTACCTACAGAAAGCAAAACCTCCCACAAGTGGATCGTGTGAGCTTGGCAGGTCTAGGCCATGCTGGCTTGCTGGCCACCTGGCAGATCCGGCATGCTCCGGGCATCACATGGTGCTACTCCGAGCTTGGGCCACTCGGGGGTCGCTCTCCTAGGATAAACCTTCCTCCTGTTGCCACCCTGAGCTTCCTTCAGCACCTGGCGCCGACTCACCTTCTTCCACGGATGTGTTCCCCACCACGATGTACTCTCCGTGGCCACGCGACAGCACCACGGCCAAGCTGGGGAGAGGCGGAGCGTCCACACTCAGAGGCTGATATTGCCATTCTCCCAACCACCTGCTTGCCCTTGATTTGCCAGGGGGAGGATCCACATGGAACACATCCAATCCCCAGCCTGCCCCGGCCTCCTGGTCAGGGCCCTCTGCATCCCCCCGCACCCCCCTACCCCACCATCAGTCCCTTTTATCCCCGTGGAAATTCCAGGCAAGAAGAGCCCTCCCAGCTCCCATTTTAGCCAAGGACCACCCCAAACCTCCCAGGGAGCCTCTGAAACGCAGAGAGGTTTCTGTGCCTCATGGGACACCCCTTTCTTAGACAACAGGTGTCCTCCACTGCTGACAGGACAACGGAGGTGACCCTATCTGCACAATCCAGGGAGATGCACTGTCACCTGCTTACTTTTTTTTTTATTTATTTCATTATAATTTTTTATTTGAAAGGCAGAGACAGAGAGATGGTCCATCTGCTGGTTCACCCCCCAAATGCCCACAACAACCATGGTTGGGCCGGTTGAACTCAACCCAGGCTTCCTAGGTGGGCGCAGGGACCCAAGTATTTGAGCCATCACCTCTGCCTCCCAGGGTGGACATTATCCTGAGGGAATCAGAAGTGGAGATAGCACCCGGTCTTGGGCACACTGATATGAGATGCAAGCATCCCAAGGAAGGCCTCCACTCAGCATTCAGTGCCAGTCCTGCCAAGGCAGCTTTAAACGATACAGTGAGAGAGGCTGGCATAGCACGTGAAGCTACTGTCTGCAACACCAGCATTCCATATGGGCATTGGGTTGAGTCCTGGCTGCTCTGCTCCTGATCCAGCTCCCAGCTCGTGCACCTGGGGAAGCAGCAGAAGATGGCTCAAGGGCTTGGGTCCCTGCTCTCCACATGGGAGACCAGGGTGAAGGTCAAGGCTCCTGACTAGCTTGACCATTGTGGCCCTGTGGGGAGGGAACATCACAAATGACAGATTTCTCTTTCTTCACGTCTGTCTTGCTCTCTCGGCCTTACAAAATAAACATGTGAAATTAAATATATAAAGATGGGCTCCCCTCCAGGAACTCTGATGATATTGGTCTGGACAGGGAACTGGCAATGTCACACTGTTTCCTGGGTATTCCAAGGAGCGGTCAGGGCTGGCAGCCGGGGTTTCATTGAGAAGCACAGCTGTTCAAGGCGAAGGGTCCTTTGTTCCCTGATCTGTGTGGTGCTGAGTCAATAGTTCCGTGGTTGGAGGGGACCCAAGGGACCTTCCCCGCCACCTTTTCCTCTCACGAGAGGACAGTGTCAGGGGACCATCTGATGGTCACCCTGGTGAGGAATTCAGGGCACAATGAGCTTAGAGAACTTGACTGTGTCACGCCACCCGTGCGTACCTGGTGCCCTGGGGGACTCAGACCCGGGAGGTTCTGCTCCAGAGCTTTGCACAGCTGGGCTTCACCACAGGGCCAGAAGAGCCCTCCAACCACAGGTTGTCCAAATGCGGATCTGGTCATAGCAAAAACCTCGCTATGACCACGCCCTTCTCAGCTCAGCAGGATCGCGTCCATCCCACCCCCAAGACCTGAACAAAAGTTCTCCTCCCTTTGGGCCTTACCTGAAAGGTGTGTCGCTGATGCCCGTGAAAAAGTAGTCATTGGTCAGGAAGAGAACTCGCTTCTGGGGGAGCAGAGGAGGAAGAGGGCACTGACTGGGGAAGTGAGGGGTGAGGGCTGCACCCCTCCCCCTCGCCTGCCGTCCCCCACACCCCTCAGGTGCCCCACTTCAGATGTTTTCCCTGGCCACCACCAATGACGTGCCACATCTGTGGGCAGAACCATCCCAAAGCCCACATGGCCATGGGAGGTGGCTGCCTGGTTCAAGGACTGTGGCCGGGCCTGCGCTGCCCCTCACAGAAGTTCTGGGTCCCATGTGACTCCTGGCACTAGAACTGTGTGTGAAAAAACTGGCTTTTAAAATTTTGTTAATAATTTGTTTTCAGGATGAAGACTTCATATTTCCCCTTTTCCTGGTTTCCCCCCCCCTCTCTTTTATGGGCCCAGCGCAGTAGCCTAGTGGCTAAAGTCCTCACCTTGCATGTGTTGGGATCCCATATGGGTGCTGGTTTGTATGCCAGCTGCTCCACTTCCCTTTTAATCTCCTGATTGTGGCCTGGGAAAGCAGTGGAGGGCAGCCCAAAGCTTTGGAACCCTGCACTAGCATGGGAGACCCGGAGGAAGCTCCTGGCTTCTGGCTATAGATTGGTTCAGCTCCGGCCATTGTGGCTACTTGGGGAGTGAGTCAGATCAGTGGATGGACCTTTCTCTCTCTCTCTCCTCTCTGTATATCTGACTCTGCGATAAAAATAAATAAATCTTAAAAAGATTTCGCAATAAATTGCTTGACGCTTCCTTCTGTTTTCTTTGAGACAAACACACACACACACACACACACACACACACACACACACACACACACACCAGTACCGTCCCCGGCTATCCAGATCTCTCAACTTAGCATCAGGAACCCAGTGGCTTGAGCTGTCGCCTGCTGCTCCCGAGGCAGTAGCAGGGTCTGCGTGTGAGATGGGACGCGAGCACGCTAACTCATGTCTCCACTACGAGGTTAGAGACACACTGCTCAGTCTCTTCTGCTGAACAGGTCGCACTCCACAGGGGCACGGATGGGGCAGCGTTTCCTAGCAGCCTGCAGCGTGGGCTGTCCACGGTGGGGAAGCCGAGAGCAGGGGCTCCCCGTCTCCCCCACTGAGCGCCCTGCGATGAGTCCTTGCCTTCTCTAGGCAGCAGTGTGATCACGGCTCCTGCAGGAAACTAACCCTCTTTGCCACAATGCCGTCAACATTCTAGAATATTCCTGGGAACAAAAGTTTACACGTGTCTTGCTGAACACCTGGAAATGGAATTGCTTATTGAAAACTGCTAAACGGATTCCCCAAAGCTGATTGGGCCTCCGGCAAGCCGCGCTGGCAAGGCGCCAGACTCTTGATTTCTCCAACCTCTTGCCAGTGTTGGCTGTTTGACATTTCAGCCATGCAGAGAGAGGGAAGCGAGGCCTCGCTGTGGGTTTAATTCACATTTCTGGATGGTTGATAATGCCGTGTCTCTTCCCGTGCTTCCCGACCAGGCATCAACCTTCCTTCGGGAAACCTCTGCTCCAGGGTTCCGACCGTTCCCTCGGGTTGGGAGTTGTTTGCTATCGTTTGTAGGGGTTCTCGATGTCTTTTAGATACAGTCTGTCTCGGCTGAAGCCTTTGGATGAACCGAGCTTCTGATTCTGGTGATGTCATGTGTGTTTCATGTTTTTATCTAAGACATCCCGGCATACCTAGAGTTGAGATTTTTTCCCTTTGGTTTTTTTTTTTTTTTTTGTCAAAGTTTTCTCCTTTTATTTATTTATTTCTAAAGACTGATTTGAAAAACAGAATAGCGCACGCGCACACACACACACACACACACTCACTTGCCTCTTCTTAGTCATACCTCAAGTGACTGCAACTGCTAGGGCCTGGCCAGGCTGGAGCCAGGAGCCAGGAGCTCCCGGCAGGTTTCCCAGCTGGGTAGCACGGTCCCACGCAGCCTCTGCTGCTCTCCTAGGAGCATTAGCTGCAGCAAGCCAGACAGGAAGCTGACCAAGTAACACCTGGACTGGCACCTGGACCCGCCGGCACCACCAGGGGCGGGTCAACCCATTAGTGCCACCATTCCCTGGACATTTTTCTCCTTTTGCTTTTTACGTTGGTTGCAGTCTGACATGCTGATTTTCGTGTTTGATATGAGATGTCGGTCAGTATTTTTCCGCCACATTTATTCAGTCTTCTGGTTTTACCGAAAAGCGTTCCTCTTTCTGCTGAATTGCTGATGCGTCTGTTGAAAAGCAATTGGCAACTCACGTGTGGATTCCTCCTGAATTCTCGGCTCAGTTCCATGAACCAAATTTGTCTAGTCTTTTGTCAACCTTGATTGGTTACTTTAGAGTACGTTTTGTAGTGTGACTTGTCCACTTTTAAAAAAAGAGTTATTATTTTTTATTTGTGAGGCAAATTTTGCAGAAAGAGGAGACAAAGAGAAAGTTTTCTGTCCACTGGTTCGTCCCTTGAATGGCCAGTTCTGGTTGTTCGTCTATGAACTTATTATTGCTATTGCTATTTTATTTGAAAGGCAGATTTACGGAGAGAAGGAGAAACAGAGGGATGCCATTCATCCACTGGTTCATCCCTGAAGTGGCCATAACGGCTTGAGCTGAGCTGATCCGAAGCCAGGGGCTATTTCTGGGTCTCCCACCTGCAAGCAGGTGCTTATGTTCTTTCGCCAGTGGGGTCAGGTGGTCAGCAGGAGGAGGAACTCCAGGCGGGCTGTGGGACAGGGTGGCATTTGTCAATGTGTCAATGTAATTCAGTGGCTACACTGGAACTCGTTATGTCGGAGGACGCAACGATCTTTCAGTGACACGTGGGTGGGTTAAGGTTAAGGGTGCTGCTGATGCTTTGTTGCCTGTGGTTCCGGGGCCTGAATATCAGCTGGATAGTCAACCTCTTCTCTATAACATGTGCTGTAACAACTGCTGACCTTTTGCAAAAGAAGCTGTCACTTTCCCCCTTTGCATCACACACGAAAAGAGGGCCAACCAGCAGGCAGTGCAAAGGAAGAAAGCGGAGTTGTGATCGCTTGGCTGGGGAGTCTCCAAAGGACCAAGTATGGGCAGGAGCAGCCACAGGGGCTCCTGGGCCAGATGTTTTTCTGGGGTTGGAGCTGCCCTCCCACGAGGCCCTCCCTCTAGACTACACATGTTCTCCAGTCTTGATCCCTGACTGGGCTGAATCCACATCCCTCAGCCACCCTTCTAGACCTCAGAGATCTGAGCTGCTGCCAGCCTGGGGTCACGTCCTGGCTCCTCCCCCAGCTCCTTACCCCTTTGTCCAGGGGAACCTTCACGTCCATAGTGAGAGAGCCCGTCTCTCCATTGATCATGGCTGTTCTCAGCTACAAGAGGAAAGATAAGGCTGTCAGTTCCTTGGTTGACCCAAGAGGGGCTGGTGCGGATGCCTGAGAATCCTCATTCTTTCTTTATTCTCCTGAGTAGAATACCAGAAGGGGAGATGTCCATGTGGTTTCCCATTCCGGGCATTCAGCAAGGTGACACTGCCGAGCGCGTGATGGGGCGGGAGCCACACGCTGAGCTGTGCATGTCACCTCTGGGGTGTGAGGCGAACTTCTGCGGAAGACATCACCGCAGCTCACTGCACGTGGCTAAAATGCAAAGACCTCTTACAGCTCTCGAAACACTGCTGCCGGTTTGGGCTTGGAAAAGCTGCGGGTCAGAACTGATCCCAGGAGCAGAGAGAGTGTGGTTCAGACCTTACAGCCACACCCCTGACCCATCCCATTGAACATGCAAGAGGCGTTTTTAAAAGGCCATGGGAGAAGACATCTTGAAATAATATGTTATATGCATGGCTTTCAGAAAAAAAATTTTTTTTTCAAGCCAGAATAAATGTATGCTCTGATTCCATTTTGCCCAGTCTCCTGGCAGAGCCCTCACAGAGCCCATCTGGCTTCTCTTTCCCTTGCAATGCCCACTCACAGTTTCGGTTTGGTCTTCCCACTCCACTTCAGATAGGTCCACACTGTTGTAGTTGGGTTTGGGCTTCAGTTTCTTGCCCTCTCTGTACTGGTTGCGGTAGAAGAGGGGGAGAAACACACGGTTAGCTCACAGCCCTCAGTCCCCCAGCTTCTAGAGAGCCTTTGGGTAATACAAAAGTCAAAGATGTCCCATGCGCCCCTGAGACTTCTGGGAAACTGCTCATGCCCTGCACTGTGTCCCTTGCTGACACAGTGGGTGGCAGAGGTCTCCCAGGCTCGGGGTGCCTCCTTCCCTCCCACTGTGAGGAGTGCCTGATGGATGTTGACCTCCACACAGCTGCAGTTATGCATGAAGATCTTCCTGAGGCTCCGCTGAAATCTGTCCTGTGATTTCCAGACCTTAGAGCAGTGGCCTGCTGCGTGTTTGTTTTGTGGCTGCAGTTTTTCAATTGGACAGAGCCTAGGGCAGGTGTGTGGTGCTTAATGAAGATCTCCCAGAGTCAGCATCAAAGCATAGGAGGTAAAGCGGTTGCCTGGGATGCTGGCATCCCATGTGGGCAGCACTTCACATCCTGGCTGGTCTGCTTCCCAGTCAGCTCCCTGCTCATGGCCTGGGAAAAGCTGCAGAGGAAGAGCCAAGTGTTTGGACTCCTGCACTTATGTGGGATACTCAAAGGAAGCTCCTGGCTCTTGGCTTTGGCCTGGTTCAGCTCTGGCTGTTGTGGCCACTTGGGAAGTGAACCAGTGGATGGAAGATCTTTCTCTTTCTTTCCTTCTCTGTAACTCTGACTTTCAAACAAATAAATAGATTTTTAAAATGAAGACCTTCTCTAACTTGACATTGAGTTATTTGTCACGAGTTCTGAGTCTTGTTCTTGTTCTTCTGGCCTTGACTTTTCCCTCATTCTGATGCCAAGGCATATAATGACGTTCCCTAGAGTTAGGTCTGCAGTACTCCACAGGGTTAGCTGAATAATCTCATCAGAAAAGAAGGGAGGACAGTTTATCATTGTTAATAAGGATTCATCAGTGCACCTGCCCAACAGGGTGTGGCTCTGAGGGTCCCCTCACCCTCCACCCGTCGCTGTTACGATTCTGCTGGAGCCTCCCCGGCTTGTTTGAGAAAAGCATCTTCCTACTTTTTCCCAGCTAGCAGAGCTGTGGACTAACTTCCTCAGCAGCCCCTTCCCGTTCCTCACCACATCCATGCCTGGAGGACCCTCCCACCCTTGGCCTTGTTGATCCCCCCATGCATCTGACAGCTCTTCCCGGCCACCTGTGTGTGCCAGGTGCGATGTTCTTCCATCGCCACTCCCCAAACCTGGTGGTACCTGAAAGTGACTTCGGCTGAGCTGTGGCTGTTGGCCTCAGTTTCGTTTCATCCTGGCCATGGCCTTTGTCACGGTTTCTCTGTGAACCTAACTGTCCCATGCTGGTAGCACTTCCCACTTAGAGCTTACGACAGGGGCGTTGCCAGCGCCCTTGTGCTGCAGGTGTCCAGGGTGGCTCTCTAGACGCTCCCCTCGCATCTGCCTTCCTCCCTTCACTGGACACCCAGGTCTGCCCAGAGCTACATTTATGCTAGTGTCAGGTGCACACACAGTAGGTCTTCTCTTCAAATGGATGGGTGGGCACAGTGGCACAGGGGCTGCTCAGGACCCCTGGGCTGCCAGGCAAACTGTGGACTCACTGTATTTTCGGTTTCCCCGGCCCCGCCGAACCCACTGTTGAAGACCATGCTGCGTCACAGGCTCAGGCGCTTGCCTGCCAAATATGAGCGGGGAGGGGGCTGAGACCCTTGGGTGTGCTTGAAGTAGCTCGCTCAGCCGCCCTCTAGAACTCAGTGTCCGTTGGACCCAAACAGACTGGCACGTGACTTAGACTGGTTTCTGTTGGGGCTACCTGGGGCAGATGAGGCCTTTAGCCAGTTCTTGTCTCCAGCCCTGTCCTCAAGGCAATATCAAACCAGAAGTGGAGCAAAGTGAAACTTAGCTCCCCCAGCCTCCAACATGCAGCAGGGGTGGCCCTCGAGCCATGCCTAAGGGCAACAGGAGGAGCTCTTAGTGCCGGAGGCTGAGCCGGCAGCTTAGAGAGCGCACCAGTCCTTCTCAGCCATGGGGTCACTAACTGATCCTTGGGAAAACACCTCCAGTTGGGGCACAGGGAGCAGGTGGGCAGGAACGGGTCACTCAGGGACACAGGACCTTTTCTCCATGCGCTTCTCACCAGAGCCCAGCATTCAGACTTTGAACCTCCTCAACTGTGAGCTAAATACACCTTTCCTCTTAAGAATTTAGCTGCTTTTGGTATTTCATGATAGTTACAAGCAGTGACTGATACTGGGGTTTCTTCCCTCACCCCATGTTACCCACTGGGCTTCCATGTGTGCTGTTTGTTTGCAGTGAGCTCCCCTCCACCCCCAAGGTCACTGAGCTCTGTACTTACCAACGGTCGGAGGTCGGGATGAGACAGGATGTAGCCGTTGTTCGTGTTAAGGAAGGCGTATCCGTGCACGCCGAGCTGCCAAAGCCGGGTGGGGCGAGGGTGTTAGACTTGGTGTTGGCATTGTGGGGGGTTGGGGGGACTGATGGCGGCTCTTGCTTGGAGTTTTCAACCAGGAGGATAACGGAGCCAGTGCCATGCTTCTCCCGTCTGGTTCTAACCTTCCTGTTACTGCCCGGCATCGCCTCATCCCATTTTCTTAAAACAGGATTGTGTGGCATGGAGGAGCAGCCTGAGAAACTGAGGCACTGAGCAGAGTCGGACCTTGCTGCAGGCCACAGGGCAAGTTAAGAAACGTGCCCTTGGACTGTAAGTCGCTGTTCTCGCCCTGAGCATCTGCACCCCTTTGGGGGTGTGGCCCTCGGCAGGAGTGTCCTCCTCTCGCCGGGCTTGGCTGCTTCTGCCTGGAAAGTTATTGGCCAGGGTGGGCAGCTGCTGGGGAGCCCATGGCCTGCCCACTGGGACCCCATCCTGGCTTACTCTGTAACGGGGTGCTAGCTTCATCAGTTCCCTCAGGGTCACATCAGAGCCCACCACGCCCAGAAGGATGCCATGGGATCTCTGGAAGGAAGAATAGGAAGGTTAAGGGAGATAGAAGGCTGGACTGGATCCCCGAACCTTCTGAGTTTGGAAGAGGGGGTGCCCAGGCTTTATGCTCTGAAGCCAGAATTTAGGCTGAGCTCCCAGAACAAAATTCTAGACCCTTTTGGGAAGAGGCCTTGGAGCCATCTTTGCTACCCAAAAACCAATGCCCCAGATGGCTACTGCTGTTGCAACATTTCAGTGAATAGAAAGCAGGAAGAGGATCCATTCTTCACGGCACAGGTTGAGGTATTGGGATCTGAGGGGACGTAACTTACAGCTGTGGTGAACACGTGGGCCTCTTAGGAGGCGTTTTCCTGACCAGATGGAGGATGGAAGGTTCTAGAAACTCCCTCACAAGAAGATTTTACAGACAAGTTAGAATCTGCCCAACCTGGCAGGTGAAGTGCAGCTGTGCTGGAAGGCTGGCAGGTAACGTGCCCAAGGCCATGTTCCACGTAGAGGCCCCCAGCATAGCCAGGCTGGCCCTGGGCCTGGAGGTCAGCAATGAAGCCCTCCCTGGGTGACTCTGTTGCTCGGCCAAGTTTAGAAGCATTGGTTTGAAGGTGCCTGTGGGTGTCCTTCAGGTCCCCTCCCCTCCGCAGGAGTGCCCACTCACTCACCGTCTCGTTCTTTTTGCTGAAGACGGGCATGGCCACGGTGGTGAGCAGCATCAGGCTTTGAGTCTGTGACGTGAACAGCTGCCAGGGAGAAAGGAGCAAAGGATGGAGGGCCACACCTGGTCCTACTAGAGAACCCAGAAACCTTGAGGTGGCCCCCCCAGTGCTGACAGTGAAGAGGGCGAAGGCGTGGCTCCTGAAAGCACCAGAGGCTACTTCCCAAGTCTGGCCTGATCTGCCTGCGGACCCAGCAGGTGTCCTGGGGGAGGCGCTCAGGTCAGGGTGGGCGTGCCCTCGGGAAGGAGTAGTCAGACCTGGTTCTTTCCGCTTCTACCTGTGCCCTTGCTCCAATGCTATCCTCCTCCTGACAGCATACCTAGGTGGGGCCTGCCTGGTTGGACTCCAAAACAGTGAGCCAAATATAAACCTCTTTCTTTTCTTATTAGTTTATCTTGGATTTTTACCGATAGCGGTGAGAAGCTAATATCCCCAAAGCTTAGGCCAAGTTTGGCTCAAGCCAGTGGAGAGGGAGAAAGACATTGTCACAGAGCCACCTGCCAGCCAACGTGCATGTGTTCATTGCCACGGCACGAGGGCAGACCAGCGGGGACAGCGGTTGTCAGCTTCTGGGCCACCTGGCATCCCTAGGGCAGGCCTCCTGGGAACGCAAGAGCCCTAGTCACGCCCGGACCCCCAGAGGCCTCTCTGTCTCTAGCTCACGGGGGCTACTCCTTGCAGCTGTCCACACCTGTGCTCCACATTGTACAGTGGATTGCCTGGGAAGTGCGTGTGCACACGGGCCTGGCAAGGCTGAGCTTCTGTCAGGCCCAGGAAGCAGGTTGCAGAGCCCTGCAGTCCCCAGGAGACTTCCCTGGGGAAAGGCGGAAGTCGGTGACCAGCGGTGACCAGTGGTGACCAGCGGTGACCAGCGAGTATCTTCCCCCACCCAGGGTTAGCTTTTCATTAGAGAGCCTGGAGTGAGGCTTCAGATTGTGGCCATGTGCCTAAACCACAGGGTGGCAAACAACTGCTCTGCCTCCTTCTTCCCAACACATATCTGAGTGCGCCAGGCCTCCAAGTGCCAGCCGTGGCCATCCTTAGGCACAGCCTGTGCCCTCATTCCCAGATTCCAGAGCTCTGGGAATTCAAATTGCCGGCTCCCTTGTCATAGCTACAGCCAAGAGACAGGTGGAAGAGAGGGACGATGGGGCAGGAGGGGAGCAGCTGTGTGGCAGGGGGCCTCCAGCTCATGTAGAGAGGCCCCGGTGTGACGCAGGCGGTGAAGGGCCTGTGTGCCTGCGTGGGCAGCAGATGGGCTGGTGGTACTGCTGGTGGCCTGGGGAGAAGAAAATGCACTGGGGAGGGGTCAGTCATCGCCTCCAGGGCTTTCCCAAGGAGGCATCATGAACACCCATCTCCTGATGTGTGAAGTCCAATCTTGCTCCCTGAGGTTCCTCGCTTGAAAGGACATTCCCACCCTGAAGCCTGGAGCTGCTGCCAGGGCTCCCACCTTGGTATCCATGTAGGCCTCCGTCCAGATGATGTCGTGGTCGTGGTTGATGACCATGGGCCGGCTCAGCACGTGCAGGTACTCCATCACGTTCTCCTGGGCGTCCGCCAGCGTAGAGATCTGTGTGTAATAGCCTGGCGAAGGGGAGAGCAGCATGCTGGCAGGACGTAGGCATCCGTTGGCAGGGCCCATGCATCTGCCCCAGCTGCCCAGGGCTCTGGACCCCTGTCTGGGAATGACCCTGTGCCACACGATCCTGCATCCCCAAGGTTCCACCTTTCCCTGCCAGAGGCCAGCGGTGCCAGGAAGAGGGGGATGGGCAGACCTGGATTCATCAGTGCCCCAGCCCAGCCTCTCGAGGGTAGTAGGGGTGGATGTTCTTGCCATGGGACAGTTAACTGAACAACTGGCTTGCAAGGCCTCTCTTGTGGCTCATCACATCCCACAAAAATCCTGCATATTCTTGTGGAAACGGAATAAGTTTCCACACCATGAGCCTCTGGCTGGGGTTCTCTGAGCATGCTAGTCCCTCTGTCTGGAGCAGCTGTCTCTGCCACCTTCTCCACTAGCCAGGAGAGGGCCTCTGCCAGAGCTCCGGACATTGGTGTGCCTTGCCACCATCACAGCTCCTTTGAGGGTGAGTCATGACTCAAGCCTGAAGTCTGGCTGGAGTTTTTCCTTTTGGCTCTGGACTCCCCAAGGGACAATGCCAGGTGCATGGTAGATGCTCAACAAACCTTTGTTGAATCAATGGCCCGTGAGGCAGTGTGAGGCCTGGGCTTGGGTTCTGGATGGGAATGGCAGGGTATTTCAGAGAATAGAAGGACCCTGCCTTCTGTCTGCCAAGGCTCCATTTGCTGCACGGGGAGGATGGAACAGGGGGCAGAGGCGAGGGCTGAACTGGAGCCGGACAGCCTCCCTCCTGCCTCACTGCCTGCCCTGAGCATGTCACGGGTTTTTGTATTTGCAGAGCCATCTCTCTCCTGAGCACACACAGAGTTTACCTTTGTTATTGCACGCAATCCACTTCAGGCGGTCAGCAAACGTCACTTCTCGCCCGATGAGGTAGGTGAAGAGTCGGACCTACCACACAAGACACACCGTGGGTTTAGCTGCTGTGCCTTCCGGCCGGGAGGCACAGTCCTGAGATTTCTGTGAGTCTCAGTGCTATCTTGGCTCTCCAAGCTCACCCTCTTGATCAGAGAAGATCTGAGTCCCAGGCAGCCAAGTAACTTGCCCAGGGCCATGGAGAGCACAGAGCAGCTTCGGGTTCCTAGCTTGGCAGTTCCTATCACTGCGTTCCCCCCAGGCTGCCTGAATTTTGAAACCTCTAATTAGGGATGGAACTGAATTTACAAAGGTATGTCAACGATTTCATGGAGATTGAATTACATGGTAAGTTGATTTTGGTTAAAAAAAAAATTGAAATCCATGCATAGGAGGGGTTCTTGGAAAAGTTTGTGGGAGCAGGTGTTTGATACTGGTGTAAGACCCAGCTTGGTATTCCTGCATTCCATATCAAATGTTCTGGTTCCACTTCTCATTTCAGCTTCCTGCTAATGTGTACTCTGTGAAGTGGCCACTAATGACACGAGTCCTTGGATCCCTGCCACTCTAATGGAAGATCCAGATGGAGTGCCTGGCTCCTGACTTTGGTATGGACCATCCCTGGTTTCTGTGGACATTTAAGGAGTAAACCAATGGATGGATGTCTCTTTTTCTGTTTCAGTATCTTTTCATCTCTCTGTCTTTCAAATACTTATTTTGTAAAAGCTTGGCTGTGGTTCCTAGACTTGCCCCCATGGTGTACTGGGGGGGAGGGGGGTAGTTCCCCTACCCCAAATGATGGCCTTGGGCATTAGCAAAGCAGCCTGTGCTTTCATGGTTTGTTGACCTCAGCCATGTCAGGATCTCTGATCTCAGGGACCAGAGCCCATGGTTGTGTGGCCTGGCCTTGGCACACATGTGGCATTTTGAAACAGCTCCTGTGGCTGATTCCTGTGCAAAGCAGAGGAATATACACGGAGCACAGTAAGAGCACTCTGCCTCTGCTGTGGACCAAACGAAGCCTCAACTATCTCTTGAAAGGGCAAGGATTTGCAAAGCCTTTGTTCTCACCATATCAAGGCTTTTCATCCTCTCTGGAAGCTGCTATTGCTGGGAGAGCTCCTTAATGAGTTCTTCTAATAAAATGTTAGAAGATATCGGTATGGCACAGGAAGATGTTTTTAAGAACCTGACTCTTGATTCAGATAATATGGCCTACTCCTTAAGCCAGCTTCTACAGCAAGTACCCCAGTAGTCGTGAACAACCAACTGGAAGGCCTTAGAATATTCAGAACAGGGCCCTGCGCAGTAACCTAGCGGCTAAAGTCCTCACCTTGCATACACCGGGATCCCCTATGGGTGCCAGTTTTAATCCTGGCAGCCCTGCTTCCCATCCAGCTTGTGGCCTGGGAAAGAAGTCGAGCATGGGCCAAAACCTTGGGACCCTGCACCTGACGGAGAAGAAGCTCTGGGTTCCTGGCTTCGAATCGGTTCAGCTCCGGCCCTTACGGTCACTTGGGAGTGAATCATCAGACAAAAATCTTCCTCTCTGTCTCTCCTCCTTTCTCTATATATCTGACTTTGCGATAAAAAGAAATAAATCTTTAAAAAAAGGGGGGGTGGAGAAGAATTTGCAGAACAAGGAAGAGCCTGTGCGGGATGAAAGGATTCTGTCCCTTGCCCTCTAGTGATTGTCGCTCGCTGAAAGGGACATTAAATATCTTTATGCTCAAACTAGATGGTTTTACAACTGCCCTAAGCACTCTCTCACCACCCAGAATTTGGGAAGCAATAACAACAAACTTTTCTCTGCTTTAAGAACCTACCACCGGCAACCTGTTTCTTTCCACTCAATTAGCTAGTCTGCTGTAGATGCCACCAACTTGTCGGAGTAATGATGATGGTGTGGGTGGCGGAGGGGACCCAGCCATTGGGACTGGCTGGGAATTGTCCGGCTCTTGAGATGGACTCACTATCAGCCTGGGATAGACAAGTCCCTGCAATCAGCAATGAACGTAGCTACAGAAATAGTGATGTATCCGCTTCCTTCAGCAACCTTCAGATTAAGAGTCAGAAATCTCTGAGTGGGGAATGAAGTGACATAGGCAGGTAGCTGACATAGGGTCACAAATTGGAAGCCACGCGTATCTGCCTACCTGCTCAGCAAAGGATCGCTCCCCCCAGGATGTCATTCCTCACCCCTGGGACCTGGGAAAGGGATCCAGTAACTACTTCCCTTTCTGGGCTGACAAGAAGCCTGGTGCTGGGGGAGCTACGCTCTCTCTTCCTGTGGACACAGGATCCAAGCTAGACACATTTCTCGGTCCCCCGCCTCTCCCGCCTGGCTCACTCTATCACTGAACACAGCCTGAGTGCAGCTATGGCTTCCTCCCCTTTTAAATAAACCTTATGGGGGGAAAATGACGTATATTAAGAAAGAACTATACAGGGATTTCAAAAAATTGCTTTTGCACTAAAATAAGCTTACCTTTTAAATTCCATTTCCATGAACTCCCTGAGGTCTCATTAGCATGTGTGTAGAATGTGTGTAGTAACTGCCTAATGGAGGTTCTCCTAGCCAGATGAGAGGATACAATGCAGTATGGAACTGTTAGATACGTCTTGACAACAGGATGCTGGAATCTCTGCCATTGTCCATGTCTGCAATGATGGACTTATGACTGTGTACGAAGAACTATACTATTGTAATAATATAGGGAAAACCAGTGTGGGGCTGGGGAGGGGATTTGGGGAGAGGGTTAAGGGAAATCCCAGGGCCTATGGAACTGTATCCTAAAATGATAATAATAATTTTAAAAAATGGGAAAAAAGAAAGACTTGAATATTTTAAAAAAAATGTGTGTAATAGGAGAGCCCATCTGGAATGGGGGTGGCTTTCTCTGCTGTCCTGTCCTCTGTCACGCCCCGCCCAGGCATCACCTTGCGGTCCGGCCAGTTGAACTTCTCCAGCACCGGCTCGTAGTCCTCCACAGCACCGTCGGTGATGAGCATGATGGCCTGATTGCACAAGCTGCCTTGCCGGGCTTCCTGGAACTGTGGGGGTCACGGGAAGGCAATAAGACTGCCTCTCTCCCCATCCCTGGCCCTCCTCCCAGGCTTCCTGGGGGGCTGGCTGCAGGTACCCACCTGCTGGAGGATCTGAAAAGCTTCATTCAGGGCTGGGTTCACAATCCCCACACCTTTGACCACCAGCTCGTCCACCAGCTGTTTGAAATGCTGTCACGGACGGGATGCAAGAGGAGGCTCAGCGCAGGGAGGGTCAGAGGAGGTGGGCCAGGGGACAGACCCCTTCTCGCTCTCTTAATCTAGGCAGTGTTTCTGTATTGTGCGGAAATTCTCACTCCATGAGCTGTACCCCCTCTTCATGCTGTCTGGATGCCTGAAGTCCCCAAGACATGAAGTGTGCGAGGCCTGACGCCAAAACCCTACCCGCCCAGAGCCAAGCCAACCAGTGCCAGAGGATAGCCATTCAGGGTCCAGGAACGATCTGAACTCCAGGGTGGTCCTCTGAGCAGCAGGGTAGTGCCAAACCAGGCCCTGGGGGAGGCCTCAACGGCTGACCACAGATGGAGGAAGGGACAACCCCATCCTTTTGAAAGGTGTGGCCTTGCCTTCCTGCCTTCCTGCAAAGGATCGGGGGTCCGCTGGGTTTGTACTTTCCCTGCTTTGGGGGCTGCTGCTCTTGGGGACAGAGTCCTGCTTCACCCCCAGAACACCAGCCGTGCTGAAGTGCCTGTGCGGACTCTCTGGTCATTTGTCACCCTGGCAGGCGGCTGTGGTCCACAGGGATGATGTGCTATGATGCTATATGCAGAATACATTCTGCAATGCGAACTATCAGTTCTCCAGGGACCATGGGAGTAAGCAAACAGGGCCAGCAAGCTGTTCTCCAACCCCGATGAGAGCTCAGGGCCACAGCCAGCACTCACCTCTCGGTTATCTCGATCTGCTTGGACCAGGATGCCTTTAAAACAAGGCTCAATGTAGTGGACGTACTCGTTGTACTGCAGGGAGGGAGCGGAGAGATGAGGATTGACTAGGAGCAGTTAGGAAAGTGAGGGGCAGCAGGGAGGCTCTCTGTTCGGTGGTCAGGGATTGGGGGATGCGTGTCATGCTATCTTGGGGTGCACTAGACTGCGATTTTTCTGACTAGAGAGAAGAAAGCAAAGAGAACAGCTAGGCTTCAATTCTAAAACTGCCCCCTCCCAGGGGTGGGGTGGGTAGAGGGAATAGGGGGTGCATTGGAATGCAGTGGAGTAAGCCACTGCTGGTTATGCCCTCAGTCCAGGACAGAACACTGGTTCAAGTCCCAGCTCCACTTTCTATCCCACTCCCTGATACCGTGGCTGGGAAAAGGAGCAGCAGATGAAATGAGAAACTTTTCTCTCCCCGTCACTCTGGGAGTGACAAATAAATAAATCTTTAAAAATCGCCAATACATACATGATAAGACTCTCCCTCAGCCCTGGCCAGGGGACATTTTCCTGTTGGCAGCAAGGTGCCCTCCTTCTCCTTGGTCTTCTGCCCGGCTTGGACCCAGCTCAAGTGGGAATTTAGAGAGTGAGCCAGTAGGTATGAGCCTGGTCGATCTGTTTGTCTCTCTGCCTTTCATATAAGTTAACTTATGGGTAAGATAATCTGGCACAAAAAATATGAAATGCGTATTTTCCATGAACTTTTTTTCTAGACCCTTTGACTATTAATAGGGTGAGAGCAAGAAGAAAAAGGCATGATTACGGTTCCACTTTCTGAACCACCTTGCTTCTGCTCACCTAAAGCACACATCTTCAAGGTGTCGCTAATTCACCCTTTGCCTATGTAAGGGGGGAAGACAGCAGAGATGGGGCTGGCTCTGTGGAGGGACTACAAGGTGCTCTGGGGGCACCACTGGGAGTGATCCCTTACCGGCTCCTCTCCAAGAGCTGGATGAGCCACGCAGGACCATGGAGGAAGGATGTGGCCAGCTCCCAGAGATGAGAAATGTGTGTTCTCTGTGGCTGTCCACCTGCTCAACTGCAGGTTCCAGGACACACCTGAGCCATGGAGCTGGGGATGAGAGGTTGTCTAGAAGCCAAGGCCTCAGCGGTTTTGGAGAGCAGACTCAGCTTGGAGCGATCATGTTGAAGTTAGGCCATTGAACCCTGCACTACCCTTGATAGGTAAGTAAATTCTACTCCAAATGAGAATGATCAGCAGGTGCAGCCTGCTGGCTGATGTGCTGGGCAGAGCTAAAGCAGCCTGCCCGCTGTGTGTGCACGTTAAAGAATTCTCACTTGTATTTCCTCCTTTCTTTCCTCTCTCCCCATCCAGCCAAAGAATCTGGAGTTGAATCAGTTCAGGGAGGTGAAGAACCTGGAACACTTGTAAGGCAAGAACCCTGGGCATCACCCTGCCCATAGCAGCATGGCTGATGCTATGGAAGTGGTGGCCAAGAGCACATGCAAGGGACGGGGCAGGGACCCTCAACCTGTGTTCCATCCTGGAGTTCCCTGAGACACGGACCAAAGACATGAATTCAACTGGACAGATGTATGCTTTTTTTTTTTTTTTAAAGAATCTCAGAAACTTCAGAGACTGCTTGCTGCTTGTCCCAGGGAATCGGGGAGTTGGGCACCCCAGCTCTAGAAGGAAGAGTCATTCTAGGTCAGGGGGGGAATGCTGTGGAAGAGAGACCTTTTTGGAACAAGGAGGTGGGGAACAGAAAGGCACCCTCACCGCGATGATGTTGACAAAGTCGTTCTCTCCCAAGGTGTCCAAGATGGTGACGATGGTATGCTTGGCAATGGTCATCCTCAACCCCTTCATGCTGCCACTCACGTCCACCAAGATCACTATGTCCTTGGGAGAGGTGGCAGCCTGGATGTACCTTTGAGGCCACAGGTGGGAGGTCCAGAATCTAGTTATTTTACGTTTGTATTTCCATCCAAGAACGCCCAGAGCCTAGGTCACTATCCCGCCTATGCCACGGCCACTCAACATAGTGCCTACACCATCTGGGTGGCACCTGATGGGGCCAGGTTAAGTCCTGAAGTTGTTTTGGTTTGGACCAGGAAGGGGGCCCTCTGGATTCCACTCTCAGAACTTGCTAGACAAGGGGTGTAGTGGGAGAGGCTAGCCCAGCAGAGGGCTGACCTGGAGGCAACTGAGTGCTTGGGGAAGCAGGCTCGGTTTACACATCCAAAGCCTTCCAGTGAGGGTGGATGGAGGTGGGAGGGGAGATCCAGGCAAAACCTGAAGGTGCTGAGAGAAAGGCCAGCACCAGAGCTCTTGCTCCCATGGGCTCTTACCAGCCACGGTTTCGGCAATCGAAGGCAATGACTCCATTCTCATCAGGTGTCCATTTTATACCTGGGGGTTGGAGGGACAGAGGCTGGTTATGGTATGAGCTCAGTAAGGCTGCCCTGACTTCCGTGATGGTGAACGTGAAATCCTAATGAGTTGTGTCTGGGCTAGAAAGAAGCAGTTGGTAATAGCATCAGTCAGGGCAGAAGCTCCAGGGACCGTCCCAGTCCGTAGCAGCTGGACTGCACATGGAGGCACCCTTGCAGATACAGTTGGTCTCACAGGTACAGACTTAGGGCCATGCTCTCAAAGCCAAACACAGAACAGAGTCCCAAGTCTTTGGGCCACTCTCTACTGCTTTCCAAGCCACAGCAGGGAGCTGGATGGGAAGTGGAGCACCAGGATATGAACTGGTGCCATTATGGGATGCCAGCTCTTTTAAGTGGAGGATTAGCATGTTATTGTACCAACCCCCAAGCCACATTTTAAAAATGGGTTTCTTTTATTTTTATTTGAAAGACAAAGTTACGGAGAAAAGAAAAGACATAGAGAGAAATCTCATATCTGGTTCACTCCCCAAATGACCCCAATGGAGCTGAGCCAATCCAAAATTGAGGCCAGAATTTTCTTCCAGGTCTCCCACATGGGTGCAGAGACCCAAGGACTTAAGCCATCCTGCACTGCTCTCCCAGACCATAAGCAGTGAGCGGCTCAAAAGTGGAGCAGACAGGACACGATCAGGTGTCCATGAGGAATGCTGGCAAGGCAGGTAGGAGCTTAGCATGCAGTCCCACAGCAATGGTCCCCAAGCCGCCTTCTTAACAGTGCTGTGACCATATGGAATTTGATCCTTAGAACAACCATGGAGAAAAGAGGCCTAGTTTGAGTTCCTTGACTCTGATTCAAAACCTCAACCAAAGGCTTTGGTGGTTGTGACTGTAGGGTACTCTCAAATCCAAGGAGAAACAGAAGTGAAATCTGCGGGTTCTTAAATCGGGACTACACATGCCCTCAGCTTACAAAGCAGCATGGCTTCACAAGCGAAGACTGCAGAAAAGAAGCAGGTGCCCAGGAGTGAGGTACAAGAGCCAGCAGTTAGCTCCACCCAGGAATCCCAGACCTGAGGCCGTCAAAGACAGGAGTGCTTTAAGGCACACACCCCATGAAGAAGAACATATGGCAAGAAGCGATTGGGAACGAAGACACAGCCTACATATTTTTAAAGTGATGGAGCCAGTATTGTGGGTCCCTACCACACCTACATGGGGGACCCAGATGGAGTCCTAAGGTCCTTGGCTTCAGCCTTGACCAGTCCTGGCCATTGTGGCCATTTAGGGGGTAAATCAGCAGGTAGAAGATCTCTCCTTCTCTCTCTGCCTTTCAAATAAGTAAAAATGAATTTTAAAGATATCTCCAGTCTGAAAAAAAGATCAATTACATTGGTAGTAAAGGAGGTGAGAAATTCAGATGTGGAAGATTTATCTAGAATCCTGCTAAGGCTTAATACATATCTTACTGCAAACACAGAAAGAGAAGAGGGGAGAAGGAGAGGGAATGATCAAAGAGACCGTGTAGGCAAATGATTCTGTGACTGGTAAACCCCACACAGAGGCAGCAAGTGCAGTGCAGCCCAAGTCGGATACAGAACCCGACACCCGCGCGCAGACACAGCGTCAAATGGAAGTGACAGAAAGAATGAGACCCCCCCAGAGAAGCAGCAGCTAGGCGATAGCAGGATTTCTCAACAGCAGAGGAAGCCAGGAGACAGTGGGAGAGCAATTGTAAGGTGTGGAGAGAAGGGACCACTGAAAGCTCTCATACCAGAGGGAGGATTAGACAGAAGATATGCAGGTGAATGCTCACACAGGCTGTGTATCACCAAAAGCCCTTGTAAAGAAATGTCTGGAGGATTTACTTGCAGAAGAAGAAAAATGGCCTGGGAAAGGCAGTGTGGGCCTCATGAAGCAATGGGGAACAAAGAAGGTGGTAGCCATCACGCCACGTTTGTGTATAAAGACCAGGGAGGGCGCCAGGTTCACAGGGGGAGGAATCTGAACTAGCAGATGGCCATAGGATGGACGTCAGGCCGGGGGAAGGAGATGGAAGGAGAAAGGTCTGGAAATTTTTTTGTGAATGTGAGGAGAACAGAAATTCTTTAACATTTGATGTGTTATTTGTGTCTGGTAAGATGAAAAGAATAATTACTGAAAGAATAAAAATAGAGGGTGAAGGCCCAAACTGATAGAATAAAAATGAGAAATAATGTGGAAAGATATATTTTATTGCAAAAAAAATCATTCATTTAAGAAGATGAAAAAGGGGCTGGCATGGTAGCCTAGTGGCTAAAGTCTTTGCCTTGCTTGTGCCGGGATCCCATATGGGCACTGGCTATAATCCCGGAGGCCCCACTTCCCATCCAGCTCCCTGCCCGTGGCCCAGGAAAGCAGTTGAGGACGGCCCAAAGCTTTGGGACCCTGCACCCGGGTGGGAGACCCGGAAGAGGCTTCTGGCTCCTGGCTTCAGATCGGCTCAGCTCCGGCCATTATGGCCACTCGGGGAGTGAATCAGCAGATGGAAGATTGTTCTCTCTGCCTCTCCTCCTCTCTGTATATCTGACTTTCCAATAAAAATAAAGAAATGTTTTTTTAAAAAGAGAAAAAACACAGTAATATTTGGATGAGCAGAAACTAAAAAGATGATACAATACTTGCAGCACATACAAGTGCACTTAACTTGCCAAGTGCTGTAATAGACTGCTAACTTGGATAAAAAATGTAAGCGCTGTAATATGTATCACATTTATATTGAAAATAGTGTGTTACAGCTCTTATGCATCTACTGATTAAGAGCTATAATATACTCTCTTTTCAAGAGGTATGGCGAAGGGCCTGGCATGGAGCAGTGAGTTGAGGGTACCACCTGCGATGCTGGCATCCCACAGGAGTGACGGTTTGAGTCCTCCTGGGCACACTGCTAGTCCAGCTTTCTAACGACGCCTCTGAGCAAGTAAGGGAAAAAGCTTCAAGTCCTTGGGCCTCGCTCCACCCTGGCCATTGTGGCCACTGGGGAGTGAAGCAACACATGATTCTCTCTTCTCGCCATCTGTCACTCTGCCTTTCAAATACATAAAATAAATCCTTTTTTTAAATTTTTAAAATTATTATTATCATTTTATGATACAATTCCATAGGCCCTGGGACTTTCCCTTACCCCCTGCCTACATTCTCTCCCTCTCCCGAGTTCCCTTATATTGTTACTAGAGTATCATTTTGTATAAACAGCCATATGTCCATCATTGTGGGCATGGCCAATGGCAGAGAGTCCAGCATCCTACTGTCAAGATCTGTTTAACAGTTTCATTGGAAGTCCATCTTTGATCTGGAAGTAGAGATGCACACTGCATTGTATCCTCACATCTGGATATGACAGTCCCCTTCACACCGTAACTATAGATCCCTTGAATGGAAAGCCACAATACAAAATCAACAACAGAAAGAAAAATAGAAATTTACAACTCCTTGAAGTTAAACAACATGCCACTGAATAGGATAGTCTCCATTACACAGTTACTGTGCATTCCCTTAAATGCAAAGTCACAATACAAAATTAGCAACAGGAAGAAAAAAACATTAAAAACTCCATGAAGTTAACTAACATGCTACCGAATGACTAATGTGTCACTGAAGAAATGAAAATGAAAATCAAGAACCTTCTTGAAGGAAATGAGGTTACTGTATGATCTGTGAGTCAGCGAAGAATTAACGGGGAAAAAAAAAGCAATTAACATAAAGAAATGGCAATCAGACTCACAGGAGATCTCTCACAGGAAACTCTACAGACCAGAAGAGGATGCAAGGTGAGGACTTTAACTTTAACCAAAATGAATCTTTTAAAAGAGGAGAGGGGCCCCAGCGCGATAGCGTAGCGGTTAAAGTCCTTGCCTTGAATGCGCCAGGACCCCATATGGGCGCCGGTTCTAATCCCGGTGGCCCTGCTTCCCATCCAGTTCCCTGCCTGGGGCCTGGAAATGCAGTATATTAATATATGTTGTTATCAAAAAATTGGAGAACCACATAGAGTTTTCGTATAATGCACATATTCTTGCCCATTTGAAAGTCTCCTCATATTTTTAGGATTCCTGCCCTGGAGAAGGCATGAGGGGGCTTTTCCAGGGGGCTGTCTTCAGGCTGTGGCATGAGACAGGCTCTGCCTTACCCATCCAGGCTGCAGAGAGCGGAAGTGGAACCTGGGGGTGACTGTGTCTTTCTGGAGCAGGGTGTGTCAGCCACGGGCGTAGTGTGAGCTCTGAGATCCCCCCACATCTTGTCTCAGCAAGGAGGGGGTGCCACTTGGAGTCCTTCTGGACGATGCGCTAAGATAGAAAGCTGGCCAGATGTGACAGGCGCAGGTAAAGTGTGGCAGAACGGCAAGCTTTGGGGTGAATGTTTGCGTTCTCTGTTTTTTCTATTCTACCTGTCAGGCTAGCCCCTGGACCCACAGCAGCTGGTGCCCTCTTCTGCCTAGCAGTGGGCCATGTTCTTGAGGCTACCCCACTTTTTCAACCTGGATGTAAGTTTCTGAATTCAAAGCATCGCTTTGCTCACCGTGGCATCTCCCGCACTGCTTTCCCAGGAGCTCAGTATGGACAGCTGTTGGCTAAGCTGTGTGCTACTCAAGGCATTCATTCATTCTTCGCTCAAGGGTTCTTGCCTATGAGCAGCTGGTAGTGAGGACGGTCAGGCTGGAGCTTCCTTTGGCTGGGAGGCTGGTGTCCCTGAAGGACTGGAGTGATGGAAGCCATCTTCCATGCCCTTGCCTCATTCCCCCCGAGGGGACACGTGGGGCCACGCACATGCTGCGAATGTGCCTACCTGGATAGATCCTGAAGAACCCAGTGGAGCTGCCAAAATATTGCCAGGTTAAGGTAGGGTCTCTCTGGAAATTCTTCACAAAAACGGAGTTCAAGGCTTCAGACATGTAGACTCCATTTAGAATATCTGGATCTGAAAGATAAGGTGCTAGAAGGAACTGCAGCAGGGGGAAACTGAGTCAGCAGCAACTGTGATCAAACCTTCACACGCTCAGCCTGCACACACACACACACACACACACACACACACACACACACACACACACACACACACACTCTCTGATGCATACTTACACTCTCACACACATACATACAGGCATACCTTGCGGTGTCATCCTTCACAGCTCTCTGTCACATTTCACTCGGGCAGCCACACGCACAGCCTCTCACCCAGCTGGCTGGGGCCTGGATAGAATCAGTTCTCCATCCTCAGTCAAGCATTACAAAGACGAGGCCCTCACGACCTTCCACTGCCTGGCCATCACTGACCAGTGTTCACCCCCACTCTGCCCGGCTGGGGTACCCACCTTTGTTGTACACATTGGTGGGCAGCTGCACGCTGCTGATGGAGGTGTTTACCCGCAGGTTGCTGAAGTGTGCGTTGGGCTCCAGGATTAGCTCGGCACCCAGTTCTACGTAGTTACCCTTCTCATCTTTCTCGTTGACCAGGACTGAGTTATAATAGTCAAACTGAGGGAGCCCGGCAAGGTGCCCACAGGGACAGCCAGAGAGAGAGAGAGAGAAAGAGAGAGAGAGAGAGGGAGAGAGAGCACGGTCAGGGTCCAGGGCCAACAGGGCAACGTCCACATGAACTGTGGGCTGGGGGATCCAGAGAACAGGGGGTGACTTGGGGACAGGACACAGCCTGGTAACTGGGGCAGCTGGTTTATCAGATGGGCCTCTCTTGTCAGTGGTCCCATTTCTTCTCTGCTGGGTTCCATGCACGTGACACAGCTGGAGTGGGACTCGGAGAGTACGGGGTACCAAGATAAGATGGTCTCTTCTCATTAACCTCTTCCTGCAGGCTGGCAGGCCCCCTGGGTCCCCAGAGGGATGTCTGAGGGGGGCTCCAGTCCCGGGACCTCAGCCACAGTGGGATCTGGGGTACTATAGGAACTGCTTGGAGGAGCAGCAGGTGGCTCTCTCTGCCTCACACACGGTACTGGAGAGTGCAAGTGTTTTGCCCGACCCAGTGCCAGTCTCTCATCTCTTTGTCTTCTCTTCTCCTGCATGCCTGGTCTACCCAGCCCCTCTCCACCGGAGGCCCCTTTTGCTGGGTTTCTGGGTCCCTCCCCTCCTCTGTTCTGTTACCCCACAATGCCCTGAGATAGCATGGACCTGTGCTATGCCAGGTCCTGGAGTGGCTCAGGGTGGGCAGCGAGTGTGATACACCTGCACCCTCCTCCTCCCCTGCCGTCACCTCTGTGATGCTAAAGTTCGGATGTCACAGTGGGCGTCCCCCAAGTCCCATATGTTAAAGGTTTCTGCTAGTGGCACTGAGCTCCTGGGGCTTCTGGGGACGGATCGGGTTGGGTGAGGCTGTCGGAGTGGGCTGTGCAATGGAAGCCTGTGCTTCCTGGAGGACAGACACAAGGACACCCCCCCCTCTCGCCGTGACATGCCTTGTGCTGCCTCGCACCAGACCCCAGCCAACAGGATGCCACTCCGCCTTGGCCTGAGACCCTCCAGACCCTCGGGATGTGGAGGGTAACCCTGCTCTTCTCCTTAGAGAGCGAGTGTTCCTTGGGCATCTCATCCTCAGCGACAGTTGAGTGAGCAGTCGCAGAAGCCTTGTAGCACCCACGGCAAGAGCAGGACTCACCACCAGAGATGCATTGAACTCATGCTTCAGGTCAGCCTCCTCGGCAGCTTCCACCAGATTCTGAGAGATGGGGACGCGGCGGGAGACAGAACGGGTCAGGGATCCTCAGAAAGTGCAACGTGACGTCACCCGTGAGCCAGCAATGCCACTCCAGGGATGCATCGGGAATGTGTATCCCCTCCACCCCTCCTCCCGGTCCCCCCATTCTCCCCTCTCCTTGCCACTTCGGCCTTAGAGGATCCAACCTTCGTGGCTCCTAAGTGCTCCAAGAGCCACCTGGAATCAGAGGTGCTAGGGCACTTTGCACTCAAGTGAGACCCTGGCTGCCCACTGGGCCCCTCCCAGACGGGAACCTGATTAGGATAAGCCTAATCAGGGTGGTGTATACACAGCCCCGTCTCCACCCAGCCAGGAATTGGGCCGCCCAAGACCACATCTAGCACGATCCCTGCAGGATCTGTCAGGCCAGGCACGCCCCGGGGAGCAGGGAGGGCAGGAGAGGGCGGCTGGCCAGAGTACCTTGACAGCCTCAACCTTGCGTCGCAGCATGTTCTCCATGTCCTCTGAGAACTTCCTCACCAGCTCCAAGCCATCCACTTCCTCAATCTTCAGGCTGGGCTCCACATCCTTGTACTTCTGCTCAGGGCAAATGGGGGAGACCGGGCGGGAGGCATTTGCCAATTTGGACCAAGTTGTTCCTGTTCCCATAGTCTCTAACTACTATGTGTTCCCTCATGCGAAACCTTGTCAGAACTAGTCTTCTCTTCATATCACTGTCACGGGAAGAACAGTAGGTCTTTCCCAGGGTTGAGATGTTAATATTGCAACAAGGCAACAAACTGAGGCTTAGAGAAATCAAGGAAGTTGACCCAAGTCAGCGCCAGTAAGGGTGGTACTTGGCAGGGTCAGATGTCCCAGGCTTCCACAGCCATGCACTTTGTGCAAAGCGAAACTACCTCCCTGAGCCGTGTACACATCCACATGGACCTCAACTCTTTCCCTCTGGACCCAAAGTTCCAGATATGCTGGGTAACTGCCTGCTCAGCTGTGGTGGCCTGGGAGAGCCTGGAGAACTGAGTTCAAGATTACTCTGTGCGCCCAGGAGGCGCCAACTCTCTGAGTGTGTGTATCATGACCCAGCTCTGCCACCTGAGGCACATGCTTATTTATAAACTGTAACTGCTACATGGTGTTAGAGAACTCTCTAGAAGGCATGGACTTTAGAGAAGAGCATGCTCACTCCAAACAGCCATGTGGTTGTTCCTCTGTCTTCCTGCCCAGGGCTTGGAGGGCGCCCATGAGCAAGTCAGAGGGGCCAATGTTTAGCAATGCAGGTGCACCCTGTGCATGCCAAGTGGGGCCTTAGCAGACACTGCTGGGGCAAGCCTTGGGCTCTGAGGATGGGAGGCGCCTGGGAGACGGGGAGGGGCTGCAGTGTGGCCCCTGGCAGGCGGGCAGAGCCTCTAAGCTGTGGAAGTCTGCTGGTGACATGGCTCTGGGAGTTATCACGCCTAGAGGGAAGGGGACAGGCCAGCCCCTGCCTGTTACTGCAGTGAATAGAAAAAGGGGAGGAGCCTGGCATCCTCTTGCCCAACAGGCTTGCCCACCTGCTGCTCCCACCTGGCTCCTGGGCTCTGTCCACTGCTGGTGGGGGCTGCTCCCTATGCCTGCTGCCCCCTGCCCAGCAGGTATGAGGTCTGCTTCCTCCCAACCCTCCTCCGCTTGGAATGGATATTCACCTTGGCATTATCTTCTGGGGAGGGGGCTGTAGGGGGTGGCACAAGCTGATTCAGCACGCTGGAATACACACCCCTATCATGCTCCCTCAACCCCACCCCAGTGCTTGCTCTGTGAGTGGAGTAAACAGCCCACCGCCCTCAGCCTGTTTCCCCATGTGAAAAATGAGGGCATTGGATTAGATGCTCTCCGAGGCTCCTCCAATACTGCCCATGAGAACTCTGCTTCCCTGGCCAGCTGGTTGGCTGGCCGGCTGTCCTAGGATCACGCAGGGCCATTTGGGAGGTGCTTACTGACCTTCTGCAGCAAAAGGGAGCCTGAGTATTTGGTCACCATGTTATATAGGTCCCGGCCAAAGGTATCTGCCCACAGCTTCACTCTGCCAGATGAGGAAAGCACAGATGTGACCACGTGTGTACAAACACACACGTAGACAGGGGGACAGACACGCATACACAGACACGCACACACACCAGATTTCTACACACACACACACACACACACACACACACACACACACACACAAACTGATTCACATGTACGCAGATACACAGAGGCATACACACAACGCATACAAAAATTCACACGTACGGAGGCATATGCCAGAAAGTATGCAGGAAAATGGGATAAACCATTCGACTTATCATAGGGCAGAGCATTCTGAAGTTGGGCACAGTTCTCCATAACATGCATTTCCTTGGGCTTGTGGAACACACTTTTGCACACACATGAACCCACTCAAAAAGCACCTGTCCCTAGACCTGCAGCCTTGGCGAGGGCAGGAGACCCAGGGGCCGGGGAGGCTCACTCTGAACTCCAGGATCTCCCTGTAAAGTGGTGTGGGCAGCAGCTCAGGAGCTCAGGCCCACGCCTGGTCCCAAGCCTCCTAGGGTGACCCAGGAACTGCCCAGGCAGGGCAGTGGCTTTTCAAAGACCTCTTCACTTCAGGGTCCTTCACTCAGGTCCAGGCAGCTACTGAGGCAGCAGGAGGTGAGAAGTGGGATGGTGGCTCTGGGCTGCTTCAGCTGGGGATAAGGGAAGGAGGACCTGGCAACCTCTGGTTCACCCTCCAGCCATGCTAAGACACCTTGTCCTGGGGAGGAGGTTCCAGTGTTGGGGAGGGGGGCAGGCCCATGGGACCACGTCTGAAGCTTTCTGTTTGGAGCAAAAGCAATGTTTGCATGATCAGGTCAAGTTCAGGATTTGCTCGGTTGCTCACCCAGTGTGTACTAGGACCCTGTTCTATGTCGGCACCATCACAGCCTGGAGCTACACCTCAGCCTCACCCCAAAAACCCATGGATTGGAGGGACATCCTTCCTGTGCTGATGGCACACACAGGCCTGCTGGAAGGGGTGGCAGTGGGGTTTCAGCACAGTAAGGGTGGTGAAGGAAGGCTTGTGGAGGGAGGGAGGGAGAATTTCAGTTCTGTCTGTTAAGGTAATTGGAAATAGATTTTAGATAGCTTGCACAGAAAATCTTAGAGTGGAAAAGCACTTTCTGGTCTCCAGCTCGGGTTGTTGAGCCGGTGGCGGTGGCGTTCAATAAAGCTGAGAAATCACAAGAAAGTCAGAGGGGTAGGTTGGGCAGGTGGATGATCATGAGTGCAGTTTAGGCTGTTCTGAACATGAGTTTCCCCCTGGAAGGCTACAGCGTGCCCTAGGACAGGTTGTGCAATGCACAAATCTAGAAGGCACCAATGGCACCGAGTCTTGAAAGACACATCTTTGAACCTCAAATTTCTCATGACGCTCAGGAAAGCATGTTCCTTTCAGAGACGCACGAAAAGCAACACTGGAAGACAGATGGAGAACCCAAATACTCAAAGAAAGTTGGGAGGGGTGGGGCTACGCTGGGATCCTGAGAGATGAAGTCAGGAATCTCAAAGTGGGCTTTGGAGAGCTCATGGAGAGCCAGTTTGGGAGGCAGCCCAGGCAGGTGGTGGAGGGCCGAGTGAGAGGGAGTGAGGGGCTCAGCCTAGAGAAGGGGGAGGCAGGAAAGAGAGAAGGCTGTGTACAGAGCCAGGAGAGCTGAGCCAACGGCCGGGCTACGGTGGATGCCCTAGGCATGGCTGGAGTTAGGTGCTGGTTTTCGGCTGCTGTGCAGGTGTCTACAGCCAATGGAGATCTGTGCAGGGTCCCTGTCCCAACAGCAGGACTCCAGCTTCCCTTACTGGCTCCACCAAGCCCTGGAGCTGCCTTGCCATGGTTAGAGACCACCTTGGCGTTTCTAGGCAGGCGGTGGGGCAGCGGGGAGGGGTCGCAGGGCATGTGCAAGCTGTGGCTTTGCTGGTCAAGCAGTTCTAAACCGTTGCCTGTAGTGTCAGCATTCCATGTGACCACTAGTACAAGTTCCGGCTGCTCCACTTTCTATTCAACTCCCTGCTAACGTGCCTGGGAAAGCAGAGGAGGATGTTTTAAGTGCTTGGGTCCCTGCACCCACATGGGAGACCCAGATAAAGATCCTGGCTCCTGGCTTCTGAGTGGCCCTTTCTTTTCCTCTGTGTCACTCTGCCTTTCAAATAAAATAAATAACAGAACTGCTTGATCCTCAGGGAGGCCAAATCGATATGGCATAAAATAGGTAGCTGGGGAGGTGAGGGTTGCAGGAATCTGGGAGCTCCCTGCCCATGCCGTAATACCACCCATGTGCTTGGGAGTCGGATGGCCCTGCCCAGGGAGGTATCCCCTTTCCCTGGGAGGAGGCGGGAAGAGGAGAGGGGGAAGGGGAGGGAAGGGGAAGTTGGTGAGGGAAGGAGGAGATGGGCTAGGAGGAAGGGAGAGAAGGGGAGGAGAGGCTGGTGCTGGGGAGGTCTGTCCAGCCCTGGGAGGAGCCCTGAGGTCAAGTGGCAGGAGGGGAGGCAGAGGTTCTGTGTCTGCCCATGGAAAAAGCCCACTTGCTCAGGGTGAACCTGATACTTACGTCTCCAGAGGAATGCTGGTCTGCCCCCGCGTGGGGCGCAGGGCTGCACCAGACAACAGCAGCCACAGAATGATGGCTGTCTTCTGCAGGAAGGTCCTAGGCCCTGGCTGCCCCCGGCAACAGCCACCGCGGGGCACGGGGGAAGGGAGTCCAGGCATGCTGCTGCGGGGATCTGGTCGGACGAGGCCCGGGCACCCCCCGAGATCACACACTCTGTTGCCCAGTACCCAGGTCGTTGGGGGTTGCAAACCTTCCGCCTCCTGGGTGCTGGATGGGGGTCCCCTGCCTTGCGGTCTGGGCCTGGTAGGGGAAGGGTTCCAGCTGGCCTGCAGCAGGAGAGGAAGTGACCAAATGGACCCTTTAATCCAGTGGCCTCTCCTCTAATCGCCTGACAGCAGGGGGATGAGGGGGTGACCTGGGCAGGATTACTCTGGCTGGCTTCAGCCCCTGCTGCCAGGGACCAGAGCACACCCTCTGCCTTAAAGAGGCAGATCTGGGCGTGTGCAGCAACTTGTGAAGTTCATGCAGAGCTGGCAGTGACCTGCTGCAGTCAGCAGTCCTCTGCCCATCCCTGTGGTGGGACCTTGGAGAGTCATAGGGTCACCTGTGCTTTGCAGCGGGTCCCCAAGGCTCAGCAGGGGCGGGGATCCCGGGGCTGGGTGTGGAACTTGGCTCATACTTCCAGGCTGGGTACTCTGTGACCCGGTCACCCTCTCTACCTACCCACCTGCTCCTGGTCGGAGCCTAGGGAACATGGGGTGGGATGGGGGAATCTTCAAAACTGCACGGGGAGGTGCGTATAATGAGAAAACTGCACTTTATTCTGTTCTGCATCAAAATACGCCCACAGGCCCGTCCTTCCTTGAACTTCTCTCCCCTCCCCTGACCCCACCAGCCAATATTCATTTAGTTAGTGAGACAGACGGAGAGAAAAATCTTCCATTTGCTGGCTCACTCTTCAAACGGCCACAGCAGAAGCTGGAAGTGGAACCAACACTCATACAGGCTGTAGGCAGTGATTGAACCCACTGGTCCACAATGCAGGTCTCGATCCTAAGACCTCTTGAAGCCCTTGACATTTGTTCACGCCCCTGTACTCCTTTCCCATCAAGATTGGAGGGAGCGCATAGTAGCATATTTCCTTGGCCAGACACGTGTAAAGGATGGGAAAGTCAGACAGTTTAGCCCCACGTGGTCAAGGCCCTCTCCACCCTGCCGGCCCCTTAGTGGGTAATGCTTGAGTGGTTATGGTCACGTGGGGATCTAGCTGGGAGGAAGCTTTGTGCTTGGATGCGTTGCATCACTCAAACTCATGCCCTTGCAGGGTCAAGTACCTTCTGCCACCTGTGTGTAGGAAAGGCCTCCGGGCACATCTTTGTGCACCTTACATGACATCTCCCAAGGCCATGGCCACCCGCCACTTTGCCCTGCAGTGCCTACCACTGGCTGGATACGATGGGGGAAGAGAAAGCAAGGCTTGCAAAGACCTGAGCCAGCATTCAGTCTACAAAAAATATTTCCAAAGGGTAAACACATATAGTGGGGTTTCAAAACATTGATGGAAAATAGACTTCAAAGACGAGTTTAGGGCCACTCCCCACGTAGGCATACGGCTGAGCCAGGACCAGTTGGAAGCCAGGAGCCTAGAACTCCTTCCAGGTCTCTCAAATGGGTGTGTGCATGGAACCACCTTGGGCCATCTTCGGCTGCATTTCCCAGGCACTTTAGCAGGGAGCTGGATAGGAAGTGAAACAGCCAGAACTGGATCTGGTGCCTATGTGGGATGCTGGCGTTATGATCAGTAGCTTGACCCACCGTGCTACAGCTCTGGCCCTTGTTTTCTTATCTGAAGGGAATTACCCAAGGGAAAAAAAACCCATCAAAATTGCAGTGTAGTAGTACCAGAGGCACGCTGTGTGTGGCCTCGTCCGTCCTGCGCGTCCCACGATTCAGATTGCCTCGTAACACAGGCAATGTTGTCTTGACAAAGTCTGGTAGTTCCAGCCAAATGGTACGTGCAGTTGCCACCGACGCAGTGAGACGGTTGAAGAAGCGAGTGTTCTGGTGACAAAACTCCTACACACGTTCATCAGGGAGTCAGTGTTGTGGGAGCAGTCATGTGGTTCCACAGCGCTGGCTCAGGACCACGTGGCAGCACTTTCAAGATGCGTTTGAACTGTTCTTACGAACGCCTTGGTTTCAGATGAATTCTGTCTTTTTTCAGGATTGCAAATCAGACACATTTGGAAGATGATACTGCAGTTAACAAAAAGAGCATATCAATTTTCTAAGGTCTGTGCTTTGAGGGGGTACTTGTTGACTTCTTACAATCTGGGGTGCATGAGGCTGCTTTACGGCCTGCTGGATGGAGGTGGGGCAGTCCTGGGGATCTCCCCAGCTTGTGTGGCCTGCCTTCAGCTAGCAGATCCCCAGTGTAGGGGGACCTCTTTCCCCCTCTCTGCCAGGTGAGGGTCCTGGGATGCCCCTGGTTTTCGAATCTGTATCTAGGATCAAGCTTCGCTTCTACTTACTTGCCTTAATGGTCAACCCGATCGAAAAAAAACTCAGGATTCAACTTCCTTGTAGAACAAAGCAAAATCTGTAATCTGGATTTTTTAAAAAAATCTAAACAGATATTTACATCTTTCCTCTTCTTGTGGCAAAAATCCACAACCGATACATTTTCAGCATGGAGGTCAGTGTTACTAGGTGCGGGCACCACCGTGGCCTGCCTCTGCAGCTCGTCCCTCCTGGCGGATCAGAGGCTCCAACACCCATGACACGGGAGCTCCCCATTCACCCTCCCTTCGACTCCCCATTCCTGTGGTTCTGACCGTCCCAGGGTCATACATAGGCTCACCATGCAATATAAGGTCCTTCAGCTTCCTTACGTGGTGGGGTGTGGCTGAAATCTCCTCTTTAAGACTGACTACTATTCCCTTGTATTACAGACCAGCCTCTGCATGTCCTGGACCCCTGCATAGCTCAGCCATCTATTCCCAAGCTGTGGGCTGAGGAGCATCCCGCCAGGGCACCTGGTGGTCTGAGAAGGTCTGTAGGGTACTGGTACTGCAAGGTTCCCTGCTCTGCCCAGAAATGCAAATCATCTGCCTGGGAAAAGTGTTGGATCATGGGAAATCTCACCCTACTTGAGAAGACCGCCACTATCAGGAAACTCCTGGGCTGCCAGGTCTCATTGCAAGAACAGCCAGCCTCAATCAGGCAGGTGTCTCCAGCTCTTTTTTATTTGAAAGGCCCATTTACAGAGGAAACAAATCATCTGTCTACTAGTTCATACCCCAAGTGGAACTGAAGCCAGGAGCCAGGAGCTTCTTCCAGGTCTCCAGAGCAGGTGCAGGGTCTCAAGGCTTTGGGTCATCCTTTACTGCTGTCCTAGGCCACAAGCATGGAGCTGGAGGGGGACCGAAGCATCTGGGACATGAATCTGCACCTGCTTGGCACTTGGTGTGGAAAGAGGAAAGGTCCTCTTCTGGTTAAACCTACCCAGGCTGCAGAATGAGGATTCCCACCCCCCACCCCAAGGAAGACCAAGGCCCTCCACTTGGGCAACACCCACCGACCCCACCTCCTGATCTCCATAGGAGTTAGGATGGGGGCCAATGCTGCTCAAACCTCACTGTGGTGTGAGTTCAGAGGCTGGAAAGAGCTGAGCAGAGGGGTTGTCCACAGCAGTGGGGATGGGTTTCAGGGAAGTCCCAAGGGCCAGGATAACGGGGGGCAAGGGCAGGAAGGGAAAGCTGGGGATGCTGCAGAGAGCACAGGGCTGTGGACGAAGGGCTGTGGGAATAGGGACACCCCCACTCCCTGCTCCCGCTGCTTTCCTGCTGGTGCCCTACGTATTAAACCCAAGGTGCTTTGGATGAAGCTCCCCCGGCAGAGCAAACATTGGATACACCCTAGAATTAGGTTAACGGTGGAGGCACTGCTTTGCCAATACAGCCAAAAACGCAAGTATGCATACTACAACAAGGTGAGTTGTAGGCAGTGAATTTTTCTAAGTCAACTACTTACTGAGTGAAACCAACATGGACTGGGCAAGGAGTTAGCTTGGGGTCCAGGAGCTCGGAGACTTTGTGACATAGCCCTCTGCCCTGCTAAATATTCCACCTCATCTGTGTCAGTCGGACACACACCCGCTTTCCCACAATACACCTGAGCCTCTTCCGCCATGCAAAGGATGCCATGTGAATGCCGAGGGCCCCGTGGGGATGTCATAAAACCTTACCAGAGACCACCACAGGCAAGGATCCTGATGTCACTCCACTCACACAGTCCATGAGGGGGCCACTGGGTGGAGGGGTGGCTGATTCCGGCTGACTGACCCCATGAGGTTGCCTATATTCATCCGCAAGTGTGTGCTTTCTCTTTAACCTCTTTAAATAAATCCTGCTTCCGTTCTTGTACTTTATCTAGGTCTCTGCTTGGAATTCTCTAATGCGGAGACAAGAATCCGAAATAAATTCAGCTGCAGGCCCCAACGTGCACCCAAAACAAAATCTTCCTTGGGCACAGATCCAAATTTTTCTCATCTCGAACTCTTTGTCTCTCTCTTTCATTCTTTCTTTCCTTCTCTCTTTCTCTTTTCTTTCCTTCCTTCCTTTCTCCTATCTCCCTCTTTCTTTCTTACCTATCTCTTTCCTTCCTTCCTTTTTTTTCTTTTAGAAAGTTAGCTTATTGGAAAGCCAGAGTTACAGAGAGCAAGAGATAGACATTATCCACTCGCTGGTTCACCCCGTATGATCACAACAGCCTGGCCAAAGTCAGGAGCCCCATCTGGGTCTCCCTCATGGGCAGCAGGACCCCAACACTTGGACCACCTTCTGCTGCTTTCCCTCCCCACTTCCCTCCTAACCAGCCGTTAGCAGGGAGCTGGATCAGATGTGAAGCAGCTGCGTCGACATGAACTGACGCCCACGCAGGATAGTGGAGTGGCAGGCCTCCAACATTTCTTTTTAAAATGTGAGGAGCGGGGAGGGAAACAGAGCATACTCCTGTTTGCTGATTCTCCACCCCAAATGCCTGCAAGAGCCTGGGCTGCACTGGGGCCAGATCTGGAGCCAGGATGCTACCTCAAAGGGAGTGTTTGGAACCCAAGGACTTGATCCATTACTGCTCCCTCACTGGCTGCTCCTTAGCA